TCACTGATGGCTCTAAATCTCCAGGGAGGCACGGGAAGCGGATTCTGTATACTTTCTGGAGGAGCTTTAACGTGTGAGTGGAAAAGAAAGCTCGCTTCTGAAAACTCGGTCTTTCAGGCGGAGCTCATAGCAATCAGAGCAGTTCTTCTCCACCTGAAGAATAATCCCACAGTGCCCAATATCATCTACGCAGACTCAGCCTCAAGCCTCGCTGCGATAGCTGGAATTCGTTCTCGCAGTCCTATAGTCAGCAGCATTAGAGACATCCTAACACGCATGCCTACTTCGCAAAGACCCTCACTCATCTGGGTGCCGCTTATACGGGATAGAAGGAAATGAGAGAGCAGATGTTGTCGCAAAGGAAGCAGCGGATTCATCCACTTTGCGAGAAGTCCCGACTCTTAGGCCAGTCTCGGATCTAAAGAGTCGGACATTCCATCAGCTCCTAAGAATATGGCAAGAACGTTGGGATCAAGCCTCCACAGGGAGACGTGTTTACAATCTCATTCCCAAGATCAAGACAACAATCCAAACTAATAGCAATTCCATGACGTATTTCTTCACTGGTCATGGGCCCTTTCCTTCATACCTCTGCCGCTTTGGCTTGAGAGAGAATGGTAACTGTGAATGTGGGGAGGAGGGTCATCTAGATCATTTTGTGTTCTCCTGTCCACACACAGCACTTAACAGCCTCAAGAAACCAGGAGCTAGATTCTGGCCAAATTGGTTCCTGAATTTACAAAGTAACAGAGTTGCCCAGCGGAAACTGAAAACAATAATTGACTACTGCACTAGCAATTACTCTTCTGACACTAGAAGATAGTAGTCATAAAAGTCTATGTAAGCTAGTTCAATATGTCAGCAACAGAGTATGTGATATGTATATTCAATATGTAATTTTGTATTTATGCTGTGTCAGGTTCTCATACATAAAGTTCGTACTGTATCTGAACGCTGTAATGTATCTGTACATGTTTATATCTTTTATTTATGGTACCTAATTTATACTAAGGATCACGCGTACCTCAACGGCATGCTTCTTGTAAACTTTAACTATCATGATAAAGTATATGTATGGGTGTATATATCATTATGAGTGAGAGTATGTACACTTTTATTAATTTCGGAATATCTATGTATGTAAGTGTGTACTATATATCTGCATACGAGTTTGTATTCATATGTATATACATATATTTTGATTGTACTCTTCTTCAAGTGCCTTGTATGCACATGTTTATATTTCTTTGTATATTGTTGTACTCTTCTTCAAATGCCTTGTATGCATATGTATATCTCTTTTTTGAATTTTATAAATGTCGTCTGCTCAGCCGGGGCTGCGGCCTGGTAGCTAGTGGTTGACTCCCGCCTAGTTGGTAACCAATTCTGCATGGATATATCTATACCTGGGTCGGAAGCCAACTCAGCGGTTTACCTCCCTAACCATCGTACTGTCTGGGCTTTTCTGAATTCTAATATGCGGCTCTTTCTGTCAGGGAATTTAGCCCTATCAGCAAAATACAAATAACTAAATAGAAATACTTGCATGAAATTAGCTGGGTTCACTCTAGGGATCTGTACGGAAATTGTTCAGCATTTATTATGATTATTCCGAACATTCTGTCTTATATCTTATGCTATTATTGTTGAGCTCCTTTCTTGATCTTTCTCGAAGCCCTTTGTGAAAGATTCGTCAAGACTTGCTGCATAGATAGGTATGAAAAAAAATAATGTTTCTATAGATATAGTACATATCATTGTTGGTAGAGAATGACTATTGTCAAATCGAATTCTTCAACAAAAACAGATAAAAAGTACCGAAACTGTTGATACTGGAGCTAGTATCACTCCTGCCAATGTATATTGAAAAACAGAATAATATAACAAGAATAATATAAAAGTAATTGAGAAGATCTGAAGGAAAAGAATAAGCTGATACATGCTTTCTTCTCTGTATTTGAGTATTAAAATTTAGATACACTTAAGCGCTGAAATATGAAATAACGTATTTAAAATAATGACAGAAAATAATCACAAATAAACAAAAAATATTTATAAGAAAACCTTCTATTTTACTCTTTTAAAAATCGTACAACAAACTTTCCTTAAAAACAGTTTTTCTTTGGTACTTCAGACTTTTATTCTCTTTAATTTCAAATTTTAATCTCTCTTACACTTGGTCATAAAATACTCGTGCATCATTACATTAACGTTAGTGCGAAAAAAACATATGCATTGATTTCATGAATCCTTATAAATATAAAATTCATTAATTTCGCACAAAATGTAAAATAAAAAAAAAAAAAAAACATATTCGAAATGAAAAATCTGTATTTCTAGTGCACCTGTTCGCCTGCAGGACTACGTATGTTTAACAAATATTTGGTAGCTGTAGGCTTCACAGTCCTTCCGTTCTTCATTTTATATTCAGTTCTTCAATTCATGACAATTTCTTCATTTTATAATAATAATAGAGATTATAGCAATATGTAGTAGGAAGAAGAAGGAAGAAAGAAAAATACAAGATAGCTCCTCTTATAACGAATCCTCGGATATAGCGACCGGACCTTTTGTTCCCGCCCTATTTTCTGTATATTTAATGTTATTTTATGAGTTTATTGCTCTAACAAACCTTCAAAAGTATGAAAACCGGGTATAACGAACTGTATGGATATCTTCGACTGAAATCTTTAGTGTTTTTATATTTTACCATAATTTTGGTATAGTTTAAACGAAAGATTTGCTAATCCTTAAAATCATCCACATTTAGGGCGTTAGAGTACACTACGCATCCTTAAAGGAAACCCCTTTTTTTACATTACTTTTCTTTTATCTTCATTCTCCCTTTCCTCTATGTTCGAAACAAACCTTTTCCAAGAGAGATGTGAACACAATTTTAAGAGAACGAGGGTACAATAAGCATATCTTAAGACACCACATGACGTTGAATCAAAGAACAGGAATAAAAATCTCTGATTCAAACTCCTTGATTGACCTATCAGATAGAACTCTGTTCTAGTCTAATGCATTAATGGAAATTTTAAAACGCCTGTTATTCAGGGAAAGAGAAAGTAATGAATCATATGAGCTTTGGAGTATCCAATTTGTTCTTTTTTTACGGAATGAAATTTTGATCCTTATTGGTTTATTTGAGTACAATTGACCTACAAATTATACGCTTTGAATAAGGCTTTTGCATTTTTTAGGCCTTTCGCAAGGCACACGCTGCTCACCATTCAAATTGCTACACCAGGAAATGGCGGACTTTTATTTATTTAACATACACTGTATCTGAAAGAAAGACATGATTAAATTTTCAGATGGCTTGGGATACACAGAATGCAGAACGCAGTATACAGAGCTGCCCCTCTGGCAACAGGAACAACTGCAATCCGAATGGTCATCGAAGCGAACTGAACTTATAGCAGATAGAATTTAATAATTTCATTCCATGCGGCTTCTACCTTAAACCAGAGTTCACCAATCTTAGCGTTTGGTGAGTAGTGGCTTGCCAGTCTCTCGGCAACCCTTGACCACATATTCTCAGCTGAGAGATCTGGACAAAATGCTGGCCAGGGCAACAGTCGAACACTCTCTGTATCGAGTAAGGTCAGGATAGGACGGGCAACATGCGGTCGTGTATTATCTTGTTGAAAGATAGCGCCAAGCTAATCTCGAAGACAGGACACAGATGAGCCTTAATACATCAGAAATGCAACGGCGGCTGTCCAAATTGCCGACTGTAGTAAGAGGTGAATGGGGTGTGTGTACTCAGTGACACCCCACATCAAAACGCCAAGTGCTAGGCGCGTATGACGATGACGAATGCAAGCTGACAAGGTTAATTCTCCTTGATGCCCTGCCACATGGATACGTTCATCATGATATTGTACTCAGAACCGAGATTCATCTGAAAAGAACGATGCAGTGACACTTCTGTATCCAGTGTCGTCGTTCGTCATGCCACTTTAAGCGTGCCTATTTCTACTGAAGCTTCAAGAGGAAACCACAAAAATGATTGTCATGCTGACAGTCCGTGATGCTGCGGCGTCATCACTGCGTACAGATATTTGTCCTGCACACGAGCCAAGTTCCTGTTTCAGCGTTAATGACGTAGCTGTACGATGCCGCAAGGCCGAGAGGATAACAATTTCTGTCCTCTCGAGCCTTAGTGCCTTGCTATCCTGAGCGGCGTTCAGTATGGCCCTCTTAAACCCACTGACTCCATATTTATCATTCAGTCATGAGATTCCAACCAACACGAGCAACAAGTCATGGAACGAATAATCGTAGTTCTGACAGGCTACGATCATGCCATGGCCGAATTTCGAAATGTACTGCAAGGAGTTTCTCTTTCTTACCCAAGGCGTAACACGACTTTTAAAAAACAACCAACATTCAAATGCAAATTCCAAATGAGAAATTGGTGCAGTTTCATATTTATACACTGTGCAGATGGCGTTACTGATTCTGCTTTGTGCGATGCGCTAGAATGATAATTATTTGAATATTCCAGTATGTCTCTTTCATACAAAATTCGCTAATATTTTTGTTATTGATACTTAGTGTTTTTATGGAAATAATAATAATAAATGGTCAATTATAGAGAAGAATTAGAATTATAATATTTATGCTAAAGAATTTATAATACGAAATCATTAACCTGAAGTAAAAATGGAAATTAATTGTAATTAAGTGTTAATATGATTTTTAATTAGATTTATTTTAATTAGATTTTTATTCTAGACAATGTTATTTAGTTTTATTTTTTGGTGATTCTTCATTCATTTTTTTTTTTTACGTTTTTCTAAGCAAATTAATTTTTCTTATCGAATCGGATATAGCAAACCACCAGTAATAGCGAACCAAACTTCCGGTCCCTTGAAGTTCATTATGTCTGAGTTTAACTGCGCTTATTTTCTTATATAAGAGTATACAAAAGTTCTGGAATAAACCTTTCTTAATGAATCAAATTTATAATGAAATGTTTTTAATTTCAGATAGCGAGCAGTCCAACAGAGAGTACGCGGCACACTCGTAACAAATCAGTTCAGTGGGCTGATTGGGAACTACAAGATGTCATGGAATTCTGTGCCGAAGGACATGCAGAGAAACTTGTTGATGACGCCTGTCAGACCGAAACAGAAGTGAGAATGATATTTTTTCTAAGCATTTCTATTTCATTCTGGATATGTATTTTTTCCGTTCTCTCTAGTAGGGATTAATTTTTACGGTTCTTGTTAACATTATAATTAAAAGTGAATCCAAGATCATCGTACATAAATACCTTTGTTCTAATATTCCCAAAATAATATTTCATATTTAAAGAATGCTGCGATTGAGATAAGTATAGATTTCAGTACCTGAAGTAAATGTGACACAAATGCACAAAATATTCGTAAAGATCTATTTAAGTTTTAATAATTAGTATTATTAATCTTAAATGTGCACTTTAAATCATATTTTTTTTACAATAAAAATTGTATTATTGTACGAAAAATATTTGCTTAAATATTTTTAATGTATTTTTTAAATATTTATTAATATATTTTTCATATTTTTATTAGTTAAAATAATTTCTTATTTTTTCTTACAATAATAAAACAATGCCAATATCGCCCCGAACAAGTGGCTTCTATAAAAATTAATATAAATTTTTATATTGTTTCCGCGCTTTTCTCACACAGCCATTCAATCAATTAGCTCTGTTGAATACCCAATAACATCTGATATTTTGCAATGTCAAGAATTCCTGAAAACTTTCACTTTAAAGCGGAAAAAAAATCATTCTCTCGTGGATGTCTGGCCATTGTGGCTTTTGGGGCAATGAACAAGGAATTTCCAAATGAGGTGCCACTTACTATAACATCCTAATGCAGCCATTTCTTATTAAAGGATTAAACTATTTTTTAAATAAATTATTTACATCTAATATCTCACGAGATCTTCAGACTCGTACAGCCTTAAAAGGTTGAAGAATATTAAGTCCTTCTCTTATTCCCGATAATCCAAGACACAATGCAGTTACGGCTTTCCGTCTGTCTACAGGACATGATTGATTTGTCGTTCACCTGCATCACATAGGCATTTCAAGCGATTCTATTTAGCTAGTTTGTGATTCTGGAGAAGAAATGGACAGCGACCACCTGCTCCGATGTGGAGCTTTTCGTGCTCTTACAGAAAAGTCCAGATATTGGGGAGGCAGCAACGCTCTTTAGGCAATGACTTCGGTCTTTTTGTAATTTCTGTTTTTTGTAATTTATGTTTATAAGAATTTATGCCTAGCCATTGGAATAAATAAGAATGCCTAGCCATTGGAAATAAAAAAATAAATGTATTTTTCACACAGAAAAGATTCCAACTAGTAAAATAATATGTATTATTTAATTAAAAACATTTTACAGCTTTGAATGCAAAATTCGAAGAAATAAAATGCATATAAACATTGCCAAATGATTAAGACGAATGTTGTTTTATTCAAAACGAAAATCTTATTCTTATAGTATTAACCCCATGATAGCTTAATTTAATTTTTGCTCGTACTTCAAAAGAAAAAAATACACTATACGGACAGCTTTTATGTTGCAATTAGTCCTTAAATTTGCTTTCAGAAATCTAGTATTACATCAGTCATGTACGTGGAAGAATGATCTAAATCGCTAAATTAATTCCTACTCCGACAATTTTTTATAGAAAGGCATGACACTCTGTGTTTTTAATTCTAATTTGTTCAGTAGCTGGAATTTTTACGCTTTGAAAATATTCAAAAAGTTATGTATTATTCTTACAGAGCTGACCCACACATAGTATTCATCAAATTCTGCAGTATGGAGTTTTGTAAATAGAAATTTATGCCATTTTTAAAGGTAAATAAATAATGAGGGGAGAAAAACTCAAATTCCATTGTCATAAAAAATTTGAGCAATTAGTGTTTTAAAACTATTACAAGTATAAAGTTAAAACACTTCATATTTTATAACATGACATATTTGCAACGAAAATTTTGATGACATAAAAAATTATTATTAGAACGTTTGCGTTTTTAACAGAATTTGTATTAATGAGCTTAAAATTATTGTGGGGAGTAGTGGATTAAAAAATTCATTGCCAAAAAATAAAGTCCATAACTATTTCTTTTTTTTCGAATACTCTATATGTAGAATGCTCTGTAAATAAAGCAAAATAATGCAATGTACGCAAGCCAAAATTTAAAAAAAATTATTTAAAAAAGTTAATTATTAAGAATAAGCTATTCATTTCCTTAAATTCAATGTCTTAATTTCTTTCCGATCATGTTGAAATGATATGGATGGGACATTATAACTGATGACTAAAATGCAAATCTTTATCATCATGATCATAAAAGTTCTAATTACGCATAAGATAAATGAAAATAATAAAAACTTGTATCAGAATATTGCGATAAATATTTAAAATGAGCGAACTCATTGCAGTTAGCACATGCTAATATCGTATTAAAGATGACGTAATAAAATATAACCTCGCATGTAAGGTTTGAACCTATTTTAAAGCTTTTAAAAAGGAAAAAAGAATGGCTTCTTATACGATAAGCTCACACATATACTGATATTTTAAGTTTGATATGTCAAAAGTAACCATGATTACGTATTTTAATGTAAAATTAAATTACAGAAAAATTACATATTATATTATTATAAACTTACTTTTGGTAAAACCTATAGCTGGAAGTATTTATTTCAATGAATACTTAAACTATTCAACAATATATCATGTTTTGGTTTATTTATTTAGTTATGACAAAGTACATTAAGGCTAATTTGCCTATCAGGAGAGATGCCTTCGCTTGGAATAGTACGATGTGCTAAATAAAACATTAAATTGCCTTTAACTACTATTTTTTTTTCACATTGATGAAGAGTTAAAAGTATGAAAAAAGAAACTGAAAGCTTTTATTTTAATATTTTTAGCCCTACGTGAAAGATGGAGCGATGCCTTTAATAGACAATCTAATTGAAACATCCATGGAAATCAGGTACGACTAAAATATGTCATTTTTGAATTTAAAAAAAATTAAATGCCGCATAAATTTGTTGTTGTGATTTATCTCTCTTTTCTGACAATAACATCAGAACAAGCCCACGAAATTCATCGTGTCAAGGAGTGTAAGATTGCGCTTGTCATTGGCAAGAGACTTGAGCACCGTACAGGTGACAATACGACTTTGCTCATTTCCGTCCCCAATTTTGATGGAGAAAACTCCGAGGATGGTCGAGTCCGAGGGTCTTCCAACCCTCTTCCCCTACTAGCAACCTCACAAGAGGGCATACGGCTCGTCGCATATTCAGAGTGCCCCCATGAGGCACAAACGCTATACATTTACAGACATCCATGCTTCTCCTGGATTCGAATCCGACCCTTCCGGTACGGTAGTCAGCGTTACTAACCACTATCCCTGTAGTGGCATAAATTTTCACTGCCTAGGCCTGTGATGACATAAGGTGGTTTCACTCTAGTGGCATAAATTTTCACTGCCGGCACGCATAAATTTTCACTTGCTTAGGCCAATAATTTTATAAAACGTGAAACGTTGTCCTGTCAGTAGTTGTAAGTTTTATAAGAGCAGTTAGTTTTTAAATGCTGCTCGAAAGCATATAAAAATTTAAGGCATAATTGCAGAGTTCCTTTAATGGGATATATGTATTCTATCAACAGCTGATACTGAAAAACAACTTTCTATCAACAGCTGGCATTTGAACTTCTGATACTACTATCGGTATTATTCATAAGAATACTAGTTGGGCCTCCCAACTGTCATAGTCTCGTTAACTATTATATATGGAATGTTCTACAGCGTTGCTCAACAATTTGTACGACATCTTATATTAATTAACCAGTAATTGTGATTTCAGGCTTCACTATAACTTCTCCTTTCCGTATGCAAATTCCGTAACACTAGTATGCAAATGGTTGTCAGTATTTAAGCTGAATTTTTGTTTTGAGATAGTATTTCTGGCATCCCGTGCGCGCTACGTGGTTAATTCCTACCAGTTCCAACAGTTCTAATTGTTCGGCATTGAGGTCTCACACTGATTCTGACACTTTAATTCTGGGGCGCCGATAGAGTTATTGAGCCAGTTTCCAGTGTAATATTTAATTTAGTCTTTAACTACTGCTCAAAATTCAATTTAAATTTGACCGTTCTATTTATTTACATCACTACAAGCTGTAGCTATTGTAGCACAAGAGCGTACTCTCATTTTCCTACTTCTATTTAAATGAAAAAGTTACTTTAATCTTTTTAAGACTTTGTCGTTGCTCGCAGGCATATAAATAATTCTCTTCAAGTCTGTTAGGGTTATGGAACTTAAGTAGTTTCAATAAATCAAGTGTAATTCTATAACTTCATTGCGCTTTCGAAGTCGTTTCGTCGTCTTTCTGTTGTGGTCTATCACATATTATTTATTGCATTAGAAATGTCAAAAGCATTTCCTTTTCTAGCTCAGATGAAGTCACATTTACGATGACCAGTCATCGAGACGACAGGTAGGATTTAGAAAGTCATCGGCGTTAGTGCATGGCTAACAAATTTCTGGGGTAATTTATGCCTGATGTAGGCACAGATTAGCATTTAGAAATTTCCCCGAGATTTAAGGGAATTAAAATAACTAACTGTTGCAACTGTCACTACGGATCACACATTCCCAATTTAGACAAAGAAAAAGATGGACGAATTTGTATCGAATTAGATGACAGGTTAGATTTTTTCCAATACCATTGAAAAGGCGACGCATTGAGAATTTGCAACGTCTCTGAAACATTGGATTTTTCATTTACTACCAATCTTAGCTACATTACTTTACACCCTTGCTATTACGTTGTAGTACCCTAGAATACCGAAATTCAGCTTAGCTCTTTCGTACAAAAACGTAATAAAGTAAAGTATTAAGATACAAAAACTAATTAATTCTGTCATTCATTTACTCAGATTTGCAATAAAACTACATAAGTATTTCCGCCCACGAAATATTTTATACCAAGGAACTGAAAATTTTATGTTTTCTGATAATTTGTTGTTGTCGTACACACAGATACTTTAAATATATTCTTTGAATTCAGTATAACTTGTGAAATTCCGCATAAAACAGGTACTTTATTATACTCTATCAAACCACTTACCAACCAATGCTTTTTGCAATGTTGGTGTTAGCGCAAATTCCTTATTATTATGGCTTACATAATTTTGCCTTATAACATTCTCGGATGCCTTAGATCTGAAAATCAACTTACCTCTCTTGAAGCCGAATGATTTGCAGTCAGATTCTTATTAATTCTTCCTGCATTTCCTATTTTGCCTACTTCACGATAACTTGGATATGAAAATAATTTAGAAAAGATTTGCATAAATATTTCGACATGTGCGATTTAGGGATATTCATATATTAACTAACATCATAACACACTGTTTCACTAATGAATTCATTTATACATCGCCCTCCAAAAGCTTAGGAACAGCATGTTTTTGAAGGGTCACCATTATAAAAATGTCAGTAACATTTAAATTCACAGTTGATATGCATGATTGTAACGAAGTTTAATAAAATATATTCAAAAACAATAGCTAACACTTTTATTTTATATAAAGGAACACATATAGGAGTTGTAGATAAAAGGCAAAAATTGTAAGTTTTGTTCACGCGTATTAATCTTCAATTATTATTAGCAATTTCGTTGACAATATCCAGAAGACTTTATCAATGTCCAGAAGGAGTCGTTTGCCAGATTCGTTCCAAGAGGATGGGGCGATAGGATGGATGGAAATGGGAATGTCAGAACCTGATGCTGCTAGACGTCTCAATGTCTCGCAGTGTGGTCCACCGACTATAAAATTAGTTTGAATCCGAGAATTCTGTTCTAGAAGACATGTTCAAGGCAGATATAGAGTTACAACACGTGCGGGAGATCGTTATTCAGCTCTTTCGGCCCAAAGCAGGAGTAACATTACTGTGCCTCAGCTCATGGCACATCATTTAGTGGCAACAGAAACAAGAATCTCAGCTCCTACAGTGCGCAGACGCCTGCACAATACAGGTCTGTATGCAAGACGCCCAGTTGTTTGTGTCCCCTACACCTGGGGACACAGAAGTGCCGGTTTATGTTGGGCAAGAGAACACGTCTCCTAAACCAGTTAATAATGCGCGTCTGTTTTCTTATAGACGAGTCCAGGTTCACATTGGAGAGTGATTCAGGTCGTCAGCTGATCTGGAGAGAACAACGTACCAGATACAACCAATCCCACATTGTGAAAGGCACAGTTATAGAGGTGGTGGAATAACGGTTTGGGTTGGGATCTCTCTCTGCGGTCACACTGACCTGTATGTGTTCCATGGAGGAACTTTGACCGGTGTGAGATATCAAGGCGATATCCTTGATCAATATGTTTGCCCACATGCAGCTGCTATAGCAAATGGAATGGGCAGCTCAAGCCACACAGCTTAATCCGTTAGAGCGTCTTTGGGACTATAGGAGACATGTGCTGCTTTAAGTCCTCCTCCAAGGTCATTAGATGAGCTTGAACAAGAATTAGTCCGTGTTTGGTCGATGCTTCGCATTTCTCTAACGGACAACTTAATTGACAGCATGGAACGCCACTATTGCCAATGTATTATAGTTAGGGGTGGACACATCCCTTATTAAAACCCATTTTTGTAATGTTACCTCACCATGTTTCCTCAAAAGAACTGTGATATACTATTTCTCCAAGGCTGAATTTCTCTGCCAAGAGTGCAATTTTGAGTTGTAATTCATGTGTGTGTTGAACTTAAGAAACATTCTAAGTAGCATTCATTAAATAATTGTTGAGATATTCATAAATCTATTCTCTAGTGTGTAACTAAATAATTATTATGTTTGATGCAATTATGTCGAATTTCTGTTATAGTCAAGTAAAAAAAAAAAAAAAAAAAAAATAGAACTTAGGAATGTGTGAAAATACTTATTTACGATATATAAAAATAATCTTTTGGCTAAAAAAGTTATTTTAATTTCCATTTAACGTAATAAATAAGTTATTATATAAATTCTGAAAAATAATTAATTTACATACTTTTTTACAAGTGTCGCAAACTGGGCATACTGCCAAATAAACGTTTATTTAAATTTTAAGACAAATAATTCATTTTGTTGACATATGCTGCACAGATAACAAACAAAATTATAAAGGTTAAAAAAAATTATATCTTCAAATTTTCCTTATAACATTTGAAGTTTATCCTTACATTTTCCTTCTACTATTATAATCATAGTTTTCTTGTTGTTGCCGGATAACAAAACTAAAAACTAAATCATCAGAGCTTTAATCAGGGACCTTAGAATACTTACAGTGGATCACATTTATTTACGAACACTGTTTATTTTTTTTAATTAATTTGCATAGATCTCGCCCTAAATATTGCAACACAGACTTCAATTTGTTTTCTGATATATTAAGTTGTATTTATTTTAAAACTTGCTTGTTGTGAAATAAATATTGTTGAATGCGTACAGGTTCGTAATAGATTGAATACGCACAGCTCCTATAATAGGTTCATAAAATTTATTTCATCGAAAGAGACAAAGAGTTCTGGAACTTTCCACAAAAATAGTCTTATAGCTCTTCCCACTATCACAGAATACAATCATTAGTAAAGCTAGTAAAAACGTTAAACGCAATGCAATGCAAAGAGCATGTAAAAATAGTGTAATTTTTCCTAATAAATTATTTTTTCTCTATTCTAAGAGCGTATTTCTAAGGAAACGTTAAACACAACGGAATGTAAAGTTTATGTAAATATTCTACAAGTTTTTCTCGTTTATTGTTTTTTCTCTATGCTAAGCCTTGCTTGTTGTAAATTAAACATTCTTGAAATATTCCTTGCAATAAAACAGTTTGTTCAAAAAGTGTTAATTTTTTCCAATTGCAGGCACTTGCCTGTAAAGGCATTGGCCACTTCTAAGATCAAAAGTGGCGGCCATTTTATTGTGGAGGCACCTAAGCCGGTCACCGTTACCTCCTACGAAGGGACAGACAGTTTTACATCTATGGCTTTTCCGGAATTCGAACCCGGGCCTTTCGGTATCGCGGTCAGGCTCCCTTAACCACCATACCTTCTGGGCGGCAAAAAGCATTAAATAGTAATTCACATAATACTTCAGATCGTCAAAAGTTTTGTTGAAGTGATTGGATAGGCAATGCTTCTTGTTGTAATTTTTTGTTTTGTGAATATGTCAAGAAGCTAAAAATCAATGAAAACTTCTGTTAGAAATTGATTAAAACGTCTTTTTAAAGATGGTAAAAGTACTTGAAATATGTAAAACCTCCTTGATATAAAGCATTCGACTATCTGTGATGCAATAAAATGATGCAAATTGCGTGGAACCGTTGAAAAATGACCTGAATTTCGGGCCACATTCCAAGCTGACACCTAGAACTGCATATTTATCCTATGGAAAATCAAAAAAGAGCCAAAAAATAGTACTGTAAAATATTCAGCATATTTATAAGAATGGTTTGCAATAAAAGTTAACTATGAAGTTTTTAGAAGAGTTATTCAGGGCATATGGATACATTAGGCCAGGGGTTCTCAACCGGTGGTACGCAAGAGAAAAATGCGCAAAAAACCAAAGGATTTTTAACTATTAAATTCAAAAATTCAATACCCTAATATCCTGCATTCAATACCCTAATATCGTTCATTAAATACCCCAACAACCCAACATTTCATAATTTGTAACACTTTAACGAATTTTTGTTTAACAAACTCAACGATTTCAAAGCGAGCACTGATAACACTGTACGAAAAAAAAAAAAAAAAAAAAAATCTGAAATGTTTCAGATTTTAAATTACGTCCAAAGGGGCGTTTTTTAACATTTTGTGTGTTACCTTTTTTTATTAAATATCATGTTCCTCGCACTTAAACCATAAGATCCAGTGCAACAGCAATATCGCAAAATAGTTTTAAAACGAGCATATCTTTAGAATTTCCGATACAGAGACTCACGCGCTGGAGATAAAATGTTTTTTTTTCTGCACAACGTTGCCATTGCTCGCTTTGAAATCCTTGAGTTTGTTAATCAAAAATTCGTCAAAGTTTTAAAAAATAGGAAATCGATCATAAACAAATTTCAAATTTCAAATTTGGTCTTCCCACATGCTCATATTCGTTGGAGGATTACGTTATTCAAAATTCGATGACTCTATGTATCGTTGTTTTATCACAATACGAGAAATATACATACATTTATGCAGATTTTTCATTATTTAATTTCTTCAAATATAATGCAGGACTCTAACATTTTGTGGCAACAGTTTGAAAAGTGAACCGACATTTATGAGTCCGACGCAAAATGCCAAAACGAAACTAATAGTCCTTCGGGATTCAAATCCCTTTGGACTAAAAAAAAACCACATTTTTAACTCCAGCGCGCAAGACTATGTATCGGAAATCCTAAAGATATGCTCTTTTAAATAGTTTGTGATATTGCTGCTGAATAGAATTTTATGATTTAAGTGCGAAGAACATGATATTTAATAAATAAAAGTGACACGCAGAACGTTATTAAAACGCCCTTTTGTGCGAAATATAAAATCTAAAAGCTTTCAGAATTTTGTTTTTACTATTTATAATCAGAAATTGAACAATAGTCATTGTAAAATGTAGTGGTGGTACTAAAGGTTTTTAATTTTTGTTTAAATGGTACGCGTTAATTAAAAGGTTGAGAACCGCTGTATTACGCGATCAGTAAGAAGAAGTTCTTTGTCAACAAGAAAACAACAAAAATACTCTTGGCATTCGCAAAATCTATAATAAGCAACGTTTCGTCATATTGAAAAAATAATTAATAAACCTCATATTAAGATTGTTTCAATATGACGAAACGTTGAAAGTCAAAATTTAATCTTTTCTTGTCAGGTAAACGAATTAATATATGGCAAAAGCCGAATTTAGAATTGTATTCGAGAAATCCATTGCCTATGGTTATGCATGGGAATAGAAGCATAATACTTTGGGGATGGTTTATTGCTTTGGAAATAAGAAAGTTAATGTTTATGAAAAATAATGAGGATTAATATAAATATATAAATATTCTTAATGAAAAACTAAAAGCACTTTCAAGAAAACTTAAAATGCAAAATACATTCAAGTTCTATCAGGATAATGATCCTAAAGATGAGGCCACAAATATTCTCTTGTGGTTGTTATACAAATATCTTAAAATTAACAAAACTCCTGAATATTCTCCGAATTTAAATCCTATCGAAAAGGAATGAACTGAAGAAAAGAAATAAAAACCTGATATTTCTTCGAAAGTTTTACTAAAAGGAATTTGTATGTAGAAATTCAACATTTTTATGAGAAAACATTTGTTTAATCCTTGCCAAAACGCATGAAAAGTATCATTTTAGCTAAAGAATACTCAACGAAATATTGCATGCCGTTGTTTTTATGTGTTTATTAGAAATTAACTGTCTGTTTAAAGTGTCCGAATACTTATGTGAATTCTTTTTCGGAAATTTTTGAATAAATTATTTTTTTTACATTTTACTTCAAAAGTTCTATAAAAATCAGCACGTTTTAAACTAGAGGATCAATAACGTATGCGAAAAAAATCAAGTCATTTTGCTAATATTTTTAGTAGATATTTGTAAATAAAACAGAAAAACAGCAATGTCCGAAATAAATGTGAGCCGCTGTCTATTACACTGGTGTAACATAGTATTATACTACTTAACCGAACTTTCATATTTGCATATATAATTTAACCTTTTAATTATGTTAAATTTACATTAGTACTTTAATATGAGCAAATTTCAATCGTAGATTCACACTAACTTTATAGAAAAACTTTACGCCTTTCAAGGAAATTTAAAATAAGATATTTCGCGCAACATCAGAGAATATTTCGTGAAATATCAGAATATTTTAGTTCTTTCTAAAAAAGGGATTCATTCCAGTTTCTTTTTAAAGAAGGGTAAAGGAATTTCAGAACTGCTGAATTGATACTTAAATATAACCTTTTAAATGGAGAAATATATTTTGTACCTATGTTATATCTTTTATTGCAGTTGTATGCGATGTTTCCTTATTAGCTGTAAGACAAATAGCCTTCGTGTGTTTTTTCAATCCAGTTATAATTCCACTTATTTGCTACTAACGATGTTTAAGTTCAAAATCAGAAGTTGATGTCTATCAGATACGTCGAATTTTTCAGTAAAACCAACATCAGTCTAAGTGAATAATTTTTAAATTGCGCATTAAAATACAATCGTACTCCCATTCTTGCTTCTACTGCAGTTTTGGTTTCAGTTACCTGCAGTTTACTGTATCTGAAAAAAAAATTGCAAATTAAAGAACTATGTGTTTTATATGGCTTGAAACAGGCATCACTTGAGGAGGACCGTAGCACAATGAAATACAGCAGTCCCAAATAGTCTAATCTTGTTTCTCCAAGGCAATCCTGACCACAAACACAAATGTACATTCACGATTCTGAATTAATGAGCAATTGTGAGCCCAAATGTGTCTACTTTTATTTTTTGTGCAATGTTTGGACGATAAGTACGGTTTTATTCCTCCATCTTTCTTGAAACTGCATGGAACAACATAGTATATAAAAAATATGCTTTCACGAAACAGAGACAGTACATTATTAAAAGAATTATTGTACCTTTCTTTATTAATCTGTTTAATGTTGTTGAAGACCTACTTAAAAATGTTTATCAATTAAATTTTATTTATGGAGATTACATAAATACCACGTTATATGCAACTATTGGTATATTACAAGCAATTTCGTTTAACTGCACTATTTCATGGAATGTATTACTCGCGGCTACAAGCACGCAATCAAATTTATTTTCCATATATTAGATTATACCATGATTCATTAAAAAAATAGCCCAGTTTCAGTTAAAGAAATTTAAGACGTCGTTTTTATTATCATTTGTAGTTCCTTGGCTTCACGCAGTTCTCGAAGTCCGTCTCTAATTACCTGCACTACGATGGAAGAGGATGATGAAAAGCAAGCAGCTCTTTCCGATCTCATCACCCACTTGGAAGACACGGCTGCTTTGCTAAGAGAGTATCTACTTCCCCCGAAAGAAGACTTTTCAGGAAATGAAATCACTTCTGAACAGACAATATTTTTACTCAAATACCAAATTGTTTTGGTTCTTTTTATACAGGTAAATTGCATCTATCTTAGAAACCATAAAAGGAAGGGGGAAGACGTTGTTTTATTGATTTGCTAATTTCTGATCAAACATGAGTAAAAGCATTGGTTTTGCAGAGAAGATCTAATATATTTAATAATTACGTAATACATTGTTGAATACTGATTGGTCTAATTTCTAAAAATGTTTTGCAATTTGTATTAGCTAAAACTGTAAAGTTTTGATTCTTTCTTAAAATCATAGTTTAACTTTCAAGTTATGAACAGAATAGACTATTTCTTGGTAACTGGTGAGACATCATTACACCCCACTTTTCTCTAAATAGAATAAAATATTCAAACTTAAAATTGTTTATTGACCTTCCTTGCAAGCAGAGTTAGGGAAAATAAAACTTGCTGCAAGCTTCACTCTAAGTCGATGAACCGAACTCAAAATTTAGCTCAAATGGCTTAACACTTAAAAGCAAAAAGCAAAGGTAATAGGTATTTCAATCGATATTGCCAACAACTCAGGATCTTGGATTGTTAAGAATCAAATGGACTTACCCAGATTCTTAACTCTAATCGTCTATTTCATTTTACGTATATTCAACAAAAGGGATACGGATGTGTTGCCAGAAACCTCAAAAAGAAAGCAGTATTCAGTGTCAGTTTAACTCTAAGTCTCATTCTTCTAAACTCGTTACATCTTACATACAAAATTTATATATATTGCAGACAGGGAAAAGTGAAATAAGAAATAAACGGAAACGAAAATTCTTTAGCTAAGCTAAAAGATTAAAATTATTTTCTTTAAATGACTGATTGCTCATTTTAGTTTTTTTTCTCGCTTTCCATAAAAATATATATTCAAATAACATGATTTTATTGCAAAGAAAAAGGTAATTTCAACAAGGACAGAAGGTGTATCCAGTTTCCTACATTAGACTAGTGGTCTCCATACGGGTTCATATTAGAAGTATACCAATGTAGTAAAGTGTCCCAGAGCAAATTAAAGTACAATGTACAATTTAAAATTTTACGTGTCCGAACAACGTAACCTGCCTGCAAACAGTATTTTGATATTTTAATCTCTTTTGTTTTATAAAAATAACCTAAAAATTTTCAATGTCATACTTTTTTAGAAAAGCAAGATTTTGCCACATCTGAATTCTATTCGATCATTTTTACTGTCATCTATGAAAGAATAAATAAGAATTGTAAAGTAAAGGAACAGCAATTTCATTTGTAATTTATTGACAGATTCTGTGTTGTCTATGTTGCCCATGATTAACAATAGGAAGTGTTATTTTTTCATTCTTCATGGAATGAAAATACATTGTTCTAAAGACAAGATACAAAAAAACGAAAGCTTTATCACAGAATTATGCAAATTCCAGAATATATACAGAGAAAAACAAAATGCAAATTTTTGCTATTCCCAGCTAATTGGCATAGTTTGGAAGTTTGATTAAATGAAGAAGATAGTTAAGAAATCCTTAATCGAAATCAGAAATCAGAAATCGGCTTTTAATGCTGCTTCCTATGTCACAATAAAGATTAAATGATGAAGATGGATTTCAGACGCTAATAATAACTTTGCGTCGAAATTATGAGTTTACTAAAAGTTTCATCATAAATATATAAGTAGTGCAATTATGCAGCAAAAACTCAAAATAATATGCGAGCTCGGATCGACTTCGGTGAAAACAGGTGGTAGAACATTGGGTTGCTTGTGGGATTGAAACTGAAGCACTGAGGCGAACCTCACAAACGTTGATGCATCGAAAGTCATGTGACCCGACAACGTTCTGCGAGAAACGTAAACAGATTTTTACCCAGTTTATGTTCGGCTGGCTGAATTTGCAGTTAAAATTTTCTGCAAAAACTGCCATTAATATCAAATTAACGTCGTGAACGCTTTCCATCGTGTCACTCCAGAGTTACTTGAATTAATAAAAGATACAATACGGTATTCAATGATTATCTCCTTCTGTTTTGACAGTGATGGTCAGGATACATTAAAAAAGTCTGGGACCCTATGCCCAGTGTTCTTTTAAGAATCTTTAACGTCCACATGCCTAATGTCGCTTTCATATGATAAAAAAATATTTGTAAAGGACATAAGTCCACAAATGATAAAAATATTTGTGGGTGAATTTAGGGGCCTTATTAGGGGCACCCTAAAATCTGAGGCCCTAGGCCGTGAGTCTAGGATATAATCAGACCTTGATTCATTACCGACAGATTGGAGGCAATAAGGCAATCGGTTGATCCTTCTGCCACTAGTGAACGTCACATAATCAGCTGCTGCACGATGCAATATCTGTGGCCGTTGATCACTTCTAGTATGCATAAGTACACTAAAGGACAAAACTTCATTTTTCAACATGCAACCATGAAATTGTAGAAAAAGGCTTCGTGTGATCAGTACAGTTAAAAGCAAACTCAGTGGAAAGGTAATGCATATGCAGATATGAGCACCAGGACGTAAGAGGGTACGTCAATGCATGCAAAATGCGAGGATTTAGCGCGAGCAATTCAAAGCAGCTTGAAAAGAAGAAGGGTGGGTGCATTTCCAGACATTCTTCTGCAAGGGAAAGTGAGACTGTATGTACAATATTGCTGCAAGAAAACAACAGCTTGTCTTAGCCGTCAGGACATTTAGAGCTACGGGACACCTACCTGTCAAGACATTTAGTCAACAGGTTACTAAGCCGACAATGACGTTTAACTGACACTTACCCAAAAATTATTTAAACTATCAATTACAAAATTTCTCGACTACTCCATAAGTCATTTTTGGTACGTGGTAGAATGATTAGTATGACTAGGGCCGTAGCTTGACGTCTGTCACCCGAGAATTTGGAACTGATAAAAGTATTGTTTCATGAGCTTGAAGATGACAGGTACAGCTGGAAGAAAGGCTGGTGGTGGTCTGCCAAAGAAAATAATCAAGATCAAGATCGTATATTTCAAATTTAAGGTAACAACTACGTACGAGTTTTTGCCTATAATTCTGGTAAGGGGTCCGTGACACTTAGCCGACGGGACACTTATCCGACACCAGTTAGCGGACAGGACATTTAGCCGACACGGACACTTAGCCTACAGGACATTTAGCCGACACGGACACTTAGCCGACACGGACAGTTAGCCGACAAGACATTTAGCCGACAAGGACACTTAGCCGACAGGGCATTTAGCCGACACGGACAGTTAGCCGACAGGACATTTAGCCAACAAGGACACTTAGCCGACAGGACAGTTAGCCGACACGACAGTTGCCGACAGGACATTTGGCCGACACAGAAACTTAGCCGTCAGGACATTTAGAGCTACGGGACACCTACCTGTCAAGACATTTAGTCAACAGGTTACTAAGCCGACAATGACGTTTAACTGACACTTACCCAAAAATTATTTAAACTATCAATTACAAAATTTCTCGACTACTCCATAAGTCATTTTTTCACCTATCAGTAAAATTCACTCTTCGATTCTTAAAGATCTCATAATGGCTATTAATTATTGTGTTAATTTAGCATTGTTTGATATGTATCGTGCTGTTTGGTGTACATTGGCCAAACTGAAAAAGCGCTGAAATTTCTCGAAAATGAATAAAACAAAACCTTAAAGAATATTTTACTTCTAAATTAAACATTATGCACTAGTTTAGGGCTATAAAGATTAACCTAAGTAAGTATTTTAAGCGAGAGGCGTGGCTCAATAAAATGTTACAGATATTTTTATTACAAGAATGGTGGCATGAACTGCAAATTATAGAGGTCACAAATATTTTACACCTTTGCTTGTCCTTAAAAATTCACTTTCTTTTAATTTTTTTAATAACAAAATAAAATATATTTGCTAAACTAACCCTCACCACTATCTGTTTCCATAAAAAGTATAATTCAAGAATAACAATAATTTTTATTGCGTCATTCAGATTTTCTAATCAAGCGACGCAGTCGCAGTGCAAGTACCTAGGCCTTACCCTGTGTATAACATGTGAGGAGTGAGCATATCTCTTTCTGCAATAGCATAAACATGGCAATATTTGATGCGAAGCATACAGGTGCTCTAGAAAGAGCAGTGATGAAGAGGAAAACGAAAAGATAGTAGAAAGTTCATGATGTAGCAATTATAGTTAATGGGCATAAGTAGTATTGGATAGCTGATTGAAGATTTGTCTTGCAGAATTCCGCATGTAATTAGAAAAGTTCTTTCAGAGTATTCAGATTTTTTATGACAGGGAAAGGAAATTTCATTAGTGGGAGGAGCCAAACGATTTCGTAAAGGAAACAATGTAACATGATGTGATGTGTAAAATAGTAATGAAACGTAAAGGTATTAAAAATTTGAAAGCATTTGGAAGAGCGAGATTGGAAAAGATTAAGTAAACAAGAAAAATTATTAATGATGTGAAAGTGTTCAAAAGAACCCAGTTGATTAAATGAAGAAGCTTTATGGATAATTTTTGAAGATCTCACATTAAAATGTAATTGAGTGACCGCCGTACTTAGCTAAAAAAATTCTTTTTTCCTTTCGAAATTTCATTCATATTCCCTGACGAAAAATTTCAGCGCTTTATTAATTTCGTCTATATACACCAAACAGTACGATATATACATAGATCTTATAAGAGATAGACTAACCCAGTGGGCGGAGCGTGCGTCGCTCACATGTCCGCAAGAAAGAGTAGGGATGATCTGGCTTACTTTAACACGGAAACCTATGGCGTTTGTATAACATAACTGTTTTTAATTATTAAATGTGATACGTTGTATAAGTGATGAGATTATGTTTAAGTCACAGTGTTTGCAAACAAGATTTAATATATCTCATAAAAGTCCTTTTTACTGCATTTTGCACATTTTTTTCAAACATAATTTTTGTAAATTTCCTTACTTTAGTAAAAGGGTAAAAATTCTAAACGCAAAACTTATGAACTTATCTTTGTGAACAAATAACGTAAAATTATAATGCTGATAGCATATGATGCTTTGAAGCAAATAAGGTAAAATTAAACAAGATCTGATAATTTTCTTTGATTTTATGAGCATTTTCAGGCAGTAATTTTTAAAATTATTATAACATAACAAGACGATCATTTATGATCATTAATTATTAACATTACAAGATGATTATTTATTTTAGTAATTCATAAAATTCGGAGCATAAACTTTTTTGAGTGTAATGAGGAAAAAAACAAAGATAAACTCTGGAAGCACTCAGCAATATAATTTTATATTACGCCCAAAGGAGCGTTTTTGTAACGTTTTGCGTGTTACCTTTATTTATTAAACATCATGTTCTTCGCAAGTATACCACATAAAATTCAATTCAAGAATAATATCACAAAACATTTGAAAAGGACATAACTTTAGAGTTTCCGCGCTGGAGATAAAAATGTTATTTTCTGTACAGGGTTGCCATTGCTTGCTTTGAACTCGTTGAGTTCGTTAATCAAAACTGCGTTAAAGTTACAAAATTTGAAATGGATAAAAACAAATTCGAAATTAGGCCGTCCAGGTGCCCATGTTCGGGTGAAGGATTACGTTATTTAGAATTTTATGGTTCTAAATTCTGTTGCCTTTTTTCACAGTGCAAGAGAAATATACATGCATTCATGCAGATTCTTCATTATCTAATTTCTTTAAATATAATACACGGCGATAATATTTAGTGGCAACAATTTGCAAAGTGAAACGAACATTTATAGTGAAACAAAGCAAAATGCCGTTTCGAAACAAATAGCTTTTCTGAACTGCCGCCCCTTTGGGCTAATGAAATAAATTAACAATAAATAAGAAAACTTATGCAGAACTAGACATAAATTTAAAAAAATAATCACTAAAAATACTAGCACAATTAATTATTACAGTTAAATACAAATTTTAACATTAGAATAAATGCATAAAAATTATTAAGTGTTAAAAGTGTTAATCACTATGATGTATTAGGAAATATTATTGAAATAAAACTTCTTTGTAGAATATTATGCTATAATATTCAGATATAATTTTAAAAGAGCAGTACAAAGAAGAATTTTAAGCAAAGACTTTCAAAAATCCATTTTTTCGATTTTAGTATTTTTTACTTATTTATACCAATAAAAAACATAAAAATTGTAAGAGAAAATTGTTTGTTTGAATTTTTCTATTAGTTCAGATTTAAATTATTATTTTTTAAAAGAAGGAGATACAAATTTCCTTACAGCATAGGAAAACCTAAAAATATATCCAGACCTGAAAGCATGCAACAGCTTTATAATTATTTAGAACATTAATCATGCTTGATGAACATGCTAAATTTTTAAAAATCAATCTCAGTTTCAAAAATAAAAATATCTAAAAATTCTAATTTGTAAAATGAGTCGCTATCACCAGCTTTTTCTTGAAAATTATACGCGCTGCATACTCCTCCGGATGTGGGCAAGGTGACAGCCGGTAATATGACAAGGCAAGAAACAAAACCCATTTGGGTTGGTCTATTTCTTATAAGGTCCATGGATACATATCAAACAATGCTTAATTAACACAATAATTAAAAGTATATATGAGATTCTTAAGAATCGAAAAATGAATTTTACTGATAGTGAAAAAATAACTTAAATATTGATCTTACGGAGAAGTCGAGAAATTTTGTAATTGATAGTAACTTTGAATAATTATTGGGTACGTGTCAGCTAAACTTTATTGTCGGCTTTGTGTCCTGTGGACTAAATATGTTGACAGTTAAGTGTCCTGTAGCTAAATATCTTGACGGCTAATTCTCTGTGTCAGCAAAATGTCATGTCGGCTAACTGTCCGTGTCGGCTAAATGTCCTGTCGGCTAAATGTCCTGTCGGCTAAGTGTCCTTGTCGGCTAAGTGTCTTGTCGGCTAAGTGTCCGTGTCGGCTAAATGACCTGTCGGTTAAGTGTCCGTGTCGGCTAAATGTCCTGTCGGCTAAGTGTCCGTATCGGCTAAGTGTCCGTGTCGGTTAAATGTCCTGTCGGCTAAGTGTCCCTGTCGGCAAAATGTTCTGTCGGCTAAGTGTCCATGTCCGCTAAGTGTCCCTGTCGGCTAAATGACTTGTCGGCTAACTGGTGTCGGTTTAGTGTCCTGTCGGCTAAATGTCCGCGACCGTCTGGTAAGGCCGAAGGCCGCGCACTTTTGTTTAAAATTGTAAAGGTGCATTTGCGCCGCGCCCTCAAGCGATAAATGGTTGTGGTGGCGAAAGCCTCGAGGTCGAGCATTTTTTCTCTGCATCGTAGTTGGGAAAAGTCCTCTTACTAGTGGCAGAAATCCTCTCTGTAGATAATCGGAGATTATTCGCCAGAGCCAGTCACGTGGGAGGTCACCTTTTCAAGAACTGATCCTGTGAGGTGCTACTTGAAAACAGATGAACTGTGAAGCGAAATTGGATGAATTTTTTGAAAATAAAATAGAGTCCAATAATTTCTGCATGTGTAATGGGGATATTCACATCTAGTCTTCATTTTCTGCGATTTGAACTAGGCACATGGCTGCTTGGAATCCTGCTGTTAATTTTTCAAAGGTAGTCTTCGCTTTTTTAATTTTGTCAATATATAAATAACAGTTCCAAGGAATTTTTGAACTTTTTCGTCTCGAAGCCAGGCGACTGCTTCATTGAATTCTTCTGGGATTGTGACTTTGCTAGATTGAGATTTCTCACTGTAGATTCTTCTGGGGGGTTCAAATAAGAATAATAATGGTGTTTGATGACCAATATATCATGCTGAAGACGAAAAGAGATCGAAACAAGACAGTGGGCAACACTGCTCAGCAACCGGACCACAGGTGTCTCGTTTAACTGTGGCCAAACGACTTCATAAAGATGGCCTATTCTCCTGCTATCTTGAACTTTGCCTAACCATTGACAGCAGCCCATTGGCAATACCGTTTACACTGGTATTGAGAACACAAAGAATGGACATCTCATCAATGGAGTAATGTCATCCTCACCGATGAGTCATTCCAGTCTGACAAACGATTCTCGGACCAGTTGATATAGAGAGCGGTAAGGATCCCACTAACATCAGGGAAAGAGAACGTTGGGGTGTGTGTTTTTTGGAGGGGTATTATGGAGCTCCACAATTGCACGGATGGAGCTTCACATTTTTGACAGATGTTTTCATACAAAAGATCATTACTATGATGAAGTTATTCTACCCCACATTCATCTTTCCTGGAGGTCCCTACTTTGTTTCTATGGATGACTATGCAAGCCCATACGGGACTATTGCTGTTGAGGAACTCAAAGTGAGTGAAAATAGCCGCGGAATGGATTGGCTAGCATACTGTCTTGATTTAAATAAAATCAGTATTAAATCAGACTGAATATGTGTGAAATACTTTGGGGAGAAGCCTGCCTGCACGATCGTATTCTCTGGAGGACACCAGGTAACTGAAACAGATTCTTCCTGAAGAATGGGAACTCTTACCAAGAACTGTTAGATAATTTGGTGCTGAGTATCTACGGACAATAGAACGCGACCATTGTAGTTAGGGAAGATCATTTCCCATACTAAGGCTCTTTGGCTTGTTGTTATCCTTCTTGGCTAGACAGTGTTTTATACCAACACTATTCTGTCAATAAAGCATTTTTCAAATCATTCCGTATCGCATGCGCCCTATTCATTTTTTTTTTTCTGTTATTATACTTTTCTCATCCTTTTAGTATTACATTGTGCCCTATGGTATAAATTTCGTGTGTGTCCAGTTGATGTTTTGCGAAATTAAGGCTAAGATGAAAGAAGATCTTTAAGTTTTGCACACTACTATATGTAATGATGGTATGTCGAGAAGGTGCTTCATCCCGCTGCACTACCGTATCTTTTGGACGTAACAGCGTCGCATAGAATAAAGCGCAGATTGTATAGCTACAATCAGCAAGCATACATTAAAAATTCTCTGTAGCACTTCTTTGACCATCCCTTTCTAAAGATTTCATGTCAGTGACAAATCTGTAACATATGACTGGTCGAAGAATGAACGTTCTGCTACCCCTTCGTTAATGATGATGAAGGGGGGAAACTTTTCTTATTAAAATAAGGATTATATGATAACCCAGAACAGAATTCGAGTGCTCATTGAATCAATGCCTCGTCGGAAATAACATTTGTGTTATAAGTGGTAACAATATAATTTATTAAACTTTTAAGGACGTGAAATCATTTGAAATAATAAATTCTTTTTTTAATTTGCAGTATTTTTTCATGATGTTGCATTTTTTCGGAGCAGCTGTGTATCCTGCCAGATATTTTTCTTTTTTGCTTTGAATATGAAAGATTCGCGTTTGCCTTTCTGGAAATGAATATTATTAAATCAGAATCAATATAAAATTGAATTCAACATAATTTTGATGTTAGTTATTCTATGCCAGTAAATTATTAGCACTTCATTTTATAATTTCGTATCATATATGTTTTCCAGAAAAGCAATCACTTTTTATAATAGAATTTGATTACTAAGATGGAGTATGATGTTCTTTGGTTATTTTTCAAGTTAATGTTATTTACTTTTTTCTGCATTATTTTCAGCTGGTCAGCATTTTAATATTAACACTGTTTGATCATTTGACTGACAATGAAAAGCAGACAGGGTATCACATATTAGTGAGTATGCATATTTTAATAACAATCTAGTTTCTTTTCCTTTGTTAAAAAGAATAATACAATAATCATAAGAGTAGTAAAATCCTATAAGAAAAAAGACAGAAACATTTTTAAATAGTATTTCGTCACATTATAAATCAATTGTTTTAACCGAAAATAGTTCATGTTCATGGTTTATGCTCAACTCTACTGGAAATATTTATTCATATGGAAGTCCTGATTTTTTAATGTCACTCTTATATATATATATGTATATATATATATATATATATATATATATATATATATATATATATATATATATATATATATTATTTTGACTCAATAATAGTCAATAAACCTTTAAATCAGGATAATCTTTAAAATTCCTTAAACCAGGACAATCTTAAGACGCAATAACACGCCGAATAAATACTAATTCAGAAGTCAAACAACAAAAATCAGCGTTATATTTACAAAATTTTCACAGGACTAGTTTCGATGGTTTTACCGAACCACCATCCTCAGCTGCAAAACCTTGTTGTTTGACTTCTGAATCAGGAAAATCTTTTAAAATCTTAAGGGCAATCTTTAAAATTCTTTAAATCGAGACAACATTCAACACTTTTTAAATCAGGCCAAAAGTTTCTGTTGTGTAATTCAAATAATACATTCTTCAAAATTACAGTTTGTTACCTAACGTATCAAGACTCAAATTTTGAAGCATTTATTCTCAATGAAAACCTTTATTAAGTGTATTTTTGAAATCTCTGTTCACAAAGAAAACCTGTATTAAATGTATTTTTTTAAATTTCTGTTTTTTTTTTTTTTTTTTCATTAAACAAATCCATTTTTTCAGACGAGGAGTTGCGGTGCTATTCTACAAATACTAAATATGATGCTAGTGTCATTTGCAACAGGTAATTTAAGTTATTGCAAAACATTTTACAATTAATATTTTTTCCATCGATATGTTCGAAAATTTCATAAAATTGCTCAAGTTAAGTCGAAAAAAATTAAATTTTTAATTATTTATAAGTAATATGTGGCATTATAAACGTCTTTTATTAATTACGATAATGGTGCAAATATTCATTAACGTCTTCGTTTGGATACATTATAAATCACAATTACAAATATTATAAATGAAAGCAATTAGGTATATTATTAAAAATTTAACACCGCTTTATATCTTAAATACTTGAACACACACAAGAATTACACACGGATTCACTAAACTACACTAATGACAATTGAACTATATACAATGATTGAGGTATTTACAACGTAGCTCGTTATAACTATCGGTCCCCATTAACCTTTTTCTTATGCAGACTTTGTCCAGATCTCTCGCTCAAAACTAATTTTCAACCACTCCCTGATAAAGTTAGAACCCCCTACGCGTCTCATTGACTGACGTCACCCATGTCTCACACTCTTGTAATGCCAACACCTGGTAGATGGGAAATAAATATTTTGCTAAGACTAACGTAATCCTCCTTCCCAAATTTCCAGTTTTCGTTACAAATGCTTCAAAAAAAAATATCAAAAATAACTCAAAATTCGAGGAATTTTTTTTTCGCTAATAAATGATTAAATGTCTCAACTACTAATTTTTTACAAGTATTTTTAAATAGAAAAAATCTCTCTTCCTTGTTAAAGGGGGAAAAGTTTGAAAGCTTTATAAATAACTGAAAAGAAAAAAAAAAAAAAAGAAAAAAAAAAAAAAAAGAAAAAAAAAAAGAAAAAAAAAAAAAGAAATGAAAACTTTTGCCAGCAACTTTTCAATAACTACATTTTTGAAGATAAGTTTAAGAAGAATAAACGCACAAGGCTTGAAAAATCTAAAATTCTGCTTGGGGGAAAAAAAAAAAAAAAAAAAAAGTATATTTTGTTCATCTTTGTTTAACTTTCCCTTGATATCACTAGTTGGCATATTCTATACAGATTAAAGTGCTAAAGTTAAATTCTACTTATAAGTGTTAGGATATAAAAAAATGACAAAAATGAAATTAAATTAAAAAAAAAAAGCAAATTTAAGAAGTGAACTGAATAAAGGAATTAATTGAATTCATAACTTATAAGACAAAGTTCTTTTTCTTACACCTAGAAGGTGCGAAGGTATTTTCAATATAGGGTACGTATCAAATTAACAATAAAATATTCAGTTCAATAATCATAAATGATCCGAAGGATATTTAATGTGTTAGAAGAGTTTATATATATATATATGTGTGTGTGTATTTATATTAAAAAAATTTTTTTAGCTGTGCTGTCGAAACAAATGCTGAAATCCAAAGTGGAAGGAAAATTAATGGCACAGACATATCTTGCAACTGTAGTGACATTTGCAGGCCTTTACTTCATGATATATCGAATTGATGTAAGAATGGATTGGTTTATCAAAATTTGCACGCATAATGTTTATAAATTCTAATGTTATAATTAATTCTTTAAAAAAAAATCTTCGTAGACATATTACAGCTTAAATTATGAACTTACTTTCAGCATAATTAGCTTCTATTCGTAAGGGTAAAAAGGCAAATATTTTATCCTTCGAATAATGTCAACTTTTATTAAGATAATATAAATTTATCAAGAAATGCAAAGCAGAATTTTGTAATTTATACCACCGAAATAGAAATGTACTGTTGACCAAAATTAAGAGAATTTTCGCATTTAGTGATTTATCTCCAGATGCGAAGGGCGCGTTTTAATGAAATTTAGTATTCACATAGGTTGATATAAGGAAAATATAACGCAACCATGATGCACGCAGTCATGATGCACACAGTCCTGTTGAATACAGCCGAGCTTAAAGTCACTGTACACTGGTAGTTTGGCCCGGTTTCGAACCTTTGGCTGGCTGCATAAGTCATCACTTTCGCCAAATGTAACGTGGAAGCCTCTACAACAGCATCCCTTCAGTTAAGCAGATAGCGCTTCAGCTGTTTCGCTTTAATCAATTAAGTTCGAGAATTTCGTACACACGCATGATCGGATGCAAGGCCCATCGGCACAAGAACTCTAAAATACATGTTGCACGATTGTGGGAAAAATGCTAATAGAGGGTGTTGTCCGTTTTAACAATCACACAGCTTTCCCAACGTAGCTTTATACCAAAAATGAGGCAGTTTGTAAGTTTCTATGACAGTCGGTCCTTCTTTCGCAACAGTGCTTTTACGTTCTGGAAGGCGAAAATCGAGTTGCAATAGCGAGTTTCCTCCCAACGTGTGTTATGAGGTTTATATCTGGAAATCTGACTGGCCAAGCCATCTGGTTAACATCCTCAATTTCCATCAAATCACCCACCAAATTAGCTCTTACATGAATGAGCATTGTCATCCATAAAAATGAACTGAGAGACTCCTCCTCCTTTAAAAAGATAAACACATGACTAAGATTTTTTTTTTTTTTTTTATGCCTGGGAGCAGTTATGGAACTTCTATCAAGGACGTGAAGCTTTATGAGTCTGCGCAACATGATTCCTGCCCCAGGCTATCAAATTTTCTCCGCCATTCCCTTTCTCGGATGTTAAGAGAGATAGCAAGTCTCTGATTTCCTCCAGGTGAACGTGGTCAATCCTGAAAGCTGAACCCAGACTCATGTATAAAGAAAATGGTCTCCCGTTGACGCTTGATTCAACTCGGTGTTCTACGTGTCATGTTAAAAGGGCTACAATCATGTTAAAAAGGCTACGTACAAAAATTGGATGTAGAAAGGAAAGGGACGTGAACAGGAGAAATCGGATAAACCTCTTGTTCGTAGTTTCAGGGCTGCAATTTGCCTTTCGCTCATTTGTATGGACGACAACTCTTATTCACATAAGGGGAATCTGGATTTAAAGATGATTTTCGGGGAAGTTAGAAGAATATTGAAAGATGAGTTAGGTAACCAAATCTTCAGCCTAAGCCTTAGAGAATATGTCTGAGACGCTTTGGGGAGGGCAACACCAACTTCTCATCTCTCTTCCGGAACATGTAAAAAGCATTGTTGCAGAAGTGGGACTGACAGTTATAGAAATTCGTAAACTACCTCATAATTAGTATGAAGTCACATTGTGAGAACTGAATGACTGTTAGATAGGATCATATTCTTTATTAGACCCTTTTTCAGTTCGATCTGGAAATTTAGATTTTAGACCTTCCTGCTTGATGAACCTTACGCCACAACTATGTATGTGTATCATGATTGTTGCATACTGTATTTTTTACATTGCATCACCTTATGTCCGTGCCGAATTTCATTAAAATCTGTCCACCAGTTCTGGAGATAACCCGAAAAATGAAAATGTGAAAATTATCTTATTATGTTAAATTATCTTATCTGCAGCACTTTAGCTAATTTTTATGACCTTATAAACAAATATCTACAGGTAATTTTTATCATCATATATTTTTAGATGAGCAGATTCATGCATACATACATATACAGGGTGATTCTAAATTATTTTTACAAATTAAGAGGGGTAATAGTACTCATCCAGATGAGCAATAATTACCACATAACATAAGGTCGCATTCCACTCTGAGAGGCAGAAAAGAGAAATATTAGAATTCCAACTTGAATTTAAAACAGTGTTGGGAAAGCGAAAGAACAAAACGAACAGTTGCACAATCAGTTTAGTGAAAAACTCACATCGAGTGCACAAAACAGATAAAACTGAAAACATGGCGTTCGAGTGTTAATTCGAGCTCAGACTTTGATGACAAACACTGAAATGCACATTTTTTGTTGGCAAGGTCTCAACGTCGCAAACGATTGCAAAAAGTTAATTATCTAATCAAGGACTGAATATTATCAACTAGCTTCAAATTCCGCTGTATGCCGAGATTAGCATGAAAAGTTCATGCTGTATTCCGGCTGTCAGAACTGTCCCATAGAAGGGTGCTTCAAGAAGAATGAGTGCAGCATAGTAAATCCAGGAGGGTAGGATAGAAGATGGCGGAGGGGGGAAAAATCTGCTACCTTGGATACTTGATATCAAGGTAATAATAGTTCCCCCCAATAGATAATTTCCCCCTAATAATTTAGATAATTAAGGTGTTGCAATTGTTTGCAAGGTTGAGACTTTGCCAACCAAAGATATGCATTTGAGTGTTTGCCATCAAAGTCCGAGCTCGAATTAACACTCAAAAGCCAAGTTTTCAGTTTTATCCATTTTGTGCACTCTCTGTGAGTTTTCACTAAACTGATTGTGCCACTTTTGGTTTCATTCATTCACTCTCCCAACACTGTTGTAAGTTCTGGTTGAAATTCTAATATTCCTCTTTTCTGCCTCTCAGAGTGGAATACGACCCTACGTTCTATCATAATTATTGCTCATCTGGATGAGTACTATCCCCCCTCTTAATTTGTAAAAACAATTTAGAATCACCCTGTATTTATGTATGTATATATATAAGCAAATATTAAAACATTTTTAGAGTTCAAAATTGCAGATCTTCCTTGTTAGTCTAGCCAATAACCAACAATACAAATAAAAATCAGCAGGTGCAAAAAAGCAGAATTAAATTACTAATATTTCACAGTATGATACCAGAATCTGTGAAAAAGTTAAAATTGAATCACTATGCATCTTTGACTGCAATCTGACCTCACAGAAAATATAAAAGAATAACACAAAATATTTACAGCCCCAAATTACCAATAGCAACTGGTACACCTGTGATGTCAAGTCCAAGATTAGCTTAGAAATTAACATGCCCCTTTTATTTCAAAGTAGCTTTCAGTTTCACAGAAATACTTGTATACTCGTTTGAAATTCTAACCATGGCATACTTGAGGATTATTTTCATCTTCCCATCATATAAAGTAAAATTATATATATTTTTTTAATTATAAATTGCAACAAAAAATCTGAGCTGAACTCAAGCTAAAACTACATTAAAGATACTAGTTGCAGATTTACTTAAATGGTATTTAGATATTAAAAACTTATAAATTTCTCAGACTAATGCCAGTTCTTGTTTACAATAACATCAGATGCATACTTGTTAAATTTGTAACCAACTAGTAAGAATAAATTAACTAACAGAGTAACCAGAATAAACATTTGAGCACTTGTTTTCAACCAGAAAATCTACCCTTTTCATCTTTAAATAATGTTAATGTGCATTTTTCTTAAAATGAATGTCCTAACATTTTAAACTATTAAACTTTATCAAAAAGCATCTTGTGTCAAATGTGTGATAAATGTAACGCTAATAAAGAAGCCATGGGCTGTAATTTATACATATATGCACACCATTTAATTTTAAAATGCCAATTTTAACCAATATTTTGATGATATATTTGACTTTTTATTCTATAATAAAATTATAATCTAAGATTCTTTATTTAATATTTGCTATTTCAAAACTTTTAGGTAATCTGGTTTCAAAATTCAAAATCATAATGAGTTCTTCAAGAGAGAAGTCGTTTCTAACTATTCACATTTTTTTTTTTTTTTTTTTTTTTTTTTTGTAGCCAAGAAGTTGGGAATTTGGAAGCTCAGACAAAATGGAAGACAAAATAGCCCTAACTCAATTCATAAAAATGCTATACCTGTCTGTATCTGCAGCAACTTTATGTGGTAAGAAACTGTATGTGTATTGTATTTAAAAAATTCCACACACAAAAAAATAATCTGATGGTAAATATATTATAAAAAAAAAAAAAAAAAAGAAAGAAAGAAAGAAAGAAAGAAAATTTTACAGTTAGTAAAATAATTTTAATGAAAGGTAGCCTTTCAAAATCAAAGGAAAGATATTTTGATTAATTATAGCAACAGGATAGGGATACTTTTGTCAAAAACTTTCTGAATAAAACTATACTTCCAAAGGCATACTTTTAAATGAAACTAATAACACACAGGATGTAATAAGAAGTAAGGTATACGAATATTTAAGTTTTATTCATAACATTTCAAAAAGAAAAGTACTGAAAATTAGCCATGTAGCCACATAGTAAAAAAACTCAGAAATGAATAATTTAAAAAAACTATGCTTTTGATTTTCATTAAAATATGCAATCTATTGTTTCCCAGTTTATAGAATAATCCCAATCAGAATTAATTTTATAATATAAATTTTGCATATGGGCAATCAGAAAATTTTTCTGAAAAGGCAATACAAGCCTAATAGGCATTCATACTGTTAGACATATACACTGTATTTCTATTAGACCTTGTCTTTCATCTCTCGTAAAATCCCAATACTAGCCAAGTAGATATGATCACAGAATGTAGTTTATCCCATCTTAAAATTATGATTTCAAATGGTAGAATGAACTGATAAGGGTTTTTACAGTCTTCTTCATGTGTATCATGACTTTGATTAAGTCCTTTCTCTAGGTGCAGGTAATAATTAGTATTTTGCCACAAAATTTCCAATATCATACAGTTAAAAAATAAACATTCAAATCAAAAAGTAACTCTACTAAAGACATTCTCAAGACTTTTCTTTCCTTCTTTTTAATAATGCAGAAGTCAAAATATTTCTTTCTTTTCAATACTTATATTTTAACATCACAATCCACTTATTTTTAGGTGCAGCTAACATTCAACCAAATTCTTGGTATGTAACATTAATATTATGCTTTCAGGTAAGTAATGCAATCTTTAATTTTATGTGAAAACAAATATTTGTATATATTTCTTGCAATGGACCATGAAGAACTTGAAAATTCAAATTACTACTTGAAAACAAGAGCTAAAAATAGAATTGGTTAATATTATAAAAAAATGACATAATAGTGCTGATGGATTCATTATTAAAAGTCTGAAAACTACCAACATAATTGGTAGCCTAATAATTATTTACCATCAATTAAATCATGAAAAGATAAAGATTCAATCAAAACATAACCATAGACTGTTCATCAAACAGGTAACACTCTAGAAGGCAAAATTTTATGTGCAACCAGAAAAAAATAAAATTTTGATTTAATTTATTCATGAACAAATGCTATTAAAAAGTAATCTTAGAATCCATACAATAATCTTGATACTCTTAAATATGAAGGCTGACTGAACAGTATTACAATTAGAGAAAGCAGCTATCAAGTTGGCCATTCTGATTTCCAGCTTGGTAAGATTTAAATTTTTGAAAGTGTTTTATGGTCCTTTATAAGTATAACATACATAATAGGCAGTTTAGCCTAAAAAACACCCTTTGAAGATATCCCTTATGTGCTTTGGCATGTTCAAATAAAGAAACATATAATGGCCTGTAAGAGAGCTGTTTCATGGGGACAAAGAAGTCGTATGCTTCCATCTGTTAGATGATTCTTTTCTCTCAGCTTTATCTTAGAGAAAGATGAGAATTTTTTAGGTTCCACCAGTGTACATTTATGCATATTCATGTTAGTTTTAGTTATATGTCACAAAAGACATTTGAATTCAGGCTAGAAATATTATACAAATCACAATTTTTGTTACTCAGTGTTCGTATTTGCAAAATAGCAATATAAGAAATCTGCATGTTGAAATTAAAACAACAATTAACTAAATGGAAATAATAAAAGAATTCTAAAAAAATAAGATTATTGCTGCAGAGAGATGCGTGATACATAAGGTCTTAAGCTGTTATCATCCTTCAAAATTTAGTAACTGTACATAATTTTGACAATGCTACATAAGGTAACTTTAACAATGAATTTTCTATTGTTTTTTTTTTTTTTTTTTTCAAGAAATCAGCAATTTTAAGAATTTTGATAATTTTGTGATGCAAGTCATTTCACATAGTAGCTAGGATTTCATTACTTGGAAAAAGAATTTTTTTGTTTCTCAGTTCTTAAGAAATTTTTATTTCCTGAATATTTTGCAGAGATAATTGACTTAATTTAATTTGTGTTAAATTTTGACAAGAATAATCATTTTCTAAAATTTGATGACAAAAAGACCATTTATCCGTTTTAATAAAAAGATGTCACACAATGATGTGTTAGCATTAATATTAAGCTAAAGCAAATGTAGATATTCAAATGCTAAATTCCAGAAATTTATTACTATGATTAATTCATCAGTGAATTTATACTGCTTTCAATACAGAAGAGTTAGGATAACTTACTGTGTTATAAATTGCATTTTCTAAAGACAGCTATTAAAAATCCTTCTAACCTCTTCAGCTTAATGTACTTTGTATTATATATCAAATAGACTGGCTTTTGATTTTAGTATCAATGGAATCCTATCATATTCTTTTTCTCCTTCACTAAAATTTCTTACTTATATATACAGACATGCCCCTTTAAACTGCAGATTACAGATTAAAACAGTTATATTGAAATCCAAAATATTTTGCCTAGCAATATTTAAAGAACCTTGAAAAGAAAGTATTACATATTTAAAATATCCTTACAGTTTATTATGCCATGGATGATCATTAAGCAATTAGAGCAATTTGATTTCACATTTAAAATTCAGCAATTTAAGTAATTTTATTTCACATTTAAAATTGAAGCTGTCTAAAACTGAAGTATAACATGACTGCAAGAAGCAATAACTGCAAGAAGCAATAAAGACAAATCTATCAACTTGTGTATATGCAAAACTGCTGTAAACTTTACAGTCAGTTTTTAAAATATGAAAAGCCTTACATATAAAGCATTCAATAAATAATAAAAACTCAAGTTAAAAAAAGTCTGATAAAATTCTATTCTAGGCTTAAGAATTTATAAGGCAACTATTTCCAGGAATCTACAAAACTCTAATGGCAGACCAATGCCATAGCATATCAAGATAAGTTGTAATCACAATTTCATGTTACAAATTTAGGTCCATGGAAGGGTTTTGCCTGCAAGAGGTTTGAGTCTGACACAAGTTCCAACTATATTGTTTACTTGCAATGGGTTGTTCCATAAGAATTGATAAGAATTCCAAAGTATTTACCTTTGTAATATTTTTTACTGAAGACTATATATGGCATGATTAGACATAGGGATTTAAATGGTAAGTATGCAATAACTGGAATAACATATGAAAAGGAAAGTGCGGTTGTTTTCTGGTTTGGGAAACTGCAAATGAAGGAAACTATGGATCTCAAGACTGATCCTTGTAGTACCCATTTAGGACAGACAAAAACTTACAATTAAATATAATGTTAATGTTTGATACCATTTTTATGTACTTCATTAGAAACACTTCATTTGAGAACATCCAATCATTTCAATCTATATTATGTTTTGCTTTATTAAATTCAACAATGCCAAAGTTTCAATTTTTTATCAAATTGATCGATATATGCAATGATTAATGATGAATTAAGGATTTGGGTCATCTGGGAAATATACTCAATTTATACCTGGCATTTCAATGAGTCAAAGATGATTTAGTAAACACATATACATTTCACATGTAAAGAAGCTAATATTTTAATGATAAAATTACCTAGACATTTATCCAGCAAGTTACTGTCCTTTTGTTTATGTTAAATCAATATTTTTCCTATGCATATTGCTCTAAATTTTGTAAGTATAAATAGTGTACACAAAAATATTTAGAAATTTTAAACTATGACAATTAAGTATAATGACTGAATTGAACTAAATATACAAATTTTATAGTGATTGAAAAGATTGAATTGAACTAGAATTACTAAGTATTATGTTTGACTGAATTTTAAAACAATAATATATATAATATGTGGAAAATTAAATATGGCTTGTAACTGTAAAGATTAAAAACTTCTTGAAGTAATCAGATTTATTTTAAAAGAAAATATAGTTTCAACATTTGAAAATGGTTTTGAAATACCTGCATTGAACAAATAATTAAAACCTTAAGTATATGAATCTGAAAATAGATACTGCACACATTTTTAAAAATTATTTTATTTACACAAAATACACTAAATGAATTCATGTTTGTTACCAAAAAACAAAAAATTAGTTGACAAATAAATTAATTTGCATTTTCAGAGTCTACTCAATTTTGTGTATTTTGCATCTATTTTGGCACAAACCATTGGAAACTACCACAGTTACACAGTGCAAGTTCGCCGATCTAGTTCTGTAAGTCGACTAAAAGCAAGATAATATTCAACTTTCAAGGATTTTTGTAAAAATATGTAAATAAACCATATGCTTTTCTTAATTTTTTTTATTCTTATAATAAATTACATTTGAAATACAAAAGAATAGAGAAAACAGCATTGTGCTAAAACAGTTTCAAATACTTTTATATACATCAATCAAATCTTGAATTATACAAAGTTTAAATCCTTGATAAGCATTAGTAACATATAAAGTTATATTTTTATGAATTTAAGTATTTAGGTGAAGCAGTTATTGCAAATGCTTTTTAATTAATCTTCAAATAAAATATATTATGTAATAATTATAATTTTACAGATATATGTATACATAGATCTAAAAAATTTAAAACTGTCTTCATACAGCACAAATCACAAAATTTTGCAACATCAAAACAACTTTAAAATACCAATATCTTTGAAAAATAATTACCTTATTTTTTTCCCCCCATTTTGAAATTTTTTATACATTTAGATTTCTAATTGCATAGAAAAGCCATTTGTAATGCATTTTTAAAGTTATCATAATTTAAAAAATTTTAAATATAATTACACCCTTTTTGAATTTCTTACAGATTTGTACAAAATAAATAATTCTGGAATAAAGTGTTTGCCTATAACACATTTACATTTATCACTTTTGGTTGCATTGATAAACATCTGCTTAACACTACAGTTCTAGCCAAATATGATCAGCTAGCATAAAGAATTTGAATATTATACTAAGGACAAGATATCTCAACTTTCAGTATGTAAAGCTGCAACAAATTCTTCTAATTTTTCTTGTATCTGACGCACTCTCTCTGCAAAGTAATGAAAATTATTATTTTCCTTACTTCATTCTTCAAAGTTGACATAAAATACTTTTAAAAGATAGCTAGCTTTCAGTAGATTTCATGTTTTAGAACTAAACATAAAAAAAAAATGAGAACTTACTTAATTCTTCAGCTAGCACAACTCTTCTTCCAGTAAGTAATTTCTTCTTTTTGTCAGAATCTTGACTATAATCTTCTAAAACTTGCTTAATTTCTTTTTCAAGCCTTCGAGCTATTAGAAAAGAGATGAAACAATTTCTATGTTAAATAATAAAGATTAATTTAAAATAAAGAACAACTGTAGAAAGTCAGTTATTAAAATTAATTTGGGGTTAGCATGATAAGTATTTAATAATTTGCAGGGAAAACATTTTTTCACACCCTCTGGCTCCCTCTCAAAAAACAAAAAATAAAAAAAGAGAGAGAGAGATCATGCACATAGATATGCATTAAATAATTTCACATTCAGTGAAAATCACTAATCGTAACTTGAAAGACAATACAAAATAAACAAAGTAAACTTTATGAATTAACAGCATCATAAAGTTCTGAACTATAGACTTTTAATCATATTATTACATACTAAAATTAATTCTTCGCAGTCTAAGTGCTGGTGATGCTATTACACAGGAAATAACAAGGTATTTTGTATAAATGTGTAAAATATATTACACAGGAAATAATAAGGTATTTTGTATAAATGCTATAAAATTTTATATCATGATACCACTGCAAAAATATACTTTATAACAACATTTGATTTCATTCCAAAAATACACCAAAGCTAAAATTAAGAACATTATTATGGATACTTAATCACTTTTCATTCTTGTGCCATATTGTGAGCAAAAATAATAATTTATAACAATTTTTGTATTCTAATTGATTATATGAATTCAAATCAGCAGTCAGAATTATTACAAGTATTGCATTTATTAATTTAAGATAACCTTTAATTACGGTGAAATTAAGGCATTTTTACTTAAATTTGGCTTTTCTCACAAAACTGCAGAACTCAAAAGCACACTTTACAGGAGATAAATGTGAAAGAAAATTACGGCAGTGGTGGAGGAGGATTACTAGAATCCATTTCTTAAACGATCCGAACCCGAATTATATCATCTGAACTTTCTGCTTCCTCATCATTACTAGAGAATTCTGATAAAGAACTTTAAGGACTATTAGAATCATTTATAGAAAATTCAGATTCGCTATCTGATCCAATATCAGAATTATATTTTGTTATAAGCTTTTCACTGCCACCCATCGTTCTTTTATTTCACGAAAAAATTGGGAAGTAATACTATTCGCAAAGCCTAATACAATGAATACGTGCAAACAAACATGTTGAATTTCTTCACCTAATGAAAAGTTGTAAAACCTATCTTATCTATCTATCTATGTAAAATCTATTTTTTACAATACAATCCCTCCTGGACTACTAGAGACATCTATTAGAAACACTGCAAAGTAACAAATGTGAAAAAGCCAGGAAAATTAGTGGATTAATGTAGGAAAGTACACTGCCTGAGCAGTGTACAAGCAAATAAAAAAAAAGGCCCTTTTCGCAGCACCCGAAATAGTTAAGTGGTTAACATACAAAATAAAAATAAAATTATTTCAGGTACTTAACATATAAAATAAAATTTAACCTATTAAACTTTCAGTATTTATTATTTAAAATTTTTATAATATGGTTACTATCAACAACTTGCGGGCAATTAACTAATAAAAGAAATTTAAAATAGCAAAAACAGAAAAAGACAAATATTTAATTTTGACAATAATGACCAAAGAAAAGTTCTTTATAAAATGTATTTAAAGTCTGCTAATTACCTGGATGTAAAATAGCTTATTATCAAAACAAATGACATAATATAAAAAGCATACAATTTCCAAAGAAGCACTGATTAACATACAATATGAAAATTAATTAAAGCCCCCCCCGAAAAAAAAGATGACCTAAAACAATATCATCGACATATTTGCTAGTGATATATGATAAGTTCATCAGATAGAATCTCTTCAAAACAAAAAGAATCCCTTTCCCTCCAAAACATTTTTGTTAAGAAACAATTTGTGGAGTTCTATTCACATAGAAATCTAAAATTTAACTACCTTCTGCATTCATTATTTGCTGCCTTAAAGCATTAGAAGTAGTCTGCAGCATTCTCTGTATTCTCCAGAATAAGACAACATCACTGCAATCAATCTGAAAAAAATCAACATCATCTTCTAATTCATGGAATAAAAAAAATCTTTATCAGATTAAAACCACTCGCACTTCATATATAATTCAGTTTTTCTTTAAAAAAAATCTGCCTAACCATTAATTTAAATTTTAGTGAAAATTACAGTTTATTGCAATTTATTAAGGTATATTTAAGTAAAATACACTAAAATACGGAATTCAATAAATAACATGCATTAAACATTTATTTAAAAAACATGTCTAGAAATATACAGTAATAAGATGCAAACTAAGTGTTCAAGCCTGCAATTTCATAATACATTCACTAAAAAGCTATACTAGTTAACAACTTATTTCTTTCTTCACATATGGATGTCTGTTATGAAGGTTTGTTGTGTCTGACAACAAATGTTACTATATTAAAATAATAATGGCACCACTGAAGAGAAGGCAATTTACACATGATGCTTACTTGAATTACAATTTCTAATAGAAATCAAATTAATGCAGGATAATTTAGATATTTTCTGGCAAAGTGGTGCAATATCATTACTTCCGAGGACTGAAGAAAATGGTCTGACAATATTGCTAACCTACATGACATTTTTGTTAGGAATTTTTTTATTAACTCTACAATGGATATAGTTTTGACATTAGATATTAGATACCTGAATTATGTGCAAACCCTGCATGCATTCTAGGACTAAGGACATTATCTACAAAATAAAGGGTACATCTCTCACTAAACTGGAAGAATGCAGAACAGCAACCTTTCCCCATGAAGCATCTGCAATTTGTAGTGTACAGGATGGAACTAAACCATCATTTAAATTTTCTTTGTGCCACCTATACAGCGCACATTGGTTCATACTAATTAAAAACAAAAATATTCGAGCATCCCTCGTTTTTCAAAAATAATAAGTTATTGTTGAATGGCAAAAAGTTAACACCTTTTTGATGGAATTTCTTCATAATCACATCATTTTCATATATTTGTCATGATTTTCCTCTTCTTATAGCATTATGTAAATGAAAGAAAAAAAGTAACAAGATTAAAAAATTTTAAACAGTTTGCTGCCTGAATAAGTGAAAAACTTACCTACAATGTAGCTACAAATTACCTAAATTTTAATAACCAACTGGCTGAATTAAAAATAGTTTAAGAACTGTTTCTTAAGCATTATTCTGGGGGAGGGAGAATCTTTCCTCTCAAACAAAATGTCAGTCATTTTTGTGAAATTTACTTAGCAGACTTTAAAAAAACATTTTTACAGATGCCAATATGCATTAAAAAAAAAAAAAGATAATTACAATAATGACCACCCCTTAAAAGTTATCAATCTTTCTCCTTTAAATTCAAAGTTAGAAAAACATTCAAATATTTTTCAAAGTTGGCAATGACTTTCAGATATTTTTAAATACCTTGAAAATTTCATTAAATTTTAAAAGAACCCCAAAAGATTCCCTAGATGAAAAAATATTGTTAGTAAAACACTACAAAAGTCCACTATTTATCTCAGTACTCATACAATGAAAATAATGCAGTAAACACAGTTGTTATATATTCATACAATAATATATACTATATGTTAAAAACACTTACATAAGTTACATTTAGGTTTCAATAACTTAGACTAAAGGTAATAAAAATACAACATGGAAACTACTTCATATTTAAAGATTGCTCCTTTGACAAAACCAAAAAACTATAACAATTCATGGTCTTTTGATTAATCATTTTTCTTATGAAAATAACAGAATTTTATTCTTTTCTCTCTCTCTCTCTATATATATATATTGGGTTATCTGAAATCTTCTGTGGGTTTTTTATATTAACACAAATGAAGTGGTACAAAAATTTAAGAAAATTTCTTTGAATCACCTAAGCAAAGTTGAAAAAGTCTTGTGAATGTACGGGGTAACACAAAACATCCCACCTACACTCAAAGAGTTTTTCTCTGGTATTGTCAAAATGAAAGGCACCTTTATGATTCATCAGTTCTCAGCGTTTGCTTCAATTTCTGCTCTTAAAACTGCCACTTAAGAGCAATATTTTTCTGAATTTGTCTGATTTGAGGTAACAATTTATAGTGTACAGTTCCTTTGTAAGCTTCCATACACAAAGCATTACTTTTGGGGATGTAGCCTTCCTTTTAATGTTACTAATGTTTTTTTTTTTTTTTTGGTTTACTTCATGATCTTTTTTCTTGCAGTGTTATTGTATAATATTGTGGTAATAGTGATAAGGAGCACGCCTTGCACCCCTGTGTGGGTGCCGATAAATATGGCAACCCTAGGTAGAAGAGGAGAGACAGGCCGTTTGAGGAGTAATATGCATATTTGAATTCTTGAAATAAAGATAAATTTTAAGTGTAATATATCTGCTCAAAGTTCTTGAAGAATACAGAGAGAAGATTTAATGCAATATAGGCAACTAGAATTCCGTGGGATCTATAACAATTACCACATTGGTGACTGGACTTCGCTAAATCAGGCCATGTGAATAGTTCACAAGTAATTTAGATTTTGACAGATTGCCATCTCAAGACCTCTAAACCAGAACTAATCGATTTTTATCCTCCGAATCACAGATGAGTAGCAATTATAGTTCATTTTATCATTTTGTTTTCTATTTATTATTCATATTTTATTTTCTGTAGTAGAATTTTTACTTTCGTTTTGGCTTAAACATTGCACAATGTCTCATGTATATGCCGCCAAAATTCCGGTTTATAAACAGATCAGACCCAGCTTTATGGTTTGTTATGTGTGAAAGTACAAATATTGCATCATTAGTTCAGGATTTACTTATGAAACCAGACCCAACCAATCCTTATACAAAGCTTAAAATTGAATTAATAAACTGATCAGGAGAATCATCTCAGCAAGAAATTCTCCAATTATTATCTAGAGAGGAATTAAGCTCTCGAAAACCTTCGGATTTGCTTAGGAATACGAAACAATGAGCGGAATCCTTAAATGTTATTGATAACCTAATGTTAGAATTATTCCTTCAGCAGTTCAGTCTATTTTGGCAGCAGTTTCCAATTAGACAAAGTTGCAGAAATTGCCAAACAGAATCTTAAAAGTAAATCCAACCCCAGGGACTTATGCAGTTTCTAGTACAGTCGATCAATCTATTGAGGATAAATTGTTTAAGGAAATAGAAAAATTAAACAAGCGTATTGATCACATTTCCCTATCTCAAGATTGCTTGCCAAATCGTGGAGATCGCAATAAAGAAAGGAGCAGTTCCAAAAAGATAGATTATTCTGTTTCCTGGTATCATAGATATTTTGAAAAACGATGTAGAGAAGACAAGTGTATCAAAACTTGTTCATGAAAGGGAAATGAAACCAGCAAAGAACAGAAGTGACTTATTCTTTGCCTCAAATTTCACATCGCCTGTTCATTTGTGACTGGAGAACAAACGTCTCATTCGTGGTTGATACCAGCTCTGACATGTCCTTACTTCCAGCAAACAATTCACAAAAATGAAACTCTATCCAACAAACACTTCTCTCTGCTAATTCTTCAACTATCCATGTTTATGGTCAAAAAACACTTTCTTTGGACTTCAAATTAAGATGAAAGTTTGCTTGGACTTTTCTTATAGCAAATGCACCCATTCATGGAGCAGATTTCCTCTATTTCTTTGAATTGGTGCCTGATCTTAGAAACAAATGTCTCAAAGATTTAAAAACAAAGTTTCAGACTGTAGGCTGCGTGAAAAATCCAGATATTTATTCAGTAGAAACTGTCTTCAGTGACACACTTTATCACAAAATTTTAAAAGAATTCCATCCATTGCTAAATTACCAGATCCTAACCAACCTGTTAAACACAACATTGTTCACCATATCATAACAAAAGGTCCACCTGTGGTTGCGAAGCCTCATCGATTAGCCCCAGACCACTTAAAAACAGCAAAGCAAGAATTTCAAACTATGATGCAACCAGGGCATTTAAGACCGTCAAGAAGCAATTATGGATTCCCACTTCACAAGATTCCAAAAAAGGGGAACTTTGGAATGGAGACCTGTAGGAGATTATCGTACATTAAACCCACAAACGATATAAAAAAAATACCCTGTTCCATGCTTAGCTGATTTTACTGCCTCATTACATGGTACTAAAATTTTTAGTCATGTTGACCTGATCAAGGCATATCATCAGATACCAATCAACCCAGCCGACATTCACAGAATGGCCATATGTACACCATTTGGTTTATTCGAAAGTACCCATATGCAATTTGGTTTATATAATGCATATGCAACTTTTCAATATTTTATAGACAAAGTTCCACGAGATTTAGAAGGTGTTTATGCTTTCGTCGGCAACTTGCTCATAGCCTCTAAAGATTCTGAGGAACACTGCAGGCATTTAAAAGCTTTATTTTCAAAACTTCAGGAATATGGACGTTTCAAAATGCGCCTTTGGCCAAACATCTATTGATTTCTTAGGTTTTTTACCTAAGAAATCAATAGATTGTGAAAACGGGATTGAACCTCTTCCTGACAAAGTCAAATGTATTTTAGATTTCCCTTAACCTACCACCCTCACTCAGCTTCACCAATTTTTAGGCATGTTTAACTTTTACTGATGTTTCATACCTAAAGCAGCATGCATTCTTTCTCCTTTAATAAAACTGTTAGAAGGACATATCAATAAAAATAAACCTCGTTTTCGTGTTAAGGATTCATCCTCATCATTAAATTGGAATGAAAATACTGAACAGCCCTTTATTGCTGCCAAAAATGCCATTGCTCAAACTATCCTTTTGAGACACCCTATTCCCGGAGCCCAGTTAAGCATTTGGGTAGATGCTTCAGACTTTGCTATAGGGGGCACTCTTATGCAGTTGACTCAACAAGCATGGGAACCTACAGCATTTTTTTCTGTGAAACTAAACAAAAGTCAACAGAAATGGTCTACATACGATAGGGAATTATTTTCAATTTATTCTGTGATTAAGAAATTCCAACACATGTTAGAAGGCAGAAATTTTCAAATTTATACAGGTCAGAAACCGTTTTTAAGCAGAATCCTCACAAATGTTCACCTCGCCAATTAAGCCATTTTGATTTTATTTCTTAGTATTCTCCCGATATAAGGCATGTACAAGGTCCTAAAAAGGTTGTTGTTGAAACTCTTTCGAGAATCGAAATTGATTCTAAAGCAAAATCTCCATTACTGGATTTAAAAAAATTTTCCGAAGCTCAACAGCATGATCTGGAGATACAAAACCTTCTCAAAAACAATACATCATTTTGAAGATGGAATTCAAGCTGTCCCTATACTCTGATGGTAACATTTTTTGTAACATCTCTACTGACGTTCCTTGTCCATTTGTGCCAAACTTCTTTCGCAGATTCATCTTTAATCATCTGCATATTCTATCACATCCAGAAATTGCAGCTACTACAAAACTCATTTGTTCTCATTATGCATGGCCCGATATGAAATGTCACATAAAAAATTAGGTGAATTCCTGTGTTTCTTGCCAACAATCGAAAATAACCAAACACACTAAAACAACATTGGGGACATTCTCTCTCCCTGATGCACATTTTTCACAAATCCTTATGGATATTGTTGGCCCGATACCACCATCAGAAGGTAACATGTACCTTTCGAGTCTAATAGATAGATTTTCCAGATGACCTGAAGCGATTTTCAACTCATCGATATCTCGTTTTGGCTGCCCATTGGTTATAACAACTGAACAAGGCTCTCAAATGAGATCTGCAATGTTTGCAGAATTTACTCACATTTTGGGAACAAACAAAATCACAACAACAGCCTAACATTTAATGTCAAATGGCCTTCTTGAACGATTTCACTGTCATTTAAACTCCTCTGTGAAGGCTCATGAGACCAATAACTAGACTGAAACACTTCCAATTGCTCTGCTTTGTATCTGGACAGCCATTAAGGAGGATCTGCAAACATTTTGTGCAGAACTGGTGTACGGCATGACTCTCAGGCTGCCTGGTTGATATAACATCATCTAAGATACCTTCATACAACACACAATTTATCACCAATCTAACTGCATAGAATGCAACAATTAATCCCAATAGCGACATCTGCACATTGTCAAGTCAAGTATCATGTAAATTCAAACCTGCAATCGTGCACCCATGTGCACTTACGTATCGATCACATAAAGCCACCGCTGTACCAGCCATACTCAGGTCTGCACAAAGTGCTTACCACAATGGGCAAAACTGTCACAATTGAAATTAACAGAGTTAAATCCACTGTGTCCATAGACCACATCAATCTGGCCTATTTGCTTTCAGACTCTCATTTACCTGAACTGAAACCAGACTTCATAACAGTTCAACAAGATAAATCTAATCTAACAAACTCTAACACATGAATTGTCACGAGATTGGGAAAGTATGTGCACTTTCCAAAGAAACTTGCTTCTTATATTAAAATTTAAAAAAATGTTTGAAATTTGCTTTTTCCCATATTTATTAATATTTTACTTTTATATGTGTGCATATTACCTAGTCATGATGTTGAATCTCATTTTGAGTTTTCTAATTTTATATCCTAATTTTGTATTAAGGGGGGAGGGAAATACTTGACAGCACAGATCCTCTTCAATATTCATCTGATGCCATCAAAAGAACTGGGAGGAAACTCTGTGGTGATAGTGATAAGGAGCACGCCTTGCAACCCCGTGTGTGTCGATAAATACAGCAACCCTAGGTAGAAGAGGAGAGACCATACCTGCTGTTCGAGGAGTATTATACATATTTGAAGTCTCAAAATAAAGATCGATTTTAACTGTGTAATATATCTGCTGAAAGTTCTTGAGGAATACAGAGAGAACATTTAATGCAATATAGGAAACTAGGATTCCGTAAGATCTATAATGATTACTACAGTATCCACTTCTCATTTCTAATAATGAGATATTTCAAAAAAAGTGATTCATATTTTTTTTTCAGCAAACAACTCCAAGCATATTCAGCTCTGTGAAAGTATAGAGTGCCCACATATCTTGGCAGCTTACATACCTAATTTTCTTCAAATTACCATACACATACATATTTTTGGAATTTTCAGTCTTTCTGATAGTAACATGGATTGTCAGCAACGGTTTTTTTCTTAATAGGTCCTTGTTTGCAAAGCATGTTTGTCTAAAGTGGGCATAATCTTCGAAACTGAAATTTTAAATTTCTCCAAACGTTTAACCACATGCATTTTACAAGCAGTCTGACTAGCACTTTTTCTTTTTTAAAATAAGAGAGCAAAATTAATCAAAAATGAACTTTTGAGTTTTCTATTCTTAGCACATCACTAACAAAAAGTTACATCATAACAACATGCTAGAATTACATAATATGAGCAGGAAAAAACTAAACATCCATTTCAATCAAGGCCTCTCATTATCAGTGATAACAAAAATTAGAAGAAAATGCACTGCAATCTGAAAACCACAGAACTTTTTGGATAACCCAATCACATTTGCTTGTTTCTCATTATTTCAACCAAAAGACTATATTAATGTCAAATTAATTGAAGGCTCAAGACAAAATTTTGTATGATGAAAAAATTAAAGTAATTTTTATTGATATCAGATCTACTATCCCTAAAACTATTAAGTGGTACAAATTAAAAAACAGTATAAGCTTGTAAAATTTAAATTTTGCAGATGTGCAATTTACAGATGACTGCTACTTAACTGCTTATAAATATACATTTTTGAGCTTGTTAAAATAAAACTTACTTCTGCATCTAAACTTTGGTGATATAAATAAAATGCTTTTTTGCAATCGGTGGCTTTTTGTAATGATTGTTCTAGTAAATGTTTTCGTTGTAGAGGATGCCATACTTGTTTGATCTGAAAAATATTCATACTTTCTTAAAGGAAGACTTTGGAATTATAATAATTTCATTTTGTTAGCTGAAAAACATGAAAAACAAAAGATCTATGAATTACATTTACAGAAAAATGTAAAATATGAAAGATGCAGATCAACCGAAAAAAAAATTAAAATATGGACTTCTGAATATACTCCATTGAATTAATCAAGCATAAAAGTACTAAGTGATCTACATCTGACTGTAATGATTCATAAATTGCTATAGTTAAAAATCATTTTAAAATGTATTTTCATTCATCATCTTATAATTTACAAGCCATATATCGAACAAATCATTTCCAAAGACACAGCTCTTAAAAAAAGGAACATTTTTTGTTAGTTGCTATTAATATTTAAGTAGCAAATATGACATTTTTTCACATAATATTAAAGAGGAAATTCAAAACTATGTTTTACACAGTTTAATTTGATTACCACTATTAAATTACACATATTGCATACATACGATTTTACTAACATAAAACATCTAAATGAGAGAGAGATATAATGTAAAACAAAGTATCAGGCAAAGTATATTTATTCAACACATTTCTGCACTAAGCTGTTTAGCATTACAAATGGAATAATAAAATAATGTAAACAGAGCAACGCAGCACAATAAATGTAATATTTTACAGTAAATTTTCTTTGAAGCAAAGATGCATTTAAATTTAAAAATAAAGAATCTGTATGTGTATTCATCACACTGCGGAAAGTTGGTGGTACCTAGAGCCACCAAATTGTGAACACATGTAGACTTGAACATGTGTATCTTATAGCTAAAATTTTGAATTTTTGATCAACTCAAAAGATTTAAATGCAATGTGTTGCCACTACCCAAACCAAATATTTTTTATCTTTTATGCACTAGTGTGTAGCAATTTGGCAAATGTATGCTATTAATTTTTCAAATTTAATCTGTTACTGATTAAAAAAAACTAAGAGATTGAAATATGAAAAAAAGCATTATATAAGATTTTTTTTTTCTTTAATAATATATTTGATTGATTTAAATAAAAATACATTTAATTTATGATAAAACTAAAATTTTTAATGTTTTATGCAAACTTATGCAGTTTTTTAAAAATTATAAAAGTTATATATATATATATATATATATATATATAGATATATAGTAAATAATTGATGCAGAACCATCTTTCTTTTAAAATTTTTATGGCCTTTTATAATTTTGTGAAGGCAGATATTTCTTTGAGCTGTCATACTGTAATTTTAAGACTTCGGATACTAAGTCTTGTATAGCTCAGCCCACACTATAATTTGTTTTAATGCACAGATACAGATATACAGATATACAGATGAGATTCAGTATTTATTATGTTCAGCCTACCCTGTCTATCCTATATCTCATGACATATTGTTAAGTGTATTTATTTATTTATTTATTTTAATTTCTTTCAGTGTTCTTCAAAGGAGATTTGCCAGATTTCATTGTGCAGGTAAAGAAAACAAAACAAAACAAAAAAAAAGGGGGGGAGTTTTACGACAGAAATAATACATATATATATTAAGATTGCTAGAGAATACCCCTTCTGTCCCTCATCATTGAATTCTTTAATAAAAACAAATGAAACAATCAATATTTGACTAACTGTACTGCTAATATAGACTAAAAGACAGAACATATAAAAATAATATAAACGAGAAGATCTGAAAAAAAGAAGCTGATCCATATTTCATTTGCTGTATTTAATTGTTAAACAATAAGATGATTTTATGCACTGAAAAATAAAGCGCTTTTAAACACTTTTTTCCACTTCTTTTCAAAGCATAATTTAAAGCAGCTGCAAGGTTAAAGGAATAATACAATAAGCTAGTATTCATTACAGCTTACTATATATATATATATATTTGCATCAAAAATATGCAATAGTTATATGGAAATTATTGATTAAATCAGGTAGTTAAAACAACACTTTTGGTTTATTATCAAAATTTACACTCATGGAAAATGAAGTTCCAGGTAACATACTTTATTTTATTACTGTTTCAAGGTCACAGGTAAAAGATGTACATGAAAAGCCATTTCAAATTTGAAATAAAGATACATTAATAATTGCTGTAGTCATCACAATGCTGAATGCAATCATGCAAATGTGCATGCAATGTGCTGTACAGGAGCTATATGTTATTTTGTGTGATGGCGTTCCATGCTTTCATCAGCAAAACCAGAACAGTCTCTGTTCATTGTAGATGATGCTGGATTCGTCATCCAATCGTGTCCCATATCTGCTCTATGGGAGGAAAGGCTGGGTAATCTTACATGTCAAGGCAACAAGACAACACTCTGTAGAGCATGTTGGGTGATAGCAATGATCTGGAAATGAGTGTTATCCTGCTGAAAAATGCCCTCTGGAATATTGCTAAAAAATGGCAGCATGGTCAGCAAAATCACTAGAATGATGTACAAATGTTCTCTCAAGGTGAGTGGAATAATGATGACAGAGTTCTCACTATCACAGGAAATTGCTCCCCTGACTATAACTCCTGGTACAAGTCCAACATGTTGTTGTTGCTGACAGTTTGGTTCCAAGTGCTCACCTGGGCTCCTTCAACTAACATACGGCCATCACTGGCACTAAGACAGAATCACTCCACCCTCCAATGAGCTCTAACTTGACACTACTGAAGTCGCTCATGGTGGTGATTTAGATTACTATAGGGCATCTGGCTTCGAACTGTCCCTCAAGTAACTGATTTGTTACAGTTTGCTGTATCACTCTGGTGCCAACAAAAGCTCAAATCCAAGAAATCTGCTGCAGATGCAGTGCAATGTGCAACAAATATGCAATGCATATATATGGCAGCTTGAGTGATAGCACATGTGCAGAAGACTGTGGCCTTCTTGAGACAGTACCTTTCTGTGAGCACTGATGTCAACATGTATGCACAATGGATATACCCCTGAAAATTTTTCTCCAAAATTGCAAAAAGAAAATCTATCTTCTTGTAAACCTTACAGTGCCTCATTCAAACTCAATAAGCTGCAGCTGCTACCTTCTTCGTCTCTTCAAAGACATTCTTAACTCATATCTCACTCACAATGCCTAGTCTGGAAAAGTTTACATTGCATATTCAAAGTGAAATGCCACACTTATTATGCGAAATTTTAATAGATGTCCAAACATGCCTCCCAAATTTCATTCTTGCTGGGATTTCCTTTTCCATCAGTGCATTTATTTAATTCTTATAAATTATATTGGCAGCAATGATTAAAATCATTACAGATTTTTCTTTTTTATAACAACTATTTTAGGCTGCCTGCATAAGCAGTTAGTATATTTAAATAACTACATTTTACTTTAAAATGAAATAGTTTAATGTGCTTTTCTGAAATAATTACAAGGCAGGAGAAACAGCTCTGAATATATTTATAGACTTATTTCTATTTTCAACAAGTACAAGCATTTCCAAACTTACTAAATCATAATCAGCTTCTATATCTGATGCTTGAAGATTCCGTTTAATTGTTGTAAGTTCATCTGCAGTTAAGGAATGACTTTGGGTCTAAAGAAAGAAAGAAATGAAAAATTACTTAAAATATCACCATTAAAGAATAAAATAAAAAAGAATACAACATTTAGTGATTATGAAATTATTCATATCAGAAAACAATTCCGACATCTGTGAGGTTAAGAGTTTAAGTACCAATACAAAATACGTAATGATCAAATTGCTTGCATAATACATCAATTCAACTGTAAAATAAACACTAAATAGGCGAACACTATAAAAAGTAAATTTATAGTCAACTTGGTTACTAGCTTAATTAGTTTGCAAATTTTAATTAAATGATGATCAAACAACAACCAGCAAAATGAGATTTTGATAAACAATGGCAGACGTGAAGAGAATTAATAACTGATAAGGTATGAATCCTTCCCCACCAAAATAAAAAAACACTATACAGTGCATGTACAAACTTACACAAATTTATTATACTTTCATTTGAAATATAATTGCTACATATTTAACAAAACAGCTGATGCTAAATTTAGCTTAAAAAAGGCAATTAAATAGTACAGTAATCTCAAGAATAATAAAAATATTTTTAAAAAAAACAATATTTTGTTGAGAAATTTTGGCAAAAACAATTTGTTGTCAAGCGCAAGAAATAGGAAGAAAACTTCTACACACTTCTAAATTTTCCTAGAATCATGGAATCATATAGAAAGTTAGATTTCACTATTGATTTTTTTAAACTAACCAAAGTACAAATATTTGCATCACTTAAAACACTTCACCAATTGGAAGTGTATGTTCACAACCAATGGTTGCTAAAAGTGAAAACTTAAGTGGGCATTGTGAAGGACATATTTTCATGGGCTAAATGTGTAAAGAAATCCCAATTTCAAGATATATTCTTGAAATATAGAAGCGTTTGTTCACCATCTAAAATTAATTAACAAAAATATGAGGATATGTGAGATAACACTTCAGTATTTTTTAAGGAAGTTTTAGTTTATATTAAAATGGGAAAATTTCTTTTAGAACACCAGGATTTTAATCCAACACATTAAGAGAAACATTATTAAAACAGACTGAAATATATTTCACACCTATCTCTAGAACACTCTAATACTAAGCAATCTTCTTAAGACTTTACATAAATGCACAAATCATATATAAAAAGAGAGAAAGGATTTTTTTTTACTTTCATATGTAACCAAAAAAATTATGCACAGCAAAATTTTAAGAGCAAGAGATAATATAAACTCACATTATAATGCGCCTGGGAAAATAACTTTTCTATTTCATGTTTAACACTAGACCAAAGTTGTTGTTCTGGCGTTTTACTAACCCAATGCCACCAGCGCTCTGAAAATGAAGGTCCTTCCATCTCAGATATATAAGCTTTGGCTGCAAGAGATAGCTAAATAAGGATTCAAATAAGTACTAAAACTATACACAACTAATGAATTACTTAGAATTCAAAAAGCGAAATAGTACAGACAGATAAAATCAGACATTATAAGAAAGAACTTAAATTAGTATTTTAGACAATTTCAACAACACTACAAAAAATATTTACTAAACCCACATCCGATTAAAATTACATGCAATTTTTTTTTAAATTCACATTTATTAGACTTCCTTATTTACATTTATTGTTACAAATATCTTTTATGAATTTATTAACAACTGAAATTAGAGCTTAAATTTAAGATCTTAAACTAAAAATTTTAGGTGGCTAATCAGACTATTTCCTAAAATTAGGAATGTTTCTTCACTTGATGAACAAAGTTATAATTAATAAACACAGAACAAATCTAACATTAATTTAATGCTAAATTTTAAAGCAGTTATTACATGCACTTTGCTTTTACATTCATATTTAATATCAACCAACAATACATATATTCTTAAAATATGATTTATACTTATAAATGTTAGCCATACTTTGCATTAATCTATCCTTTAAACTAGATTCCAAGAATTTTACAGCACTATCCCATTGCTGTTTATCAGGAACTGCTCTGTCTTCAAGTGCATTTAGTTGAATGATACGCTGAAATGAAAATTATTTTTAAATGCAAAAAATGTTTAACACCTAGAATAAATAAACCAAGAATGCATTAATAACATAATGCTATTGTAAATTTCATATATTAATTAAAAATAACAGTAAACAATTTTAAAAACATACATATTTTTAAATCACAACTTGAAAAAAAACCTATGATTCATCTCCATGTCTGCACATTCACACTATATTCTCATCTAAACTTTAAAGTCATTTCAAGAATTTTACTGAAAGAAGATGCTGAAGAACAGCATTTAGTCTTAAAAATATGAGTAAATATTCCCATTATTATAAATCATGTTTTGGTTTTGTGTAAATTTCTTTTACATTCTCTGTTCATATAAACTCATCTATCTTTATAGTTATACAAAAACTGTTTGCAGCTAGTTAGTAGTTATGAGAGCATTTAAGATACTATTTAAAAAATTTAAGACCCTGGTGAGAAAAGTAGCAATTTTTTATCAAAGTTCGGAACTTCTACAGGGAATAAGAATGACAGTATGAGAAATCCTGCAAAATGTAAAACTGTTTGATATAATTTTCAATAAATAATTTGCATAAAGTTCTAAAACTGAAAATTAGCATTCTACTGCAGAAAAACAAGTAAAGTAATTAAACAAGTAGTAAGGAATGCATGTAGTTAATTAAATGGAATGTTGATTACCGAGAATAAGGTTACTTTTTTTCTTAATTAGAGTTTCAGTTGAAGTATATTTAGTGATATTTTTGGGCATTTTTATTCAATAAAAATGCATATAATTTTACCAGGAAGTATATTTTGTAATTTAATATGGCCAAATGGCAAATGAGTCTGAAATTCAGCATATAACAAATTTAGACAAATTAACATTAAACATGTTAATATTCAATTATAATTTAGGAACATTTAGGAAAGACTTAAAAATTCTTACCAACATATCAACAGCTTTCCCCTCCCATGAATGTTGTCTTATTGCATCTTCAACAACAGCAGCCTTTAAGTTATCAAAAAGATCATCATGATCTTTAGATGTTTTTGATTTTTCTAATATGGTTCCAAATTCTTCTTGTAATGTCTCCCATCCAACCTAATAACATGCATTTTAATTATATACATAAAAATTTCAATCTTGTACTTTCGTATATTAAAACAGAATATTGCAGAAATCCACATAATTATACAAGCTTAAAAAGAAGTAGCATATAAAGATTATACTGTTCTCAATATATATTTAGAATATTAGTATGATACATAATTTCTTAAAAGAACTAAACATGATAAACCAAAATTAGTCATTAGAAAGAATAAAAAATAGAAAATTTAAGATCATAATTAAATAAGTGATAATAATTAAATAAGTGATCTTTACAGACATACCTTCTTTTAAAAATAAAAATTAAAAAAAAAAAAAAAAAAAAGAGTAGTAATGTGACAGATCTGGAAACTGTTGATGGCATATTAAATGGAACCACTTATATTGACAATTTATAATTTTAAATGCTATTGTCTGCACATTTGCAGAATTTATCTCCCAGGAGGAAAATGTTCTTAGTATCAATTAAAATTAGAATCAGACTGGTTCACACAGACACTTCTGCATAGCTTCACTATAATCAAATTTTATAGTTTATAGTTATTAGGTGAAACTAAACTAGGAATCTTGCATAGATTTACTACACCTTAATCAAATTCTGAAGTTTATTTTTATTAGATAACTCCAAAGAAAAAGATATAACATGTAAAACAGCACCGATTACAGAAGCTCAAGCAGTATGAAAAATTTTTATTTATCAAAAAATTTTTCTTTGGTTTGAAGACCAGGTACAGGATTACATTTTGAAAAATAGATGTTTAATAATTGTAATTCTGTCATAGGCAAAAGGCAAAGAAGATTTCAAATATGCACTGTTTTCCATTTACATACCACAATGCTATTTATTTTTAACTATAAATAAAACAATGTTTTAAGTACTAAGAATTACTAATTCAACTCAAAATTAGAATTTTTTACCAATATTTTTGAAAGGTAGTATCAGAAATAACAGCAGATAATTTGTCAATAACAATTCTTCTACGAATATCTTGACAGAAAACATGGAAGAGTTATGTGCAGATTTTAGTTTCAGGGTTATTTCTAAATGTTGTGGATTCCTTCACAAGAATTGCAGAGAAAATAGGGGTTGAGTGGTAGGCATCAGTAAAAACCAAACAATTAGATAGTGAATAAAGGATCTTTTTCGTCTTCTGTGTATGTTACAGAGAAAGTTTTCTGCTCCTTTGATGAGATGCAAGCCTGGGGGGCATGCCTAAGGATCAAATGCACACTTGAAACAAGACTTCTTTATCTGAAAGCCTAGATAATTTCATCATAAGAAGTAAAAGGATGCAGCAACTTTGTTAAAAAAAGAGGCTTCACCTGGAACACGGCACCATTTATTGTTTAATTGGTCCTTGGACTGTACAGCAAACAGAAGATTAGACAAACGTATTATTTTCTTGAGAGATGTTTTGTTGGGGCATGAAATTATCTTGGAGAATTCCCATGGCAAATGAGATGAGAAAATACTCTAGTCGCCCTTTCTTGGGATAATGTAGAAAATTATGTGCGATACTCAATTTTAATTGGTTTAAAAAGGTCGTGATGGACAATGATTGACCAATTAAGTTTCATGTGAAGCATGCTTGTGCTAGATGATGACTTTTCATTAATAGTTAGGTATGGAATTAAAGAGGAAAGATTATGCCCCCCAAAAGGCTTTTTTGGGTTTTTTTAGACTTTTATCTTTTGCTTTGAGCTGCATAAGAATTTAGCAATATGAAGAAGAAAAGAAAAAAAGGGAAGAAATTTGTAGATACTAACTAGAGAAGGGTGTGAAAGTGGAGGAGGGAGAGAGAGTAATGTGGTGATGATTCTCGAGCTTGTGGGAGGTTTAGGAGAAATTACTGAAGACTAGTGGCCCTCGTGATCAGCTGTATTGAATGATTTAGAGTTTATGAAGGAGAAGGACATGCAACAGAAGACAATGTGAAACGATGATGTGGGTGGTGTTCCAATCACAATGCATTGTAACGAAAATTAATACTGAATTTCTGACTCTAAAAGTGATGATCAACCAAAATTTTGTCTTTGGGAACCATTCTTTAATGAGTGAAGGAAGTAAAAAGGAGCATGAGCATTCAAAAATCCTGATTTAGTAATTTAGAATATTGGCCAGGTACTGACAGATGACGTGCCATTGTGATGATCCAGCCATTGTGTTCCAGTTTATGAAGTATTATAAAGAGATTGTTCTGTATGGGTACTAACTAGTGACTTAGTATATCATCCTTTAGCTGATGAGGGGTAAGGATCCGATCGAGCGTTCCTGTCTACAAAGCGTAATATGAACTGATGTTTAGCGGGGCAGAAGAAAATGGCTTCAATTTACAAAAATTTTAAGAAAATTGTGACTGTGTTAAGAAAGGTTACATTAATTCATTTGCAGCCTGACCTTCTGTGTGTTATCATTCAGCATCACATAAATATATTTTAGATTCCCGAAGTCTGCTCATGTAAGTACTTTACTGTCTCTTAGTCCGTAGAGTTGATTATGTAAATCTGAATTTTTTATGTAAATATTTATTCAGGAGTTTAGGATAAAGTCTTTACTGGTATGTAGATTGTGATGTTTACTATGCCGATGTGGTATTTAGGGACTTGTATAAAAAATGAATATTTTCATAACTAGAGTTATGTTTCCTATTTACACAGTTTAGTTAAAGAATCATAAATTGTGTTATGCTAACTGAACCTGAGGTTAATTATTTATTATTTGTGATAGTATTTGACTGTGTAAATAGTCATTTGGATGTAAGATTAATAATTTTATATTTTTACCACATTTTCACACATGAATATTAAACCACTAGAAATGTCCTACACAGCAGAAGTTTGCTATTAGAACTTAAAACAAAATTTTAAAAAAATAAAGAAAGAAAACACTTACATCAACACATTTTTTGGGTAGCATTTCATCCGCCCAATGTTTCAGTTTAATATCCACAGCAGTATTAAAGGATCTGTAATATGTTATACTTTTACTTAATGCTTTTATGCAGAAAGAGACTGTGAGAAAATACGTCAGTATGAGGTTAAGAAAGAAGCTTCAAATAAAAAAACATACTCTGGACTGCCAGCTTGCCATGCCTGGACATATATGTTTTCAAAGACATAAACAGACATTTTTTTCCACAGTTCTTTAGACAAGGTTTCTTCCCTAAAATTAAAATTAGAAGTAAGCAAATTATATAAACTTTGCTTACACCTTTGCCTATACACTGCCTACTACAAACTTTGCCTATACACACACAAAAAAAAGTTCCCATTAATTTTTTCGTATTTTTCGTTTTTAATGTACTTTCACCATTCTGTTTCAAATAGTTTTTGGTCTTCATTAAATAAGACAGAGAAGTATGCATAAACAAATGCTTCAAGAAGTTAATAATGTTGTTCAGAAAATAATACTAAAAATACTGAAAAGTCATTAATATATTATAATGCATTATATTAAATAAATCTATATTTATTACTATATAATTTATAATATATTTACACAATAAATAATTTAAAATAACTGAGATTAAAATATTTTTAAGGATATAATCATAGAAAGTTTGAATTTCTTTCAGACCCAAAATGAATTACTATTAAACAAAACAGTTCCATAACTTATCCAAATAAATAATATCTTGACTGCATATAAGCAGGCCCCGCTCCAGTATTTCTGGTGCCCTAAATGATCAATGAAAGCAGTTGACAGCAATAATATTTGTATTTTATCTTTTTAAACTCAGTTTTTCCTTTGTAAACGTTACTTTGTTTTCTTATTCTTTTCTTTTCTCTAATGATGTAAAAATTATCCCCATGGACAGAAGGTTGTGAAAACATATAACTAAATAAATCATTACATAAATCACGATAATAAATTATGTGCAAATGAATTTACGAAGCACTAATACTCAGTAGTAACTTGTGCGTTAAATAATTTATTGCTATATTTTTCTTGTACAGCATTTATAAAATGTAAAGGATTAGTAATCTGTATGTTAAATAAATCAATATTTTCTTGTTACAGGTATTCACTAACTCATGTTTATCAATATGGGGAGAGGGCCTTTTTTTTTTTTTTTTTTTTTTTTTCTCCAGAATACATAAAAAATAAACCATAAAGACAATATTCAGGAGCTGAGTAGTAAATAAAACAAGCAATTAAGTATTTTTACAATAAAACTGCTTTTAATTTTCTGTTATCAATTCTGTATTTTTCAAGTACATTACAGTCATATCATAAAATAATTTACCAATGCTTTGGAGAAAGCTGACTAAGATTAATAATTTCATCTAAAAGTTCCCCTCGAGCTTTTTCAAAAAGTTCATCCTAAAAAAATTAGATAAAATAATTTTAATGCATGAATAAAAATAGTCAAAATAAGGAGAAAGGAAATACAATCAACTTATAATACTGATTAGCTATAAATTTCAGCAATAAAATATATGAAGAAATTTAATGCAGCTGTATAATATTAAGAATAGTACACATAAAGTTATCATAATACACCATTTTAAAGATATAATCTGAATCTCTGAAATATCATTTAACAAATGTAAAATTTAAATTGTAGCAAGACACACATCATAGAAGTAATGCCATTATTATATTATCCACTAACATAGTGAAAAATTAAAAAATATTAAACTAAATATTCCTGCATTAAAACTAAATATTCCAAAGCTAAATAACCTAACTCCTAATTCCTTTGGTTTTAATACTACATGATCAACTCCTGACAGGATAAAAATATTTTTTGATATATATATATACACAAATTTAGCCCCCCCTTTTTGTGTGTGTGTGCATGTTTGTGCTTTTCAGCGAATTTCAAAATGTTAAAACTGGAAATTCTACTCTCACTCCCCCCCCCCCACCGAAAAAAATTAAGACTACAAAGAAACAATCAATAGCATTAACAAATAAATTAAGAAAATATTATCAGAAAAAAAAGTTTTTTTAAAATAAAACTATATAAGGTGTCTACCTTATATAGTTATACATTATATAAGAAAAATCAAAAACAAGCAGTCTTTCAAATTTCATTATTCTAATTAGATTTTTAAAATTATGGAAAGGCGAACATGTTTACTAATACATTTAAACTTTTATTACGTTCTATATAAATTAGTTTTCCTAAACTAGAAACATATAGTAGAACAATTTGATTATCAATGATGAAAAATTTACAAGCTTTACAAAGAATGTGTGACTAAAAACGAATAAACAGTATAGCTTGGTTTACTTGTTTACAGCAAAGAACTCTAGGACTATCTGCCTAAGGGAATGAATGCTTTCGTGGAGAACTTTCTAACATAAACAGCCTGGAAATATAAAATTTTCAATTCATATGATATAATAAAAGATGGGTATGGAAAATACAAGAAAATCGATTCTCCTAAAAGCTGATGATGACTATAATGCAATAACTGATGTTCACGATACTTCAAAATGGCTTGCATATCAAACAAAAGAAAAAAATTATTTTCGAGTAGATTGAATATAGTAATGTAAATTATACATATATATATATATCATCATCATCACTGGAAAAGACATTGAACAAAACTTAGACAGTCTTTCTCATATGCATCTTGTTACTATTTCTCTTTGACAACTTAAAACACAAATCATATTCTCTGCTTAGCCTAAAACTTGAGAGCATTTTTAATCTAACAGCTTAATTATGGAGCTAGTAATAAACCACCCGTGATTTGAGTTTACACAACAAATTTAATGCTCAAATGATCAAAGTAAAAAGAACATTATAACTGTTGTCGATGATCATTATTCCAATACTATTCCACCTAAGTAACCCGTAAACCACATGAACTGATCTCACACCATCACCTAAAATAGTAGTTATGCTGATAGCATCTTTTTACAAATTACTGCAAAGATCATATTTATTACAGTGCTTTCTGACAGTTTACACCAAATATGCATGTACCTCTATCCTACCCAAATCTTCATGTGCACATATAGAACTGATCTAGTGAGGGAGAATAAAATGTAACTACCTGAAACAAGAAACAATGAACTACCTACTCAACTTTGAATCACTTTTTGCTTGATTGCAGCTAATAATAAGCCTCTAATCTGGGTCCAAATGAGTGAACTGGGGCTCAAACATCAAATGAAATTAAGCATGAAAGACAGCATCATGGCATGCTCTACATCTTCATTGCTGGCAGCTACAGGAATGCATTGAACTTGGAAAATCAGACACATAACTTCTGCTGAGACTTACTATTTCTAAGTAACCAGAAATTCATGATTTTCAAAAGTTCTTTACATCAGGGACTGACTAAATGATCATGACAAAAGTGTACTTTCACGTTTTCCCAATGAACCCCACACAACAAAAATTAATAGCAAGAAAAATTTCTCTATGCTGCATGTTTTATTTGATTTTCTACTGATCTTGGTCTTAGTAGATGTACCCTGTCCTTTTCATTAAATTTCCTTAATCAAGCATGCAAATTATAATAAAAATGCTGAATTTGAAATATAGAAAACAAGGTTCTTGGGGAAAAAAACTAAGAAATTTCAGAAGATTTTCCCTGTTGTATAGTTACAGCATTAAAAAAAAAAAAAAAAAAAAAAAAAAAAAAAAAAAAAAAAAAAAAATCTGTATTCATCTTACAATGCATGACTTCAGGTATTGAACTATTTATAATATAATTCTGATGTAAAATAAATTAATATTTAAGTAGCTGTTTCAAATTTTATGTCCTTTGGCTAATTTTAATTTTGTAACTTTTTTACACTGAGAAAATCCTGAGTAGGGAAGAACAGCTTTTATTTGTCAAAGTACTTTTAAATATATTGAAAATAAAATTATTAATTTATATGCATACTATTGTGTAGATAAACTTAGTAATGAATTATTTATTGATATGTAAAACAATTATATACAAATACTAGTTTATTAAACACTCGGTGAATTTTCATACAAAAATTCTATAAAAATCTATTGAAGATTAACAAAATTTAGATTAAATAAAATTTAATCTGAAAATTTATGCTGAATACCACAAGGAATATGCACTTTTTAAGTTTCTTTAATTCAATAAATTTCATTTATTGCTGGGCAATATTTTCCTTAGCTTTCTTTTCTAAACATTAAAATTAAACACTGCGAGATTCGGTGATCTGCCAGGAAATGTGATTAAAAACCAATGAAAGAGTTGGCAACTATGCTATACTGAAATGGTTATAGAAAGTCAGACTAATAGTGCACCATTTGTAACCCACTTTTAATCCTTTATAGTCCTATATTTAGCATAAAAACCAATGAAATCCATAATTGAAAATCAGGCAGGGGGGAAGTTAATTGGCTAATACTTAGTATTAATTCTGTAAAATTTAAAAATTTTCAGAAAAATTTATTTAGAGAAGTACTTTTAAGTCAGAAACCTCCAGCAGCCGAGCAGTACAGCCACTGAACACTGGTAGTTCAGTCCAAGGTTCAAATTCCACAAATGAGCTGGCTGCATGGGTGTTTTCATGGTTATCCCCATGTGTAATGTGTATATGAGCCAGTTTCCCTTAGAAAGTCCTCCGAGAAGGCATCCCTGCCCTAAGCCAAACAGCCCTTGAGGCTTTGCCATAATCACATAAACCAATCCAAACTTTAAGTAAAAAAGAATGGAAGTAACTGAGAATATGAAGTTCCAAATGAAATTTTAAACCCTCCTTTGAATGGAATACTGTTGGCATTTTTTATCAAAGTTATTAAAATGATGCACCAAAACATTTAAAAAATTAACACCTCCCTTCAAATTTACTTTTAATAAATGTAAGGTAGATAAATTCTATATTTCTATTATTTTCAAAATTTCTATATTCTCAAATAGAGAGAAAAGGAGTGTAGAAATAAAAATAAATAAAATAAAAATAGGAAATGGAGGGAAAAAAATTTCCTCTCCCCCCACAAAAGGTAATTTATACATTTATTTAGCTAGAATGATGCACAAACTGAGTCACATAAAGTAACTTGTTGAAAAAAAAATTTATTACAAATGCAAATTGCATATAAAATTACAAATATATATTATATATATAATATATATATATAAATATGTATATAAAATTAAAAATATATATTATGATAAGACAGTAGATTGCCAATTAAAAAGTGTAAAACTATCGATGACATCCATGGCTAATCTAACAGCAGTTAAAAAAAAAAAAAAAAAAAAAGAAAAGAAAAGAAAAAGGGAATACATAACCCATATTACAAATATAGAAAAACACTATTAAGAATGTACTTGCATTTTACAGCTGTTTACTCAGGAGAATAATATCATTTGATTATGTAAAATACATCAGCATTCAGAACAAGAACATACTTTAAAACAAGTATAAGAATGTTTCCATTTCTATTACTTTTGCACTTAAATAGGGGTGGATGGGCATACAAATAATGGTTATAAAATTAATTTATTTCCATGATTCAGCAACTTATTTTTAATATATGTTTTTTTATATATTCTATGCACAATTAAATTACATTTTGCTGTGGAAAAAACAAATCCTAAGTATTGGGACGTCAAGTGCTATTGTTACTATTGTCATGCGCTAATGTTCTATTGTTACCCCACGTATTTTCTTTTCCTTTTCGTATTTACCACAGAAATTTTGCTTTATTTTGATGGCTTGTAATAGTAACTTTTTCCATCATTTCTGAATAAAGAAATTTCCATTTTTTAAGGTAAGGCTTGGTTAATCTGCAACCTGATTAATCATAAAAGCAACACTTAAATATAAAAAATTTCAAAAAAAAATTCAGATTTGTCAAATATCAACAAAATGAGATATACCCTATCAAGTTCTCGAAGACGTGGAAAATTATTTTTCCACTCTGCCTCTAAGTTGAAACGAGCAGCTGAAAAAATTGTACAGAAATACTTTAAGCAAAACAAGCAAATAAGAAAAATTTTATAACAAAAAGTTTTGAAAAAATTACAGTAGAAATTGCAATCTGTCTATATAAACATAAGGTCTACTTATAGATTATCACAGCATAATAACATACAAATAGCAGTCGAGGACACATCTGAAAGTTTCATTTGCAAGAAAATGAATATTTAAGAATTCCATTTGTAGTAAGCAAAAAAGAGGTGGTAGGTGTTATCTTTTTGCTAAATTAAATGATATTCATATATTCAGATGTCTCTTAACAGTTTTATATTGAATCAACTTTATACTCTAACAAAAAAACTTTACATTCATTCTACTGAAATTTTTATTGAAGATAAATTATATACGATTAGAGGTTTTATTCTTTACTTACATGGATGATCAACTCTTATGTCATAGCTAAAAATCAATCTGTAGCTAATTAGTAGATACGTACTGACATGACACAGGTAATATATTACCTTTTAAGAAATGATACAGTGAATTACAGTACACAGAGACATAAGGCAAACAATTTCTTAAGCTAAAGAAGGGGGAAAAAATCTTGCATAGAACTATGATAAACTAATACATACACTCTTATTTTAAAAAAATTTAACTTATGAATATGAGACAAATCCATATTACTCAACTGAACAAACTGAAACAAACAAACAAAAAGAAAAAAAAAAAAAAAAAAAAAAACTTTGGATAATTTTTGCTTTACAAATTAAAAGTACCGAAATTGCCGAAATATTATCGATACTGAAAATATACTTTTGAAAGAAAATGTATTTATAATTATGAAAAAAGTATTTCAGTAATTCTATAGATTACTACGTTTTAAACAATGAAAAAAAATCTGATACTCTTCTGTTATTGGGACCAGATTCAGAAATGTACGTATGTGCATATATATATGTACATATGATCTTAAATTCACTTAGTGCGAAATCGAGTTATTCTACTAATTGCGCAATAGCTGCAAAGTAAGTTAATAATAATTTATTTACTAAGGAAATATTGATTATATTATCTCCTAAGATTAATTTTAGTAGAATTAATCTAAAAAGAGTGAATTCATAGTTAGTAAGTTTAATTCCGAAAATTGTTTTAAAGTAACTTGAATGTAAATTGTTAAAAAATGTTTAATGGGGACTTGAATTAAATCATGAATAACAAAATTTCAATTGTAAAAAGAAATTAAATTAAAAGCAAGTAATCATTGCCAGTGATTGGAAATTAGTTAACTTTTCAAGGGGAACAAACCAACTCCCGTTCAATGAACAATAATTAAGAAATAAATACGAAGGTGTTTTGTCCTTTACTCAAGTAATAAGGCGATGCCAAATTGGCAATTTAAGTAAGGCCAAATATTTCCGTGAATTGAAGGGATCAAGAACCAATGCAGAGCACTAAAGAACTCATTCTGATTAAGCATATTCACTAATTCAATTTTGAGTAAAAAGCAATTTTATGCAGTAAAATTGATAAATTACTTGAGTAACTGTCCCCCGACACCCCCTCATGTTTATGCATTTTAATTCAAAACTATTTGTAAAAAATTAAACATTGGAAATTTTCATTATGAAATAGAATTCAAAGTAATTGAAATAAACATTAAAAATTATGAAATATAATGCAACTTTACGAAAACAAATCAAAATATAAAAATTTTAATTTAAAATATATATAATAAGAAATGGGAATGTACATGAAGATATAAAAAGCCAGAAAAAGCATTAATTAACTTAACGTTCTTTCTAGTGGGAAGTGGGCAAAGTGTTCTCTTCACGTCTCACTCAGAAGGGTTGTGTTTCCGAAATTCTTTATCGGCAGTGGAGGCTTTGAATTATTTCAGTCGGCGAAACTTGTGTGAAGTAATTTATGGGAGAGGGAGTGACTAGGAATGCTTGAGGGACGTATGCTGTGGAGTTCTTATTTGAGTGAAACCATCTGTTAATATTTTTAATATACTAGTGAATGGAAATTAATTAATTTCTGGCTAATTGTTGTGTCGTAATGAGGAAGAAATTAAGAAAAGGAAAAAAAGGAATTTTCACTGTCAAAGAGCTATTTGACAGACTAAAGATTATGAAATAGGCCCATTTTTTTAGTAACAGCATAAGTCTGAAGACAATTAGCTTTTTACATTATATACATCTTTGTAATTACACTATGTACAAATCCGTCAACTGATAGTCATCCAACTTATACCGCCTTCTCAGGTTTAGGAACAAATTATCATATCCCTATCAGTTAAATGATTTAGAGTATTTAACGCCTGCTCTTTTAAGGCAATGGTTAATAAATTGATTAGGTATTAGATTATTTTTGAGAATTTTAATAAGGAGCAAAATTTTGTGTTGTAGATCTATCGTATCTGTGCAGATATTTTTAATTCGTTGTGTTTGATTTATTATTGTACCGTTAATTACTTTTTTGGATATGTTGGAATTCCAATTTATTAATTTGTTAGTATTGAAACTGAAGTTTCTTGTTTTGTCAAAAAGTAAAATTTTTTTGTAGTTAATGATTTTAAGATCGAGATAGTTTATGTTATTTTGTGAATTATTAGTTTTATTAAGTGTAAGGCAATTTGGATAAATCTCGGAGTATTCAATTTTATTAAAATTATCAATTGTAATAAGACCATCAATATATCTGTAAGTGTGCTTGTAGTAATTTAATTCTTGTGGTTGTAGATTTTTCTGCAAGTTAAATTCTTTGATAAATAAAAAGATATCACAGAGCGAGGTACTGGAATGGGACCCCATTGGAAGACCTCTGACTTGTTTAAAAAGTTGATTTTGAAATTTAATGTAGTTATGAAAAAGTGTGCATTTTAGGTAGGTTTTCCAATTGTTAAGATTCATAATCGTGAGTGTATCAGGGAAGAGTTAAGGTAGACTAGTATAAATTTCTTCTAGAGGAAGTGAGGTATATAAGTTTTCAAAGTCATAGCAATTAATGTCTGTATGTTAATTGTTTGAATGGCATTAATGACAGGAGTGTTATTATGGATGATCCAGCAATAATTATGATTAGTGTTACAATCGTTGAAAATAAATTTACAGATTTTTTTAAGTTGAATTGAGAAATAATAGTCTACATTTTTCTTGTAATTATTAGTTCCATTTGCTATAAATCTGAATTTTACTGGTGTTTTATGGAATTTGGGAAGTGCATAGTGGTTAGTAAATCTGTTGTAGCTTGGATTTAAAGTAATATTTAGTTTCTTATGAAAAGTTTTAATTCTGTTTATTATAGATGTTTCTGTAAGGTTTGCTAATTGATAAGTAGTTGCGTTGAAAAGTTTTTATGAATAATTTCTGCGTAGAATTGTTTTCATATAATGCTAAAGTTATTATTTGCTTTATCTATTTTTGTAATAGTAAAAATTTTTTTTAAATTTTTAGTATCTGATGTAAGTTGTGACCAATATTCAATGTACTTTTAAACTTGAGGTGATTGATTTCAGAGGATTTCAGAGGATATGCATTGAAGAATTTTATCTTTCCATTTTAAAAAGGTATCTATAGTAAATTCATTTGATAGCTTGCTTTAAGTTGATGTTGCTTTCGAAAGTCTTGCAACAGTAATTTTTAGTTATGTTTCTGACTGGTCTAAATTTTGCACCATAAGTAATTAGTGTTTTTATTTGATGGTTTTGTATGATATTCAGGTTGCCAGTAATTATGTGCTGGTGATGAGAATCTACGTAAGTACTGTAAACTGGTGACTTGCAATGTCATTCTGCTGACTCATCTATTTCATGGTGGTTAGTTATGAACATATACATCCATATATACATGCATACAATTACATTTCTGAATCCGGTCCCAGTAACAGAAGAGTATCAAAAATCCTCTATAGTAAACTTCCCTATAAAGTGAATTTAAAATGCATTACATTGACATACATTTGGTAAAATTCTTGATTTGTGGTAACCTATTTTCCTTTCCCTTTCATTGTGCATGAGCAGAAAAAAATGGTGTGTCAATCATTCTTTCAAATAATTTTTAAAAACTATTCAAACTACATTTAGCATTTTATAGCTTATGACAAATATGACAAATTTCAAAATGTACCAATACATAAATTGTCATTTTTTACAGATATGCCTAGAAATACATCTACTTTAAGGTGATGGCAAAAACTTTATAAGTTAAAATCCCCCCCTCCTTTTTTTTTTTTTTTTTGAAATATTCACAAAAATTACTAAAAAATACAAACTTTAAAAATAAATCAGAAAATTGCTGCAAATTTTACTTGGATCGAACATATATTTTGAACTGTGAAAGAAGGAATTAATTTTTATAAAAAAAGGATACAATAATATATATATATAGCAAATTCAATTACCACTGAGGAGCTAAAATTTTGACAAGCTAATGTTTTGAAAACTACTCGTGCAATTTTTACAAAACTCGGCAGTTCAGCATAATTCGAGTCATAGAATTGAAATATGGATAAAAAATTGGTAACATATCTCAGAAAAAGTTCGATTCTGTGCCAACATACTTATGTTATAATAATGTTATATATATATCTAATATATATTTTAAGCCGTGCTTTCGATACGCGAAGAATGCAAATTAAATTTCATCAATCGGTCCAGTAGAATGGGAGATATAAAATTGTCCCCTCCTTTTTGGGGGAAGGCACAGTGTACTTCCACTAATCACCATATTTACCACACAATGAAGAACAATTTAACTTTTTTTATTTTATATGTTATTTAAAATGCTATAATGAATAAAATAATTGATAGAAGTGCTAATAAAAGTAAATGATATTCGATTATCTTCATAGCATCTATCTACTTCTATTAATGACAATAAAGTACTTCACATGCAATCACTGATAGAAATAGAACAATACGTTTCAAATTTACTGAAAATTATTCATATAGTGTTAAACGTTAGATTAATATGAAAACAAGTATTTAATTATGAGCATATTAACAAAATTCAAACTTTCATACCTTTAGATTAACAAAAATCAAATTTTTATACCTTTAAACAAAATCAAACTTATTAACAAAAATCAAACTTTATACCTTTAAAAGCATCAGCTTGCTGTTCTGCAGAAGCTCTAACCATCTTCCAAAAGCAATCAGACACAGCAAAACTGAGATTCCTTGTTGAACACTGAGATGCATTAAGAATGCCACTTCTGTAAATGATTTTGCAGTTATGAAATGTGATGCTTATGGATCATAATATGTTCATAATATACAGATAAAGAAATTCATGTCTCAGCTTGATAGTAAACTAAAGAAGCTTGATAGTAGCTAAGATCAGCTTAATAGTAAACTAAGAATGATCAGGAAGAGCAACAACAAAATCCTCTAAAAACCCAATGTGAGGAAAGAACATTGGCTACATTATATTATTATTATTGTAATAAGCATTCACCATTTTCCAGTCTCAAAGTAGCATCCAATGTGGAGTGCCAATTATAACCGAGATGCCATAATTCTGTTGGGGTTAACAGCTAATTAAAAGAAGCACTACCTATACAAAAGAACTCCACTTGCATTTTTAATTATTTTTAATTATAAAACATATCTAAGGACGTTACAATTAGACACATAAAACTTATCAGTACCAAACATTTAAGGTAAATAATATTTAAACATTTAAGTCATAAAAACTCTCAGGGAAGAACACTATGTTTAATTCCTTGACTCCAAGCTACTGACACACTGACTGAAAATCTATTGTCTCTTAGGCTATCATTCCCTCCGACGGCCACTAGGTGGCACACTTGAGAGCCATATGGTTACACCAAATAATATTACTTTAATGGAAAAGTTCCTTTCTCTCTCTATGCACATGATTAAGTACCAGTGCTTTATATGATAGTAGAGAAAGTGTTAAGTATCAGTTAGAACACTGCACTAATCTATTTTCTTTTTCCTCTTTCTATTTAAAAAAACAAATAAAAATAGAAATTTTTTCCTCATTTTTTGAAGATAAAAGGTAAATCATCAGGTATTTTCTAAGCTAAAAAGAAAAGTAGTTAGAAAAAATTTAAATCCCCAATGATTGTAATCTTCACTGATTAAAAAAGAAATTCCACAAATAATACAATAAGATTTATTACACACATAATAAATAAAAAAACAACTTCTACAAAATTTTAAGCTAAGCTTTTGAACTAATTTAACAAGAAAATAAACCCTACCCCCTCTAGCATTTTAAATCTCTAAAACCAATTTAAAATGGAAGTAAACTACATCAAGAAACTACCAGAGAATATAACATAGTAAAATGTTCAAAATCCAGTATCATCAGAACTTCTGCAATTGTGGATTTTGGAAATTTCCAGATTTTAGATAATCAGTTTAAATATAGTAAGACTGACAAGCAGAAATTACAAAAGTAAAAATGTTCTTTATTACTATTTCTTTAAGAAAGGTATTTTGCATACAGAAAGACATTTTTCGAATCATTACCATATGAAATCAAAATGCAACTCAAAGACAAAATGGCAATATTTTATGGATTTAAAACCATATTGCAGATATTTGCCATTCCATTACATTGTCATCACAATATATATTCACAATGTAATGTAGGACTTTATTTATATCCTCTTCATTTAGTATCTATCATCATTTATCACCTTCATTTTATATTCCTTTAATCAGAAGATGCTGAGCTCTTGGTAACTTTTAGGCGAGCTTTCTACAATTTTTATTTTTTACTTATTTTGCAGCATATTGCGCAAGATGTTTTCTTGACCAAAATTGTTATTACTGCTTTGCTTGATAAATTATATATATATATATATATATATATATATATATATATATATATATATACATACATCTCAAATCCTTCAGATTAGTGGCTTTCATTCTGCATCAAGAAATGTGGCAGCTCACTATTTGTTATCTCAAGCATTTTAAAAAATATATGCAGACACATCCTCTCATGATCTTGCAAAGCCTACACCAGATTTTATATTAAAATATTTTACAGAATTCTCGGAAAGTCTTATTGCTGCACTGATTTTTTAAAAACTAATATATCTGCATTTCAGTGCATGCAAAATTCTGATTAATAATAATAGGCAAGACAAAATAATAAGCTACTTCAAATCAGAAGTTAAGAAACATTAAATTTTTTTATTTTATCTGAACTTAAGTTCATTGGAATATAATGCAACTTTCCTAGTTGTTATGCCAATTAAACTTGAACAAACAGACAGACGGACAGGTGGGCGGGCACACAGGAAGACAGACAAACAAATACACAATAAGAGCAATATTTCACTCTAAATAAATATGTTTTGGAACTTCACTTATTTTTTGAAGGTCATACAGAAAAATGCTATTACCCAAAAACCATTCAAAGGGCAAAATCATGTTCCTGGTTAATATAAATAAAGCATTAATCCATGGATTGTCGGGTGTTTCAAGAGGACATGTGGGAATCTCAGTATGGGAGATAACAACACAGCTGTTTTTCTCAAGTATTATACTCTTCATTCCTAGGCTTTGTGAAGGAGGGAATTTTTTTTTTCCTCTGGTGATTTTTAGGTCTGGGTATTAAGATTATTCCAGATATCAGACATCTAAATTTCAGACTTTGCACTGTACCAATATACTTCCATACAATACAGAAATATTTAAACCATAATTTTAGAATTAGAATACATATTTAAACTAAATAAATTTAAATCAATGCAGGAAAAAAAAGCTGCACTACAATAGGAACATAAAACCTGAGAACCTTACCTCAAGTAACTGGAATATTTTCAAACTTTAGAAGCCTCCAACCCAACAAATTAAGCAAATAAGAGATTTGTAACTGTGCAATAAAGCATGAATAGGACTACAGCTCAAATCAAACAAAGTCACCAAACAGTGCAATTTAGTGTCAACAATGGATAAGTGTTATGACACAACCTACTCATAAAATCTTTGCCTTGATTTATATAAATCTGACTAATTTTAAGAAGTTGGTTTAATTTTTGTGAAAATAAGTTAATTGCTATTTAGTTTTTTCTGAATCACATAATATAAAAAAAAAATTAATTAAAATTTGAATTTGATTTCTATGGAACAATATGAAGTAAAGTAGTTTAAAAAATTTACAGCATCCTGGCAAATTCGCAGCATTCTGTCTGAAATGTCTTTTTTATTTTGAAATCTCACAAATATACAAGTTCATAACAAATTTAATTAATTTTTTTTTATAATTTTTGACTGGAAACTTTTTCTTCCATTCACTTGGCTTTTCTACCATGAATTGCATTTTTATATGCTCTATTATCCAGAATTTTCGTCTATCTGGACTTGCCATTTTCCGAGCTTTATACATAGTCAAGCTTTTACTAAATTTATTGAGCACCAATGATAATGATTGATTTTTTTAAGACAGTGTTTCTCAAACCATGGTCTGCAGACCACAAGTTGTTCTTAAAGCCTGTCCTTAAGGTGCTATAGTGAACTGTGCATTCGTAATTTAAAAATTATAATTCAATTTCCATTTACAGGCTTCACTAAAATAAAAACAAAAGTCAGAAATTGACCTGACATACATGTCTAGCTCAGACTTAAGCTTATACATCCAAAGACAGAATAACTGTGAAAAAGTTGATCTCATTAATGTGAGCAGCAGCATTTAAATAAATATCATCCAAACTCAAATAACCTTGAATTATTATAAAAAAATATAAATTTTCTTCAATACATTTAATAGCAATATATAAAATTATATTAATTTTAATAAATTAGATTAAAAAAATACACTAGTAGAAATACATGCTAAAAAAATTGTTTTCAATTAGACTATAATAAGGTGATCTGTACAGCATTCTAATGCATAAAATTAATCCCCACTTGGTAAAACTTGAGAAGTGCTCTTTTAAGACATTCATTTAATAATTATTGAAATGTTTGCAAATTTTACTAAGAATGATTTTAAAAAATATTGTTTCTGATATCAAATAATATTTATGGTATCTATATGCAAATGTCATTGCTTATTAACAATACCTGCAAAGTTTAGAATTCTTGAAAAACTCTTCTTCATAATTTTTAATGACATTTATGTTGTCGTCTTTACCACCTGCAGAATAGAATACAATTTCAGAAATCTCAACAAGTAATTTACCCATTAGTTGATTCAGACATATTCATACACCATTTTGATACCTTATTCACATATCTGATGTGATATACAAAGTGAAGCTTTTTTTATGTTGAGCATAGTAGATAAAATTCTTATCATGATTAAGCACAAATACATAAGGAAAAAAAAGGGCAACATTTTAAAAAACATAGGGCTATACATAATGCAAGAATCTTCCTCAACCAAAATATGAAATCTTTTGAGGTTTGTATTTTTTTCTTTCAGCATATTGTAGTAGGTTGAAGTGAACATGATTATTTAATTTGCTGCAACTGTCCGCCTAGATCACCAAATCTCGTATCATGTTGACACTATTGTTTGGCAATATGTTGAAATAACAGTGTTATTCCCACATTTGTCCACAAGTCCAAATGATCTCAACCATACTCCTTTATGCATAAACAGCAACAAAATAAATACTGATGCATATAAGTCAAAGTTTGATCTTTGTTTTAATACTGTTCACGTAGATTTAAAATCACACACAGCCCTGAAAATAAAATTTAGTTTCTTTTGAATTAAAATTTATTTTCATATTATATATTGCTAGTTAATCTACAACAATCTGAAATTGTACCAATCATTTTGAACAATTAAATAAAATTTAATCTTCTTGAAACAGAGATTTATCCTGATTGTGCAAACAAAAAAATTCTGAGAAAGTAAAAGATCACATCAGAAAAATTTAGAACAGCAATTTAATATTCATAAAAAGCTACACCTTAGTGCACTGAAAAATTTTAATATTACCATGTCAAAAACAAAAGGTTCATAATAAATAATTAATCTAGTGTTACAATAGCTAAATTGTGAAAATTATGATATGCCATAAAAAATTAAATGCAATATGCAGCTACGATGAAGCTATAAGCACATAAATTCTAGTATACCAGTAAATTTAAAATACAAGCTTTAAAAATGCAATTTAAATAATTAGGCATATCAAACACACAGTAGAAAATGATGATTTTTATATTTTAAAAGTATAAAAATTTTAATTTTTATCAAAATTTTTATCCTCAGTGCATTTTAGTTCTCATATTTTACATCAATGTGACCTTACTTGAAAAATGAAATTATCCAAGTCTTAAAAATTTTCAAGTAAAATAAATACATAACACTGAAAAACGTTTATTGCAAAAGTTCAATAGCATGCTAATCACCAAGCTTGCTTCTGAACATGAGATTTACTTATTATACAATCTGCAACCAGTCACACATTATAACACAAACATAAAGAATCAAAAAATAAAAGAATTCAAACAGGATATCTTGATTCTCAGGAAGAACATTTTGAGTCAAGAAATATAACCAAAGACATCTAAAGATTGAAGATGTTTCAAAAATATTATGACCAACAAACTGGATATATTAAAAAGATATAACTTTTTAAATCACATGAATATAGCTGCTTAATATACTAAACAGCTTTCTGCATCAATACTTATTTAGTCGAGCAAAACAACTCCAAATCACAGACAACAGAAACTGCAAAAACTACTACTTCTTGTCACTAAACACAGATATATACTTATGTCTGACAGCAAATTTTCTTTGGATACAATTAAGAAAGCTATACGCTGCTGCAGGAAGTATTCAGTAATTAGTAGTAATAAGACAGAAATCTTATTATAAATCAATATGTATTTGATCTGAAGATATGCAAAAATAATTTTGATTTCTTACATACTGTTAAGATGAGAGCCAAGCATCTCAGAATATCATTGAATTGTACCAGACTAATTTATAAAAGCTCTTCAAGGAAATTATTAATCTTATAAATCATTAATCAAAAATTCAGGTTCAGCTTCAGTGTCCACAATCACAATAATGAAAAATAGTTCTATTAGAGTATCAATGAACTGCACAGTTCACATCAACAAGTATCATTGCAAGACATCTAATAAAAGTCAGTCACACATTATACACTGATAGTCTCTGACATAAGAATGATATTGCAGTCTCTTATTGCTGCTTTATGAAGTATCCCTCACATTATTCTCTAACAAGATAATTAACTAATATTTACCAAACACATTCAAGAAAAGGTCTCGATATTTTCTTGGCTAGTACTTATTGCATGAGATCTAATTAGAAAACTGTAGTCTTACCTTAAGCTTCTGTGGAACAATATAAGAACAAAGTAAATTCAAAGAGTTTCAAATATTATAGGATACCAGGACACCACTTATCAAGATATAATAATCATATGACAAATCCTGTAGTTATTGTCTTGACATGCTAATCATACTCAAATGTGTACTCATAGACAACACATATCTAAAATAATTATTAGCTTTATAACTTAAATTATTATATTAAGCCAGAGTGGGATACTGGGCAATTTGGAACACATAATAAAAATAGCCATCCTCAAATTTAAGCCAGAGTGGGATACTGGGCAATTTGGAACACATAATAAAAACAGCCATCCTCAAATTTAAGCCAGAGTGGGATACTGGGCAATTTGGAACACATAATAAAAACAGCCATCCTCAAATTTAAGCCCAGTAGAATTTTAAAACTGGAAAAGTAACAAATAAAAATGATTTTATAATAGGTATTGAAAAAATAAAGAAACATTTTGACTTATTTAAAGATGTACCAATATTGCTATTATTAAAAAATGAAGAATCAGTATATGAATTTGTCAAACTATGGAAAGATGGAGGAAGCTAGAGCCATTAGATTTTGAACACACCTAATCCTGCACCTAAACACATGCACTTTGAAAGTGGATATTGAATTTCAATTTTTTCATTTATTTTATATTTTATTTAACAAATTTTATATTAAAAAAGATTCACGAAATTAATGCATAGGTTAATTCAGGAAACAATTGTTATAATTATGCATGCATTTTTTAAGGCATCCAGCATGAGAAATTAAAATTTGAAAATTGTATAAAATAAAAGTCTGAAGTACCAAAAAAGTTACTTTAAGAGAAGTTTGGTATAGTATTTTTTTTAAATGAGTTAAATACTATCCAAACACATGCACTTCGAAAGTAGAATTTTGAATTTCAATTTTTTTTCATTTATTTTATATTTCATACCAATTTAACAAATTTTATATTAAAAAGATTCGCAAAATTAATGCATAGGTTAATTCAGGAAGCAATTGTTATAATTATGAATGCCTTTTTTAAGACATCCAGGATGAGAGATTAAAATTTGAAAATTGTATAGAATAAAAGTCTGAAGTACCAAAAAAATTTAAGAGAAGTTTGGTATAGTATTTTTTTTAAAAGAGTTAAATACTATCCAAACACAGGCACTTTGAAAGCAGAATTTTGAATTTCAATTTTTCATTTATTTTATATTTTATACCAATTTAACAAATTTTATATTAAAAAAGATTTACAAAATTAATGCATATGTTAATCAGGAAACAATTGTTATAATTATGCATGCATTTTTAAGACATCCAGCATGACAGATTAAAATTTGAAAATTGTATATAATAAAAGTCTGAAGTACCAAAAAAGTTACTTTAAGAAGTTTGGTATATTTTTTATAAATTAGTTAAATACTTATCAAGCACTTTTATTTTAATAGTAACAGTATTTATTTTATTTTATTAAGTTATCAAACAGTATGCATGTCAGCCTTTGCCTGGTATGCATTCAATTTAATAACTTAAGCATGCCAAACTAGAGATGAGGTACTGGCTTGTAAATACAATAAGCTGCCTAATATTGAGGATCTTCTTCAGATATATTTTCATTTTTGAAGTTTGAATTTTTGCATAAAAAGTGCAGCTTAAATTCAAAATAGTACAGTACATGCTACCTACTTTATGAGAGAGGTTATCAAATTTTTTTCACGATATTTGATACAACTTCATGGGAATAAGTACAATAATAAGTAGCATATAAAAAAATCTGGAAAGCACTAAAAAAATATTTTTTTCAACTGAACTAACTAAACTTCAGATAAGAAATAAACTTACCTCGTCCAGTGACAACAGCAAAATACCCTAAAGCTTTCATTGGAAATAATTTACCATCTAAAATCTTCTTTATCTATAAGTAGGGGGAAAGAAAGATAACTTCAAATATGGTTCAAAATAACATAATATTAAATATTCAATTCCACGAAAAACTATACTTAATCTTCATTTTTATATTTTTACAAACTTACTCATGATTTCACATTTTCATAATGCAGGAACGCAAATTTAACATGATTTCACAATGCAGGAAAAAACTATACTTAATATCCATTTTTATATTTTAATAGTTATATATAATATTTTAAATATAAAATAAATTTTATAGTTTATATAAATACTCATGATTTCATATTTTATAATTCTATAGATTTACTATAATTATGGATACCTGCTAGTTTTTTTTTAAAGAAATGACTCAGATATTATAAGATATTCTGAAAGTATACAGGTAAAGCTCAACCAAATAAAGATATCAAATCATAACTGTGGTATTTAATCACATGGAAAATAAGAATATCACATTATTTCACTGTATGTGGCTGTAAAGGGTTGGAGCAGTTCACCATGCTTTTGTGAGGTAAAAGAAGGAAAAGTAATTATGGTGTTCAGTGTCAGAGGAATGAATGATGATGATGTTCCAAATTAAAGAGGCAGCTCATTAAATAAAAACCTAAAAGATGTATTACCCTCTTAATTTCATGGAATTCACCTTCATATATCAGGGGTTCATACACATTTTTGCACGTGGAAATTAAGGACATTCAAGGACTATTAATGAATAAAATTACGGACCTAACAGCAAATGGAACTGAATAATTCAATTACAGATATTATCTATGCCTGAACTTCACTTTTGTATTTCCACCCTAAGAATAAAACAGATCAATAAGTAGAATGCATTACATTTAACGCATTTTAATAAATTAATTATAAAAAAATTTGACAACATCAATTTTGTAAAATTTACCCAATAACATTAATACTTTACACTTATAATAGTTGAACATATTTTAAAGATGATTATGGACATTTTTTTTTTTTTTTTTTTTTAAGCTTTAGATTTGCTGATCAGAACAGACCTGAATGCCCAATGCTGGCTGGCATGGTTGGTAAGTTTTTAAAGTTAGTTATGCTTTGTCTGTCTGACAAAGTTAGTGTCATAGCTTTGTGGAGAGTTCCTAAAGTTGTAGCCTAGTAAATATATTTTAAGGTTCCAATAAGCTACCAAAGCATCAGAGGTGATTTATATATATATATATTCTATTTTAAGTCTCACTAGCTGTAAGGAATACGTTTTACATTACTTTTTACATTTTTGTATTGTATCTTGTGACCACAGTAAGGATTAATGAAAAGCAATAACTTGCTTTAACATGCAAAGATAACTTTTAAGGGTGAGCAATTAGTTATAAATAATTAAAGTAGACAGTTAAATACCCTTAGTCATTATATATTTACATGATCACTATTAAACTTTATTTACATTTTTTTAAATATTTTTTAAAGAAGCACTATTAAAATCACAAACTAATAACATTTCACAATTTAAAACACATGCAATTTAAAACATTGGTTCTTAAACAATATTATGATATTTATACATTAAAAGCTGCTAAACATAAAAGTTTTGTAGACACAACACACTACAAAATATTTACGAGTATTTTTTTATTTTTTATTTATTTATTTATTTATTTGACTAATTCATATTAGTTTGCTTCTCTTTAAGCACCTTTTCTAACAATAAGAAATTTGTTTCAATTAGTTTTTGCTTCATCTCCAAACTTGTCAATGTTTTGACAATAAACCTATGAGATTTCACTTGATCTGGTAAAAGTTATAGTCCCAAACCCCTCACGCAAAGTAAATTATCGTCATGTCTGAAATTAACTACAAAATAGGATAAAGGTTAAAATAAACATCTTTATTTAAACAGAACTCAGAACATAATTGCACTTGACATGAAGCAAATAATCACCATGTCTGAAATTAGAAAATTTAAATAAAATGAGTATAATAATATCCAAAGTATAATGAAATTATATGCAAAGTATAACAATATCCAAAGTAGAATAAAGGTTTAAAAAAGCATCTTTATTTAAACAGAACATAAATGCATGTAATGAATAAAAATAAATGCATAACATAAACATAAAGTCAAATTCAGATTGAACTAGAAGTCAGACTACTCATTTTATAAGCTAGCTCAGTAACTCTATCGCAGTAATAAATTCAAATATCGGCAGCGATAACGCAAAGCTGAATAATTACAAATTACTGCAGCTTACAGGAACTAATGCAGCATGAAGCAGAGACCAGAAACACACTGTCTTACAATCCTAAATCCTCAGTTTAAGTACCATCTAATCAATTTGCATTCTGGTGAAGAAACAGGAGAAGTTATAGTAAAGGCTGAAATTATGAAGAACTAGTTAATTTACATAATAATAACTGTACATATCTTTGTAGAATCATTTTCTTTCTCTTTATGTATTCAGTTTCTTTTCTCAATAAATTTCCTCTTCGTTTTAGAATTTTTGGATTTAATTAAAGATTTCTATTATTCTAAAATCTACACGTATTTAGAAGATATAAAAGAAGCTGCTAATTTTATTTCTTCAGCAACATGAACATTAGGAATAAATCTGAAGTGATGATCAGGGCAGGTTACAGAGCCGGTGTGGCAGAATTTTTAGAATTTAGTGTTGCACAGAGAAGCAAAATCCAGAAAATGGCAAAACTTTTAAAATTTAGGACAAGTACTGGGAGTAGAATTTAGGGAGGCACTATACAGCAGAATTTAGGACCCACAGAGATTACATCAGGTGGGAAAATGCCTAACACTAGCCCAGTGTATGATGCATTGAGATATATAAAATGTCCTGTAAATTGTAGTTTTCAAATTTTTTATTAAGAGGAAAATTCCTTTCTATAGATGTCTGTCCATGTGACAAGATTAGAAGCATTTTTAATACTTCCCATGCTTGTACCTAGTGAAAAGAATAAAAATAAATGGAAGATAAACATGTTAAGCTAAAGACTTCTAGAATCAGAAGTAAAACATTCAAATATATGTTTGCATTATTTTTTCATAAATTCTCCAAAAAGTGAGAAATTCGTCACAATTTTTTTATAAAACACATTTATTATGTGTTAGTACCATGAAGACATTTTTCATTTTGTTACACTTTTCTGGAATCTTTTAGAATGATATGTCTGTAAATCTTGCCTTCAAATCCTTCTAAACTTTCCATGTAGCAATGTCTAAAATCGGAAAGAAAAATTACCTCTACCAATTCCCTTACAGCAAAAAGCCATAAATTTCTTTTAAAAAATTCATAGAAAATAAAAAAGAAGCACACACATATATATATACACAGAGAATGAGGGAAAGAGAGAGAGATAATTTCTTATGGAGCCAGATAGCACTCCATACAAGCTGCCCATAATGTCACTAGATTCACCAAATACCTTGTATATTTTCAATTATATTGGTCAAATTATACACTAAATTGTTCAACTGAGTTTAAAATTCAGTTTCATGCATTTTAGATAAGAATTACTGCTGTACAAATTAAAAAGCAAGAACAAAACATAATTTTTGTAGCAATTTCTTTTTACAGATCATAATTACACACAGATTTCTTCTTTAAGACAAATTCTTATAAATTTTGATAAACTTAAAGCACCATAACATTATTAAGGCACTCATGCTGACAACAGAAACAATGGACAATTACATTAAAATACAACAATTTTAGACATTTTTTCCCATAAAAAATAAATTTACTATAAAACATATAAGATAACCACACATAAAAGATATATAATAAAATTCCCATTGTTAGATTTAAAATTACTAGAATTTCAATTTCATTTATGCGTAAATATGTGAAAACTAAAAGCTCTTTGATATAAAGAATAATAACAGTTTAACCTTCCCTTTTGGAAAGAACATAAAAACTTGCAGCATAAAGTCTTTTGAAACTCTCCGTAAGTAGCTTAATAATACTAAATACATTTAACATACCCTTGTCGGATCAGCCAGATTTTGCTCCGCAAGGTCAACTTTTGTTAGAACAAAAATTGTTCTTCTCCCAAGAGGATCCATTTGACTGACCAAATCTGTCACAATACTGCGTTCAGCATCAACAGATCCATCTGAATAAATATTAATAATTATTCTTATAATAATAAAGGCTACTGAAATTTTTTAGAATGACAGAAATAAAGTATAATTTGATAATCTATGCTCAATCACATTAACAGTGCTATAAAATTTACCAAATTTACTTTTAATATGATTTCTATCAATATTCTGAACTTCTACTAAAATAACAGGATAATTTAAACATATGAAGTTACAAACTTTTCATTATGTCACATACCTTGTATGCACAAAATAATAGAATTTGGATTGCTCATGTATAGTTGAGTCATTTCTCGAATTGCTTCCCTTGTTCCATCCATCATGTCAGTGGTAACTGTCTATAATAAAAGATTGCAAAATTATAATTAAATGCATTATTATTTGTAATAATCTTCGATTCGGAAACAAAAAAAAAAACATATAGAAAAGACTGTGGAAACTCTAACAATAAATATTTTATAGATATTCAAAGAATACATATTTTAATTACTAGCTTTTGTGTTTTTATAAGAACAGTTTATCAAAATTGCTTTAATACAGAATTTTTAAAATGTTACAACAGTGTGTTGAGCAACAGAAAATGTGCTCAAAATAACTTCTAAGCAAATAATGAAAGTAATGAAAAACATACTACAAAAACTTTAATAATTAAAATTATTATACATTCACCTAGCATAATCACATTTCCCTAATATGGAAAATATATTTGTATAAAGGAAAAGTTACCTTGTGCAATATAGCAGATACTAGAACCCTCAGTTTTTTTATTTAAAAAAAATACAAATAATACATGTAAGAAACACTAGTAATAATAAATAATAATTCAAATAACTTAAGTAATGTAACTAAATAAACTAAAGCACCAATGATAAAACATTGAAATCTTGCTCATTCAATGAACTGGAAAATCTAATCATAATGTGCTTTACGTGGAGCTGTAAATAAATTATTATTTAATGAAAACATCTTTCCTATGCACACATTATTTTTAATGTGGTGCAGTAAGTAAACATAATGATTAAGATAAGAAAAAAGTGAGTCTGCCTTTAATTTACAGCAGTCTTTAAAGTTTTAGAATTAATCTTGAGAATTGAATTGGTTTCATGAAACCTAAGTGAAAATATTATTGATTCATTTTTTGAATGCTAGATGTAGTGGAAATTTTTAGTTTTAATGATTAAAAAGCAAGAAAGCAAAGTAAGTAGTTTTTGTTGCAGATTTTCAGTCAAGAGAGCAGTCTTGAGTCAAATTATAATTTTAATGAATGATAGAGAAAACAGAGGGGAAAAAATATTAAACTACCCATTCAAACTTATTACAAATTATAACAGAATCCAAAGTAGGCCCATTTTTTTTTATAAATGATAGAGAAAACAGAGAAAAAAATTATTAAACTATTCATTCAAACTTATTACAAATTATAAGTTTTTCCTTAGATTCTTTAATTTAAGGTTGTTAATATATCCAGCCTATATTGCTGTAAATAGTTCCGATGTAACCTTTCATGGAAAAACAACAGCTTAAATATGCAAAATTAGATTGACAGTTTCAACTTAGCAAGCTCTTTTTTTAGTAAAATTATATGAAATTTTGTTATTTTTTAGTATTTTAATTAATAATCGTTTGAAAAATCTTAAATGCCATTGCTGTTACTTTTAATTCTTTTGGTTTGATTAATAATAATGTTAGCTATGAGTTTCCTGGAGATATTTTGATTTGCAATTAGTTTTACAGTACTAAAACTGAGTAGTCTTCTTTTATTAAATATTTTTTGTCTTGTAATTATATATTTGTAGGTCTAAATAATCTGCTTCTGCATCATTATTTGATTAGTTTTAAACATTTTGGATAAATGTCTTATTTTTGTGTTTCACTGCTGTATATACATGTGTATACACATATACAGCAATGAAACAAATATATATATATGCGGCGAGCTTTCTACAATTCCTAATATACTTAATTTTGCAGCATATTGCACAAAAAATTATCTAGACCAAATTGGTTTTACAGTTCAGAAGTCAAACAACAAAAATCAGCGTAATATTTGCAAAATTTTGCAAATATTACGCTGATTGCATCTCTGTTCTACCTAAATTGCATCTCTGTTCCTAAATTTTGGTGAAATCTTTTCTTTATTATAAATTATATTAACCAGTTGGCACCCGCCAAATCACCAAACTCATAAATCTGTCATATTACATAAAGTCCTTAAGAACATTCCTGATGAGGAGATAGCATCACCTCATGATTTCAATTAATATCGCTGACTGGATGAGCACCATGACGCACACATATCTATAAATAGGGCTTCTCCTCGAGGTGCAGGAGGAATGCTTGTGAGATGGATGCTAAAATAAACGTATCATTTTATATTCCAAAATTTGTCTCATTCCTGTTGCCCCGGCTGCACAACACAAATAATGTATGAGATTCTACATTTCATATATAATATTCAAAGTATTCAGTAGTCTGTAAGATAATATTGAAGTGAGTAGTAGTAAATAGATGACATAAACTCATGAAATGGGAAAAAAATGCAATATGGTATCACACAAGTACTTTTTCTTCCTTAAGATTTTCTTTCTCACATTTTCTCCCCCCTTTTTTCTAAAGTTATATCACACAAATACAGCACATAATAATGCAACATACAAACTATATGCTTGTTTACTGTTTATATAATTGGCAAGGTTTTTTTCAAATGTATCTCATTGAAGTTTCTGGAGCAGCAAAAATTTTATAAAGTTTTACACTTATGAAAGATAATGATACTCTTTAATCTCCACATAATTAAAAACTAAACTGTAAATTTACATCAAAATTCCACTGCCTTTCTTTTTCCAAAGTCATCAAATTCCACATATACTAAAATGCTTTAAATGGGGGGGGAGAAGCATTCAGCATTAAAATATATTTATTGAATTTTAACACATTACCGGCCGGTAGCCTATTAATCGGTTTTTTATCGCCAACGCCTACCGACCGATCGCCTATTAATCGGCTTTTTTTAGGCAATGCCTGCTGACCGATAGCCTATCAATCGGCTTTTTTTCGCCAATGCCTACTGGACAATAGCCTATTAAACACTTTTTCTTTGGGGCTACCAAAAAATATCGGTAGACATGATGATAAACAATTGCCATTTGCTATATTATCTGCGTTTTGTTATTAGTATTGAGGTACATTGCTCACTTGCGTTATGTGTGTTGCTTTCATAAACTCCCACATTTTCACACCATTTTTTAAAAAATGACCGTTACTTTATTAAACATCTCTTTCATTGTGCATGCGTAAAGCATACATTACGCATAGTCAAAATTAGAAAATTGCAACCAGAAAACTATTTGATGCGTATTCGTGATATTTATAATGACGAGGAATTTGATTTAAATCATATCAAAGACGAAGTACATCGAGATGAAATGCTACATTTAGTAAGGAATTATAAGCTGAATAAAATAAAAACATCTGTCCTGAAGATAAGAATAAGTGCTGACAGATCAACTTCCAGTTCATTGCGTGCCGCGATGCCCCCCCCCCCCGCAGAGCAGCATGAAATTGATAAACGGATTTCGGAATGGTTAGAGAAACAAAGGATATGCCTTTATCCACTTTTTGCAGCAATTCCACTTTTTGTTTGATGGACATCAAAACATGCTTTCACTTTGTAGATCCTTTGGCAGCTCCAGAATCAGAAATTCTTTTTGACATAATCGAAAGTTCAAGCTTACTTTTATAAAATTGCTCTAACAGTCTGCAAAAAATAATAAGCCGGATCCAACTCGAAGATTAAGGAACAACGCAATCTGCAACATTAACTGAAATAGATAATTAGATAATTTTAGCTTAGCTTATACCATCCGTTATACATTAAAGGCGCATGTGTAAATGCATAATGCGTTTATGCATCAGAAAATTTGTAGCTTTGAGGTCCGGATTATGGACGTCCGAATTAAAGACTTTTGACTTTATATTAATGATGCTTGCTCTTTTAATACCCCCACTTTTTTTTGGAGGCAGTACTGTAATTTTTGTCCCTGGTTACTTCGTTTACAAGAAAAGCAGAATATAGTAATAAATTCACAACTTTAGTAGCAAAGGCAGCTCTAGTACTCTAATTACCCCAATTTACATTATATAAATTTAGATTGATTCCCCACTAAGAGCATCATAGTCTCATTAACAGAATAGTCGATAAAAATTTATCATTAAATTTTGAAATGAAACACCACAATGACATTATACACAACACAATTACATATATATTTCTGTATGATAATACTTTTTGCCCCATTTAAAAATCAGCCCTCTGGCTAAGTCCATTTATCAGATCTGAAAAAAAATTTTTTTTTTCCCCCTACTTATTTATTTACACTTTTTTTGCCATAAAATTTACAATAAATGGTGCAAATTTATGCTGCTCCACTTCAAAACTGTATTTTTAAATCTGATATCACACAGCTTTTTCATTTGCTATGGATAGCATTATGCGACTGACTTCTGGCATTAATCCATTATCTCAGAATCTGGAATCAAGAGGCTCATAATAATATCTACTAATGCAATTTACTTATGTGAAAGTTTCTTTCTCTTAAGTACTATTAATAAGTTTACTTATGTGAAAGTTTCTTTCTCTTAAGTACTATTAATAAGTTAAATATTATAGAGTCCATACTATAAAACAAACTGAAAAGAAACCTATATAATAAAAAGACAAATGAATAAACTTACACTTATGACGCCAGGTAGATCTACAAGCACCATCCGTTGTAACCCAGGTCCTTTAACTGTCATTGATATAACCTAAATGATTTCCAAAACAGGTAAATAAAATATCTATTCACTTTAATAATCAATATTTTGGTATATTACAATATGATAAACTTATAAGGATTAACATGATACCTTAAATAATACAGCATAAATACGGATTTTTAGAAAAGCAATACCTCATTACTAACAGTTCTGCCACCTTCAACACTTTTCTTCATACGAATTTCAACTTCTCTTCGCAAATCAGCAAGCTAATTTGGAAAACAAAATTGAAATAAAATTTTAATAATTACTTACATATCTACACTTCAATTACATGAAAAACAAAAGAAACACTTTATGCTGTTTTATTGTTTTTAACAATTAATAAGAAGAATATTAAAAGAATATATTGAAATAACTAATATTTCCCATACCTATAACATATAATACACTACTATTGCACAATTTGAATAGCATGTCAATGTGATTAATTAACCCCCCCCCCAAAAAAACCTTGACCCCCCCAAAAAAAATAAATAAAAACAGGCTACATTAGAAAACTTACTGTTGTTACACTCATTAGGGTTTACAGTTCTACTAATTCTTCTTTACTTTAAAAACTCAGATCAGAGAGAGAAAAACTTACAACACAATATTTAAATATGCATGTCATATTTTACTCAAAATAATTTAACAGTTAGCTAATGCTTTTTAAATAATTAGAAATTTAAAAATTTAGGTATTTTCTGATTATCTGCACACCTCATCAAAAAGTCGTAAGAAAACACAGTAAAAACTCGAGTAACCAAAAAGCTCAGGTGAATACTAGATATGTGAAATTCCAGATCATTCAGCATATAAAAAGTGCAATTCACAATAGAAAAGCTACATGACTGGATGAAGCAATTTATGGTCTAAAATTATAAAGCAGTTATTTTATCTGTATCAGCTTAAATATCAAAACTTACATTTAATATTATGTAAGATTAGAAAAAAATGCATTTATATTTTCATACACCTTAAACATATGAAAATAAAGCATCTTATCAATTATAAACTCTGTCAACATAAAAGCTAGTGGAGATGCCTTGAAACTTGCACCAATAATTTCAGCAGAAAGGAAAAAACTGATCACTTTTTAATTTAGTTACATAATCAAGATATACGAGTTACAGATATAGCATATAAAAACTTAAATCTCTTGTCATAATTTTTCACATTGCATTGTCATTGTTTATCCATTTCTAAATAAAGTCACATATTATGCTCATTAATGCAAATCATACTTGACACCAGGTTTCTAGGAAAAAAGTCCACAGGAATAATGCTCACAGAAAAATGCTCACAGGAAAAAAGTCCACACAGAAATATGCCCACATGGAAAAATGCTCACTTAGAAATATGCTCACACAGAAGTATGCTCACATGGAAATAAGCCCACTGATAAATAATTCACACAGAAATATACCTACATTAATGAATCAATAATTAATCGATTTGAACATCATACACCTACTTGAATTTTCTAAAGAAAATTTATATAAATTACCAAAACATCTATGGTATATATTTCAAAAACTTTATAACTTATGTGTAGATTCAGTTGCTACATAAGATTAACAAATGGGCCATTTTGAATTGAAAGGAGAGAAGAAAGGAAGTAAACATGAAACAGAATTATACAGTAAAAAATTATTATAATTTTAATTGTTAAAAAAATAAAAAAATAAATAAATATAAGTTACACATTTTTTAATATGAACATTTAGAAGAATAATGAATAATGAATGAGAATTTAGAATGATTATTTTATTTAAATTACTTAAAATATTTAATTTTATGATCGATTTCATCATAGTTTCTTACATGATTCACGATTACCAAATGTAAGTTTTTCACGTTTTCTTTTTTTACTTCAGTACATCCTATATTTAGATTAGCTAATAACAAACGTTGAGAGGCTAAATCTTTTTCAGTCCCTCAAATAAAATCTACATACTGGGATGGCTACAATTAAATAATGAATTTAATGCGTTATGAGAGCCTTCGCCACAATTTGTGGTTTTAGGAGATTTTTCAAAGGCTGCTTCATAATGTTCAACTCAGAAGCATCATCAAAGTGCCTAAAAATGTTAATTTTATTTCTAAAATTTTAAATTTCTGCAGAAATTTTACAACTTTTTTGGCTCAAAATTTGAATAACTACCTTCAAACATCAATTTCTATAGATACACATCAAAAGTATGCAAAAATAGAGTAAAGAAACGAAAATTAATTATTAGCAGTTACAGGAAAAAAGTGCTGTACAGGGGCAGTGGTATAAAATATTACAGTACATGCAAAATTTTACTACAGTTTTCATGTTTTTATTTATCGGCCCTGAAAGGGTTAATGTGAGCATTTGTCCGTGTGTACATATTTCATGTGAGCTTTTTTCCATGTCAGCATATTTTTAAGTGAGCATTTTTCCATGCGAGCTTTTTTCTATGTGGGCATATTTCCTTGTGGGCTTTTTTCCTGCAAGTTTTTATACCTGTGAGCATTATTCTGCGAGTATTTTTCCTGTAGGCATTTTTCCGGTCACCGACACCAGGGTGCCATAATTTTGTAAGAACTGCTCTATGTTCTATTCTATTTAATGAAGGTCCCAATTTTAATTGCTTTTTCAATATGCCATTCAAATACCAATAAATTAGTTCTACTTATCAATAATTAATTGGGTTTATAAAAAATCAAGGTAGAGATTGTATTATGACATCATGCATTAAATTACACTGTATTTAAATTGTTTAACTGTTTTTCACCAGTTTTTTTTTAATAGTTTTTGTTTTATAAAAAATACAATATGGTATCACACAAGTACTTTTTCTTCTTTGTGATTTTCTCCCCTTCTTCTACAGTTATAACATACAAATACAGCACATAATAATGCAACATACAAATTTATATGCTTGCTTACTGTTTATATTATTGGCAAGATTTTTCTCAAATGTACATCATTGAAGTTTCTGAAGCTTCCGGAGAATTATATGTTCGTTATAATATAAGCTTTAAGATGGCTTTACAAGCCTCTCATTTTCTTCATTTTTTTAAGAAGAAAAAGCTTAAGCTTTTAAAAATTTAAAAATAATATGGTTTTTCTAGGTTTCCCTTTAACTGAATACTATACAGTGAGGCATTTACTTTACTGATGAGGCAGTGTATCATGTTACCAAAAAGCATTTATATGGCAACTCACAAGTCGCCAAAAAGTGTTTATATGGCAACTCAGATATGCACATAGCACACATGTTTTGAGTACACTACTTTAAAAAAAAAAAAAAAAAATCTGATCAGTATTTCTTTTTGCATATTTGCTTCCATCATAATGAATTCTAATTTGAGTTTCCCACCTGATGGAAAAGAAAGTGTTGCATTTCTTTAGAAATATGGCAATTTGACAAACAATAAGAATGCAAAAATTCACATCTATGAAGTTGCACTTTTTAAACAATAAAATTTTATGAAAATGCAATGCGAAAAATTGTAAGCAAAGCATTACAAACAAGTTGGTAACTAGTTTGAAGATAGACATTTTATGTTTACAATAGCTGGTCATTTGATTTATTATTAGATAAAGAAACATATGCCTGTGAAATTCTATGAAGAATTAGGATTATCCTCAAACACAACTATTAATTGGTGTAACTACCTTTGGGAAGGAAACATGTCTTCTGTGGAAAAAGAATAATGTAAGAAACAGGCAGCAATAAATACACTATTTAAACAAATGTTAGGATACCCAAGCAAATATTTCTCTCCATAATCAGCAATGAGTTTGTGAATGTTCTCTAAACTTGCTAATAAGTTCTCAACTTTTAACAGGGATTGCAGCAAAATAATCAAAAAGTACCTAATTTAGATTTAGCAGCTAAAAGAAATCTGTACTATGATCTAATGAATTATTGCATATTTTATTTGAATGTAGGATTTGAGAATTCACTTCAGCATGTATCACACATTATTACACTGCCTTTTCTGAATAAATTTGAATTCCTGTAATAATGAGGAGTGAAAATCTCATTTAAAAAAATTCCATATTATATAAGAAAATTAGGCCTCAGAACATAAGATCAACATAAGATTTCTAAAAAATAAGCAGTCAGAATAAACATCAATCCAATGATTTTCTCTTCTAGACTTTTCTTTGCTTAAACAGATAAAATGGTAAGTGCTGGACATGAAAAACTACAAGTTCATCACCAGTACAACTTTACACATTCTGATATGGGATGGCATGTGCAAAATAATGTCAGGCCCCTAGTAGGATTCCATGATAAGCTCTGGTAAGAGCAGGATAAATTCTTGCTAAACACCAAAATACACAACTAAAGCATCAAAGGGAAGTATATATTATATATCAGCATGGCACTAGGCGCAATGCTTATGGGGTCCTGAGGTCACGAAAAAAATCTCAGTGATAAAAAGGAGTCACGAATGAAAAAAAAATAAGAAGCTCTGCTCTAGTATATAGTAATAACCATGAAAAAGAATGCACTTTTTAAAAATAATAATAAAATCAGTGACTTATTTCATTAGATGAAATTTAAGATTAATTCAAAATGAAATATAAAAAGAAATAAAAAAAAGCAAACTGCATTAATATATCACCATTTTAAATACAACATACTTCACTTTCTTTGGTTAAATCAAACTCTCTTGAGCTGTCTTTAAAACATGCAACATGATAAGGACCTTCACTTAATGTAACTTTAACAGGAGCTCTTGTCATCATTTCTCCAGCACCTCTGTTAAAAAGGAAGGAAGAGATTTATTTCTTTTTAAAAAAGAAAACCTGTTTTTCATAATGTATATATTTATGTATCACTAGCCATTAATAACAATAAAATAATACAATCTAACCTTGGAAAAATGCGAGCTTGAGCAATCATTTCCAGAACACTAGTTTTACCAGAACTTTGATCTCCAACTACAACTACCTATGAAAAAAAATTGCAACAATTTGTATAAATAGTACATTTAGTTTACATTTTAAAGTAAAATATTTTGCACCAATTTTACAAAAATCATATACTGAACTTAAACATTGAAAACACATAAAAGAATTCAAATAATTTTATAACATTGGTTAATTCATAACCAATGTTATAAAATTAACGAATACAGCACTGAAAGAAAAATAATTTCATATATAATTTTGTATATACAGGATTAGCATTAAATAATGAGGTGCATCAAAAGTAATTTTGTTTTGAAATCAAATATTTAGCAAAATGAACATACTACAAATAAAAGTATGACCCATTATCTTTGACTGCTTTCTTTTACTGTCTCCCCACCCCAAAGTTGTTTAATCGTTGGGAACGATACATTTTAGACTACTTTGAAACACCATTGTAAAATTAAAATTTTTAATTAAAGGTAGCTGAACTATTTTTAAAAAGACATGCTATTTTAGAAAAGGCAGGGTAACAATACATATTCCTGACAAAACCTAACCTGGGGGCAGTGTTACGTTTTTGGACATCCTTTCAACAAAGTATAATATTTTATGTTTCAGCTATTTATTTTATGTCAACATCAGACAGTGTGGAACTTTGAATGCAAGGTTACAGTTTTCTTCCTTTGTGTGAGTTTCTTCGCTGCAGGGTTTCATGGCAACTGCTTGTATAGTCAATTCCCAATCTTGTTTCTAAGCATGCATTTTAAAGAAATTCTTTTGCATTGAAAAAATTCATAAAATTCATTATAAATTTAAAAAAAAAGAAAAATTATTAAATTTTTACTTGTCATTTCAAAATTTTACTGCCTATTTTGTTATTTGCATTGTAATTTATTTTAATTTGCTGCTTAGCACTTACAAGCATCCTATACAGTTTATGATCTTAGTGTGTGTATTTATACCTGGTTGTAACGAAAGTTTTCTGCCAAAAAACATTCTTAATACAGTTAGGAAAAAAACATGAAAGCAGTACCTTTAGTCCGGGTAGTAATCACCACCCAAATCTATGATTCTCTGCCAACGTTTCAGTAATTTTACAAAGCCTTTGGCCCAGAAGTGGCCACGAGTTCAAAAACAGATCAACTTCATTTTGAACATCCTGTGCAGAATGGAAGATAGCACTAGCATGATGTAGCTCCAGGTGTGAAAAAGGTAGAAGTTTGAAGGAGTGATGTTGGGACTATATGGTGGATGTGGCAAAAGACCCCATTCGAGTTTGTACAGAGTCCAGCCCATGAATGCAGACACAAGTGGTCTTTCATTATTTTGATGGGACATTACCTTTTTGTGCCAGAGCTCAGTTCAATATTTTTCCTTAATAGCAGCATCAACATGGACTAGCATCTCTCTGTACACATTACTGTTGAGAGTTTTACTTTTTACCAGATACACTCTGTGGATAATACTACATCAGTTCCACCAGATGCAAAGCATGATCTTTTTGTTACTGCACTTTGCGATGCTGCCGATGGGTTAACCAGGTGCAGACCAAACCCCTTTTCAGCATGGGTTGTTGAAGTAAATCCACTTTTCATCACAAGTGATGATATCCTCCAGAATATTGTCCTTAGGTTGATATTCAAGCAGATTAGTGCATACCCAAACATGTCTGTTCTTACCTGCTTGAGTCAGCTCATGAGGCACCCAGCGATTGAACTTGTTCAACAAATTTATGCCATGCATAGTACAACTAATGGACATGGCACTAAGGTATAACTCATTAGCATGCTCTCAGTTGCATACTGATCTTCTTCCATAAGTTCTCACAGGTGGACCTCATCAACATCAGCAGCCCGACCAGAGCACTCTGCTTCTTGAATGTCATAGTCCTTGTTTTTGAACTTTCAGTACCACACCTTCACAATGTCATATGATACAACAAACAAGTACCTAAAGCTATACACATGATTTGGAGACAGCTGACTTTTTACAACAGAACTGTAAAAAAATGATGGTTCTAATCTAGTAGTGTAATAGTTCAATTTCCAACACCTTGTACTTAATTTTTTTTTTTTTTTTTTTTTTTTTTTTTTTTACAAATTTCACAATGCAGTGTTCTAAAGCAAGTCTCTTTTTTTCAAATGCCAAAAAATCTTCTGACAAAATGTGATTAAACATGACAACGTGAACTATTTGCGCAGATGATATTTGTGGTGGCAGGAAACTTTTGTTAAAACCTGATAGACATCATACATGTTTGTAAAGCAGATAGTGCTTGTGTGCTTTGCCATAATTGAATAATTCATTCATGTCTGCAAATTGAGCTCTAAAATCGATTTACATAACATATCCAGAACATGCAACATGTTGCTATTCTGCATATCTGTAAGATATCTGCAAATCAACAGATTTGTGTTACAACAGGCTGAAAGTGTTGCCGAGTCTGAGCCATTATCATCTATATCATTTAAAGAAATGCTAGTATTCTCAATTCAATCATAGTCTGTCATCTGCTTCTTTCTTTTCCCATTGCTCTGTTGTAAGGATTGCAGTAACAAGATAGGATAAAAGCATAAAGCATTACTAGATACATTATATAGATAAGAAATATTCTATAGTGTGTGAACTTCAGTATTTAAAGATGTATAAGGTGCCTTTAGGTTTCAATGATCCAAAAATTTAATGTTACAAAACGTGAAATTAACAGTTAATTATAATAATGTAAAATTGTATTAAACAGAAACATCAAGGGGTCTTTGACTGCTGATTTGGCCGTGAGGTAGCACTGAACTGAATAGTTGATTTTGCATACATTTGTGGCAACCCTGTTGCACTTTGTGTTTAGAATTGCTTCAAGAACTGACAGAGTCGGTAATAATAATTTTGAACTCTATTGAGAGTATTATAAAATAGTTAACATGTTGTAAATCAAATTTGTAAATAGTTAGTTTGTGTGTTGATTAAGTCATATATTGAAGTGATTTTATTGAACCATGTTTACGGTAAGAATTACCAGACGAACCTGCTTGGAAGTGCTTCCAGGAGAATTAACCTCATTTGAATTTTTTTTTAATTTTAGCTAACCAAGTTCAAAAAGTAAATTATTTTTATGAAGGTAATATGTCACTAAATAAAGAATAAAAAATGTTACTTAAAAATATGACTTACATATGTGTGTTTTATTAATTTTATTCATTGCCATTCTTAGATCATTTATTGCAATATGGGCCCCACCGAAGTGGATTTTAAATAATTTTTCAAAAAATATATTTCCATAATTATTAAACTTTAACTATCTTAATTTCTCATTCATTATCAACAATATGTTTTTCTAATTTTTTTACAAGCTGCAGATTTAAAAAAAAAAAAAAAAAAAAAAAAAAAAGACAACTTGTTGATTTTATAAACTAAAGAGTTTTTTACATAGCTTTGATAGTACAGTTTTTATTTTGTGAATATGAAAGCTTAAAAATATGTATTTCCCAAGTTAAAATAAGAAAATATTGTAAATGACTAAAATGGTACCAATTATAAAAGCAGATTTTAAAACTTATTTTTTTGTGTAGGAATGATTTTTTAGAAATGATTTCTGAATTCCCTTGAAACTTGTTAGATCAAAATCTGTATGGAACAAATTTAGATATACTACATTCATGGATAGTCTTGTAAATGCGGATGAGCGTTTGGGTATATTCTACAGGTATCCACTAAACCAAAAACAAGAGAATTATTTAGATAAAATAAGTAGAATTGTGATAAAATAATTCAAAAATAGAATTAACGGTATCGGGCAAAGAAAAATAATGTTTTAAAAAGGCAGATGTGAGGTATGCAGTTTAAATTGTTACCCTTGGCAAGTGATCTTGAGTGTTGTAACTAGAGTCATAGTCACTTAGCTCATCAAGTACTTCAGAATACATATCAATAAGTGACTTCTGGAAATAAAGAAATATTGTGGTTGTGAACAGCATACAGATACACACATCTAATTAAAATTAAAACATTATTCCAATATATAAATGAGTTGAAAAATCAGTTAAATATTAAGAATATTCTCAGAAGCATGAAATTTACCTTAATTTTTCTAACAGGCTCTGATTTCAAAGATTTCAGCATAATTTGCTTTCGTAATTCTTTGTTTTCCTTCTCTAATCGCTCCACTTCTTTCTGGTATTTTATCTATAAAAAGAGAATTATATTAAAAGGTAGCAATGCATTTAAAACAAGCTGTAAAAAACATTGCAAAATTAGATTTATACGATGTAAATGGCAGTATTTTGTTAAATATATTAAGTAGTCAAACATCAAGAAATAAAAAAACTGCATTCAAGAATTAAATTCTTATTTTATTCTCTACTTCAGCACCCCGGAATTTACTTACTTGGTATTTGCAGTTTGCATAATCTTATAATGATGGGAGGGGACAAACTTAAGAAATAAGCATTCATAAATTATCAAATGTATGCTAAGAATAGGACAGAGCACAGCAAAATTTTTCAGCTCAAAGATACATAGTACTGTCCTTTTTTTATCATCGGAGTCATTAATATAAAATCAGAAGCAAAATTAAATATCTTTCATTTTTATATAGTACTTCAATAGAAGTAAATTACTTTTACTTACTTACAATAGAAGTAAATTACTTATTATGCTGAATTCTCTTGAAATTATGTGCACACTACTTTTTCATTGCTCCATCTTTTCAGGCTATTTGTAAAAATTTTTTACACCTATTTGCATGAGAAACACACACAGCTAATCTGTAATGTAGCATCCAGTACATTTTGCTTTAATGCTAGAAATGTTCCATTTCAAATATTTAACAATAATTTTTATATCGATTTATATTATATGAGCTTACACATAGTGTGAGATTTTATTTACAGTTTTTTTTTTTTTTTTTTGTATGTGTGTGTGTGTGTGTGTGTGTTCATTACAGAATTTTATGTTGTAAAAGGTAGTTGAAGGTGGAAAATCTTAGATTCTGTAGAAATTAGTTTATTAATCTAATTTATATACTATTTCAATAACTATATGAATTATTTATTTACACTTTATCAATGGCTGTCACTTACATACAATGGACATGATTTCATTTCTTGAGTTTGGAGAGTGAATTACTCATTTCATTTTATTTACTTAATTTATCCACTTTTTTTCTTTCAAGTGAAAAGCAAGAGCATATGCTTCTGAAATATGAACTCACACAAACTCACTGTTCTTCTTCATAGCTCTCTGTTGTAAACTCCTCTTTGTTTCAATATTTTTCAAAACTTTCCCCCTTGCTATAGCAAAAAATATCAGAATATATACACTTGACTGAAAGTAGGCTCTGAAAATCTGCAGAGTTTGAGTTTTCTGGTGAATAAATATAACCTTCATTTTTATTCCATACTTGCATTCTTTATTTGCTTAATTACCATATTGCATTTTTTAATAATTAATAATTTTTTAATAATTCAGTTTTAATTATGTGTTTAAAATGGACCTAAGTAAATAAAATTAAATAAATAATTCATGGTCCAAAACTCAAAATATGAAATCATGCCTATTACATATAAGTGACAGCCAATCCCAAAGGGTAAAAGACAGTTGTTAAAATAGTTTACAAATTAGATTTATAAACTAATTTCTACACAGTCATTATTTTTATTTTAAGATTTTACCTTAAATTAAATACTGTAACTTTTGCTTCAGAGAACTGCTTATGAAAAACACTTATTTATGTACAGAAAGATAACTATATAAAGCCAAATATTCTGCATCAAAGTATGTAACATATGGAATTATAAATATCTGTAAAATTGCAATAATGCTGCAAACATTCAGAATTATCAATTGAATATATTATTAAAACACTGAAAACATGTTTAAAGTAATAAACGCAATTTTTAATATTAAATTGGTACTCCATTATGCACCTGAAACACTTTTTGGTGCTTGTGAAAGAGTAAAAAAAAAAAAAAAAAAAAGAAAGAAAGAAAGAAATGCTGAGATCCAATAGTAGCACCATCTGGAGACTATGTATATGTGTGTATAAACAAGAATAATTATATATGCATACATGTATTATTACAATAGTACCCTCAAAATGCATGGCAGGTGTATAATGGAAAAGTACCATTAAATTATTAAGAAATGCATTTCTTGCTCAAATCAATTTGACATTTGACAGCTAAGTAATTGTAATTTAAAAACATATTTCAAGTCTCATGTCATGACAACATTTGTCTTATTATGTAAATGATAAATACATGACAGTGGCAGCTAAAAATATTTGAAGACTTAGCTACAGAAATTTCTTTAGTTCGAAAAGAACATGAGCATGAAATACTTACTTGCACATTAATTAGTTCTTCTTGTAATTTATCAATTCTAGTTTTTTCCTCTTTATCTGAACTAGATGAACTACCACTTAGAGGAGTGGAGGTGGCAGACATAGCTGTGTGAAGTGCCATATCTGTAAAAAGAAAAATTCTCCATTTTTTTTAACTTATAAATTAAAATACATTATATTGGCCAGCCAAGTTAATATAATTTATGCTACATATGTATATATGAGTCATAAATTTAAAACAACTTTTAAAGTTGAGTAGAAGTCTATTTATCCAAATCTTTTTGGGCCTAATATAATTCAGACAACCATACAGAAAATAAATTTTATTCTGGACAGCAGAACTCAAAAAATTGCATATGCTATCTTCCAACTGTTTAAGCCCAGTAGCAGATGAGGCGTAAAACCACTAAAAACTGGTAATTTGTCTTATATGCAAATCTCTACAAAATGGCTCACTGCAAAGGAATATTTTAGGTTTTCTTCATACTTAATAAGAAAACGAGAGAGTTTCTCTTAAAAATCCTCCACGAAAGCATCCCTCATATTAGGCATGAGTTTTTTTGTCACATTCTGAACATTCCTATCCAACCTCTAAAGAATTAAACATTAAAATGCCATAAGATCTACTTTTACAAGCAACATATGCCTCTCTTTCTTTCAAATAAACACTTCTTTCTAATCTACAGTCTCATCTTGAACCTGGAATGTTCAGACAACAGGCTTTCAATTGTGAATGAAAATGTATGCTCGTAAAATGGTGCAGTCACTAAAAATTCCTTTTATACTAAAAAAGAGCTTCAAGCTACAGAATTCATTAAATAAATAATTTATTCATAGATTTTTAATGTTTACATAATGAATGTGAAAGTATACCAAATTGTAACAAATTTAAGCACTTTGATTCTCTGAAAATTTCACAACTACATTTAAAAGAGTTGTACAACATACTACCAAATATCATGTCCAACAGTATAATTCAAAACAAGGCAAATAAAAGATATAAGGGGAAAATCACCAGATCTATGATTGATACATCTCGGAAATAAAAAATCTCCGGTCTTTCCAAAATGTCAGTTTAAAGCACTATTTTATTAGATGTATGAATGAAAATGATGTATGAATTACAAATGGAAAAATTTATATTCTAACATGACAGATTGAAGGGGCAAATTACAGATTGAAAATTGCAATAAAACATTAACATTAAATTCTAAAAGTGTTCATAAAATAGTAATGAAAATAAATACTTTTTCATGAAATCTTATGAAACTTTTTATTACAGTTAAATACAATATTTATGTATGTTACACCCAAGTTTATAAAATCTCATTCATTATTAATAATTATTATTCATTTTAAAATTTATATGACTAATTCAAAGAAATAATACCACAGTAAATATGTTTTATATTTTAAAAATTACCTGAAAATGTGAAACAGAAAAAGTAAATTTGTGCAATTTTTTATCTATCACTAAATATCATGTTAAAAACATAACATTACTTATTGAGATTTCTCCAGAATTAAATACTCTATTAAATATTATATCCGAATGAGCATTTCAGTTTTTGCATTTAGCATCATTTTTACATAATAATTAAATTTAGATATTAGTGCTTGTATTAATTTTGCAAATTAGCAATCATAAAACTTGCTTCCATACTACAAAATTACTAGAACATGGTAAGTAGACAGGAAAATTTAAAAGGAAAAAAAAATTATACCTGACTTGTAGTTCAAAGTAACTCTCTGAAAATTAAAATACTTTTACTGAGGGCACAATTATGTTTTATTACTCAGCTTAATAAAAAATGCAAAATTAATTGCATTTCTTTTTAAACTGTCATGAAGGTAGAACATTTTCAGGCACAGTAAAAGTATAATATCCGTAATAAGAAATTTTAATACAAGCATATAAAATAATAAAAAAAAAAATCCACAGACCTAATGGCAAAGGTGAAGAATAGTCTCCTAAAATAGCAAAACCTATTAAAGTAAAAAAAGTCCCAGTATAAAAGTTAATACATAAAATGCATCTGAAGAATAATTGCAAGTTGAAAACCATACATGCAATTAAATGTTTACTTTAAATTTAAAAAATAAATAAATAAAAATAAGAAATAAAAAAAAAAAAAAAAAAAAACACACACATGCTCTGAGCAAATCTGGTAACATATTTAAAAATACCACAAATTTAACTGAAAGCCAAAGAGCTGTATTTGAACTGCAGGGCAGATATATAATACAATCAATAAAACTACAATTCTTATATGAAACTCAGAAAATAGAATTTGTATTAACTGCAAAGGAATCTCGATTCATGTACTAAGAAGATGTGAAATTAATTCTTTTTAGTTATTTGGGCAGCTCATCCAGGCTTTCATAATTTTACAAAAATGTGTATGAACTGATAGCAAATGACAAAGGCATTTCATTATATTAATATAATTAAAGGCTCAAAATAACAAGAAAAAGTTTTTAAAAAATTTCTTCAGAAAAAATTATTTTCTTTTATACTTTTTTAAAATATTATACTGTTACTTATCCTTACTTTTTTTTCGGCCACTTACAGATCTATATTCAACAATTAGAATACATAGTTCTCTTTCAGAATAGATAAAACTAATTTTAAAATTTGTTTGGAATTTCCCTTCATAATATAGTATAATTTTATTCTATATGCTAACAAAGCAAAAACATTTAAATTTGAAAGTGAACAAGATATGCAAATTAAAGTATAACATAGGGGCTTGATATCACTTGAAAAAATACAAAACTTATACACTTTTATTGAATAACACAAATAATGAACTAAGAAAAAAACTAATTACTGAATGTATTGAATATCAAAATATTATGAATCTTAATATTTTTAACTTTCTGTAAAAGATTTAAATAATAATAATAAAATAAAAAAGCAAAGGTTGATAGAATTAAAAGTGCTATCTTTACATATAATAAAAGAAAGAATCTGTGTGTGTGTGTGTCTTTCGTTTGCGCTGCACGTAAGCTAATACACGCACGGCTACAAAATCTCGTACATACGTGCATCTAGACAAGAGACAGTGCTACTCGAAGTGATTTTTTCAAAATTCGAATTAGATTTTTTTTTAATTTTATGTTTTGTGGCGAAATCGCATCATTTTGAGATATAATGGGCTATAGGAAAGCGAGATTTTACTCTACACACTCCATTTTCACATCGTCATGAAACATAGGCACTTACAAACTTAAAATAAATATAATACAAACTTAAAATAAACTTGGTTGTAACTTAAAATAAATTTCGTGTTTCAATAAATCGATTAAAAATGTACAGTTTATTTTTCTTTGATTTTTGGACATGTTAAACTTTTATCCTTGCGACTGCTTTTACAAAAAGAGTTTTGGAAAAATGATATTTTGTATTTTTAAAAATTTTTTTAAATGAAGCTTCCAAGTACACTTCTCTCATCTTTAAAAATGTGATTTTGGCAACAATTTTCCTGTCTTATTGTTGTTGAGAGATTTTTGATGAAATCGCATGATTTTGAATAGTTTCATTCTTTTAGAAATATGGGTTTGGCAACAATTTTCCATCGTATTTCTTATGTCACTGTTTTTAAGAGATTGGCATATTTCATTGCCATTTTTATATATATAAAATACATGTTTATTTTATTTATTTTTTTTTAATAAAGTTGTTCTGCAAAGTAAAATTCTGAGTAGAAATTTATTTATTTATTTATTTTTTAGTTGCTTTAATGTTGTTTTTTGCTTATTTCGTTGTTTGCAAGATATTGAAAAGTTTTGCATGATTTTTTTTCTTCAACGGAAAGTTGGTTAATTTTTTTATTAGGATAACTAATATTTGTACTAAGGGATATAGCTTATTTGATTGCAATTTTTTTCTCTTGAAAATATAAGATAAAATATCATTAATTATATTTTGCTTTTCAAAATTTTTTGTTTTTTGTATTCTTTTATGTTATTTATTGCTCATTTCACTGTTTTTAAGATATTGAAAAGTTTTGAGTGATTTTTTTAGAAAACAAAGTTCTTAACCTCCTTTATACTATTTGAGTTCTTAAGAGTTTGCAAAAGGAAGTTGGTTAATTTATTTATTACAATAATTAATATTTGTATTAAGGGATATTGCTTATCTCATTGCAATTTTGTTATACATAATAACTTTTTTTATGAAGTTGTTCTGCAGAGAAAAATTCTATGCAGTTTTTAAATTCAACGTTTGGTGTTCCCTTCAGCCATTTTTCCGGTACATTTAAAAGCCAGACGAAGGCTGGCAGCGAAGCTGCTAGTGTTAAATAAAGCAAAGTATCACAGAGGTATCTGCATCTTGAAAAATTTTTCTTGATGCAATTTAACTACACTTGTCATACATAAGGAAAATTACATTTCTTTACATGTATAATGTATAACAATAAGCATATATATATATATTGTTATATATGTATTACAATATGAATATGCTTTCAGAAAAATTTAATTGATCTTCAAATTAAAAGTGCTTAATACATAGCTCATCACACAGCACACATTAAATGAATTCTTCAATTTTCATTACACATGAGAAAAACTGCAAAAGCTACATGCAGCCAATCTATGTAGTCACTGGGAAGAGAACTCAGGATAAAGTTCAATGACTTTCGTAACTCAGTTAGAAGTAAAAATTTAAAAAATTAAATTTTGGTTTAAGTTATGTTGTTTATACTAATTATGAACTACAGGTGAAAAAAAGTAGTCCAGTTCCAGTAGTAATAACGCAAAATGGACAGCATCTTTCTGACACAATGTATGAAAAAAGAATGAACAGGACAGCAAAACAAGATTTGAACACTGGTTTATTTCACAACATCAAGTTTCTGGGCAGACAGATAGAGCCTTCTCTACACAGTATGGCAACAGTACTGAAAGCAGCCTTATTTCCCATGGCTCAGTGTATGATTAGCTTTGCAGGTTCCTTTGCATAGCTTTACAGATTCCTTTGTATAGTTCTCTTAATGCCCAAACTTTTTCAAAACAATATTTTATACTTGTGTCAAAATAATTCACATCTTACAGACCCAAATATAATAATATTTCTCCTTGAAATGCCTATGGTGATGTTTTATTGCCATTAATATTTCACCAGAAGGTCAACAGAGAAGCCTAAGAACCACAAAACTTCAGCTTAAAGGAACTTTATTTAACATTAAAAAAAAAAAAAGTAAAGCACACCTCGCAAGAGCTAACTATTTAAACAATGGCATATATGAGTCAATGCCAGACGACCATAAACAGGCAAAAAAAAAGTGAGCGGTCACAAATAGGCAAGAAAAGGTGAGAATAAGTCTCAGCAAAAAAGTTCAAGTTTTTAATCCTTGTGCTGCGATGTGCACATATACAAATTGCACAGCAAAGATGAATGTTGCCACTAACTGCAATTAGGATTTCGACCATGTACACTTCTGTAACTATATCCACCTTGTAAGTGCTGTTTAAGATTAGGGATGAAAACCCACTTTCATAATTAAGAAAACATTAGGGATGAAACACTTTCATAATTAAGTTAAAAGAAAAAAATTTACTTATTTTTTCTTGATGCACAAGTTTTGGAAGTACAAACACTTTCATAATCAAGTTAAAAGAAAAAAAAAAAAAAAAAAAGTACTTATTTTTTTCTTGATGTACAAGTTTAAGGATAACTTAAGGTACATTACTCAGATCATTCAACAGAAAAATGTTGGTGATTCAGTCTCATACTGGGCCTGGTTTATCAAATCCAATTTTCTTTATTCATTTTCAGTAGAGTGTGCTCTCATTTTTAATTTCAAATGATATTTTGAAAAATTATTCCACAAATACATATTCACATAATTACATTTATACTTTTTCCCAACTTTAATTTATTTTCCTTTTGAATGCTGTGTAATAAACATGGCTGTAATGGTAAAAGAGTTTAATGGATTGTTTAATATTGGGTTTTAACATAAATTTCCTGCCACCATAAATATCATCTATGCAAACAGTTCGCATTGGTATGTTTAACCATACTCTGTCAAACATTTTGGGCATTTGAAAGAAAGAGACTCGCTTTAACACTGTGTTGTGATATTTGTAAAAAAATATCGGTATCATTAAATACAAGGTGTCTGAAATGGAACTATCACACTACCTGATTAGAACCATCATTTACTTCCAGTTCTATTGCAAAAAGTTAGCTATGGAATAGCACCAAATCATGCATACAGCTTTAGGTACTAATGTTGGATCATATGACACTGTGAAGGTTAAATACCAAAAGTTGAAAAACAAGGACTACAATATTCAAGAAGCACAGTGCGTTGGCCAGTCTACTGATGCTGATGAAATCTACTTGCGAGAACTTGTGGAAGAAGATCAGTATGCAACCACTTGAGATCTTGCTAAGGAGTTAGACTTTAGTGCCATGTGTACAGACTCGAACGGGATCTTTTGCCATACACACCATATAGCCTTGACATCATTCTTTCTTCTACCTTTTATCACACCTGCAGCTACATTTTGCTGGTGCCCTCATCCATTCTTCACAGGACGTCCAAAATGAGTTTGATCCGTTTTTGGACTTGTAGCCACCAAGTTTCTGGGCCGAAGGCTTTGAAAAACTACCATAACAAAAAATCATAAATCGTATAGATTTGAGTGGTGATTACCACCTGCACTAAAAGTATTGCTTTCATGACCCCCCCCCGCCCTCGCATTGGCCAGTCTACTGATGCTGATGAAATCCAATTGCGAGAACTTGTGGAAGAAGATCAGTATGCAACCACTTGAGAGCTTGCTAAGGAGTTAGACTTTAGTGTCATGTGTACAGACTCATGGTCTGTGTACAGACTCGAACAGGATCTTTTGCCACACCCACCATATAGCCCTGACATCATTCTTTCTTCTACCTTTTATCACACTTGCAGCTACATTTTGCTGGTGCTATCTTCCATTCTGCACAGGATGTCCAAAATGAGTTGGAT